TATCGCGCTTTAAACCGTTAAAACTATCTTGCTTAGAAATGTAATGTCTATCTGTGGACTCCTGCAAATTTGACGTATGCTGTCAATGATAGGTACATAATATTATAGCGTCTACACGGTTTGTTCTGCATTTTCGTATTCATTGCATTATTGCGTCAACAAAAAAATATATTATTAAAAAAATAATCAGTTATAATTTTTATAGAATACCTAGAATCGATTTGGATAATTGGCGATTGGGTAAGTGGGCCATACTGTATTTTGTTTCTAAATGTAAAACAGAATTGTATGTTTTTGTAAGACTGTATAAATCCCAGCTATGTAAAAATGCCGATTTCTATAGCCTTTCTTATCTTTATTTAAAAGTGAAAAGGCAGTATTTCGCCAGGCCACAGCATTTTATGTTTAATGATTATTATTCCTTGGAATCTGAAACTGTTTTTCGCGAACGGGACACGCTTCCATTCTTATAATTTGTATAAAATCACTTTATGTAAAACTAACGCTCTATATTAGAGGATGAGCTTCGACGACCTTCTTAAAACTTCTATATACAAAAGATGAATATGACTTGGCTTGACCAAAGACACAAATTATACAATTACAAGATTCGTTCGTGGCATTATTGTAGATCATTGACTTGTGTTTACATAGCCGATTGTAACGCAGGCAAAGCTCGTCCCTTTTTCGAAAGCCAAAAAGCCTTCTGTATAAGGCAACGACCAGTCATCAACCGCCGTAAAAGGAAGAACACCAACATTAAAGGCGTAAATTCACTCATGTCGTTGCATCGCAATTAATTTCATATTGGGAGGACTAAAAATATTTTTTTCAATGCATAAAAACTCTTTTCACTCAGCGTTCGACCATAGATTAAGAAACTTTTTTATTCGTCAAAAAAGGAGGTTTGCATCAAATTAGTATGCCAATGAAAAGTACATATTTTATTTATTTATTAATAATATGTAATAAAATAAGTTACTTATTTATACATTAATATTTTAAAATAATTTTGAAATAGATTCAAGGGTTACAAGAATTGGGTATCTAATAGCGGCGTTTTTGTTCTGTTGAAAATAAAATATAAAACCTCTTTTCGCTTATAGATGATAAAACTTTTTTAATTAACACATAACATGACAGGTGAGGGAAAATATTGCGCCGCCTTATCGTCGATCTTCGAATAAACATCTCAATATATGTAATATCTTTTATTGATAACGATTTAATAATTTCGCACACTTAATGATAATGAACGCGAACTAAATTAATCGTAGCAGCTACTTATAATTAAAATTGAAACATTTCTTTACTTTTGGGTCTCGAGCTGTTTGGATAAAAGAGCTTATAGCAGTAATTACTTTTTATTTCCAAATAACAGCCACGTAACTCAGTGGCAATGCATTGTGTTTAATATCAACCATTATTACGTTGAATTTCCAGGAACAATTAAAAAAAATCTTCCGTTTAAAAAAGTACACAGGGGTTACCTACACGTGTCTGGGAATACATGTAAAAGAAACCGGCATAATTTTTTTTAGAAGAATTAAAAGAGGAATAACTCTTTCATACACATTTTTTGGTTTCTTGAAGCGTTTCGCAGTGCGCGCAACGTAACCCTCGAAGTAATAATTTTTCAGACTTTTCTTCATTGTTTATTTGCTTGTAACGTGATTTTATATAGCCTAAACCTTTTTTTGATAAATGGTTTATTCAACATAAATAATATTATTTCGAAACAATTTCTTGGATAAGCTGGAATGTTATTATTATAATATATAAGTATATAATATATTTATAACCTTATAATATTATGTGAATGACTCTATATAATATTACTCCATGTCCCAAATAGGAAAATATTGTCAGATTGGTTTGCGCAAGTGAAACACGTTAAGTAAAATACTCTAAATGATTTAAAAGGTGTTATTTATTTGTTGGTTCCCCGATTACGGCTGAACAATCTGTCAGATCGTAGTAAAAAATTAATCAATAAACATATCGCGGTTTTAAAACGTTAGAAGTGTTTTGTCTTACTATACCTGTGGGCTTATCGGTCACATACCCAAAATAAGTCATAGATTGTTCTGAGACCACGAGATTCTTGTGTCTCACTGGTCGTAACATGGCAATGTTATGATCAGTATCAAATAAGCATTTTAAACTGACGTCGACTTAAAAGGAGTTTTCGCATTTGGATAAACAAAACGCAATTAAATGTCGCGGCTTAAGATTAAGAATTTTTAAGGTGAAAATAAAGTTAATGTAGGTATAAAGTTACGCCAAATATGGTAGTCACGTATTGTTGGCTGTTGCCTCCAAAATACTGCAGATGAAATCTCGGTGTAACTGTCTGGCGCCGGTGGACCGAAATTTGTGACCACTGAAAGTTGGGAGTTGGTATTTTTTTTTATTTTTTATAATAGAGAAGGAGAGATAAGCACAATTCACTTGATGAAAGGTAAAAAACCCCAGCCATTTAACATCTAGATAAGATGCCTTGTCGATCTAGTCCGGTTTTGGATATTTGGATATTCGGAAGTCCACAGTTTGAAAACGCGATTAAACTTGACGGTGCTGTAGGTTCAAGTGCCATCGAGTATTTACATTGTACTTAAACCAGCATTGTTGGTTTTCATTAGCATCATTCTTTTATATGATTGAAATAATACGATAGAACTTGATAGTTATAAATTGGTTGTGGTTAACGCGAGTAATACACATTTAAATAAAACACTAAAAACGGTTTAAAACTCAAGATATAATAGTTAATTACATTACAATTTATTTTAACTACGGCCAGACGTGCTATGGTGACGGCGGAGACGGGATCCCAGCCACAGTTGCTAAGCAATCGAAACATCGGCCCGTATTGGAAAAAATTGTGTGCCTTAATATATAATAATGTAAATAAATTATGTATATTGTTTTTTGTCTTTGCCTATATCAGGTATATAGGGTTTTTTTTCTTTAATTTTTGTTTTGTAAATTGAAGTCAATTGTAATTATATTTGCCAAAATTTTGAATTGGCTTTCTGTATTAACTTTCCGTCTTTTGGTTTTGTAGATGGAAGTTTTTTTTTTTATATATACGCTAGCTGTGCCCGAGACTTCGTTTGCGTGGAATAGTGATTTGGGGTAGAATTTTTAATTATTTAGGCTGTTTATTAATTTATTTAAGGCAGCCAATCTATATTGTAGTGCTACTTTCTCTCCCACTCCCACTCCTATTCTCAAAAAGCTAAAGAAGAAAGTTTCATTGTTCTAGCTTCAAAAACCACGAATTTCCATACAAACTTTCATCCCCCTTTTCAACCCCTAACCCTTTTTCGGCGTTAAACCCGGACAAACAGACAGAGTTTCTTTCACATTTATAATATTAGTATAGATTAATGGTTACTTTATAGTCTGTATCCTAAAATTGTTCGCAACTTCTCGGCACAGTGGTCGCAAGATGCACATTATCAGGTCGAATGATTCATGCTGAGGTCAGGATATCCAGTTTGTAGCAAATGACTTGTTCGTATTTCAACAGATTGCGCGTTAAATATGACCTTTCAGTGCTTATCAATTTTCGCACAGACCCCGACGTAATCATTTCAGGTATTTTAAGAACAAAGTTTAACAGCATAGCTATGCTTTATTTAGGAATATTTCTTGTGTTTTTAAATGTAGTAATTTATTGTCTTAAAAGCCATAAATGCTTACAAAAACGGATAATATACAGCGTGTCCTCGCTGAACAAATATTGTTTTTTCGTTGATTAAATTTCTTCTTTACATAAACTTAAAATTATTGGTATTTTTATTATGTAGCTGTCTCCCTGACAAAGATACACGGCTATAATACTTTTAACGAATTAATTAAAGGCTAACGTTTTGTAACTACTTTTAAGGGTTATATGTGTTCTGTGCATGAGGCAACAGTGAATTTTTCCGTGAATATATATTTTTTTCATTCTTTACGATTTATAGACGACTTTTTTTTAATAACAAGGATTTGTGTACGTAACATATAAATTTAATTAAATCACTTTTAATAGTTTAAAACGCGAAATATATCTTATTTTAAATCTATTTTGACTACTTCTGAAGTTTCAGATGCTTTGCCGCAAAGTTTAAACCGTTAAAAATGTTTCATTGTTATTACAGAGAATACTTTTCTTGTTGACTTCTACTCCTTTACTGGAATTTTGTTTTTTCTTCTCATACTAAGGTTGCATGGAAGAAATCGCCATAGGCAATAAGGCCGCCTTTGCACTATAGCATTTTTTTATATTTTGCATTCATGTTTCTGAGTTCTACTTATTTTAAGTATGTCCGTGCAATAAAGAGTTTTATTATAATTAAGTACGATTTTTTTCCAATACACTTAAAACATAGTAGAGTATGCAATTTTGTTGTTTCATTATTGTTTAACAATGTTAATAAACTTAATAACATTACTGGAATAACGACATCTAAAAATATATTTTTCAGACACCAGACAGCTTCATTCTTAGGACACCATAACCTAAAGTCTAGAGGTCATTATACTCTAATTAGATTAGAAAAAAATATAATGTACTTTACCATTGCTTAAGATATAATTACTGAAATACCTCAAGCGTAGCAATATGATTTACATCTTTCTTATAAAGCGTTGTTATTATCTCTAGGTGTTAGCTAGTTATTTAATTGATTATTTCGATGACGTCACTAGAATGTTCTGTAAAATATATACATATTTCTTCAATTATTATGTCTTCCCGCAAGACACATTAAAATTTGATTCAGTTAATTAATATTGTTGAACTATTTTAGACAACAAAATTGCATATTGATATTGTTTTTACGGTGCTGGGAAAAACATATATCGTAATTATTGTCTGTAATTTACGCGAGTACACATTTAAATAAGAGCCTTTCAGCGGTTTAAAACCTGAAATATATTGGACCACTTATTTGTATTCATGAACAATACCATATTATTGTTCCGAGTCAAGGACAGCCCAGCTTATCATGAACAGGACTCCGTTAGGAGAAAAGCGCAAGCAAAACAGACCGTACAAGAGGTGGACGGACGACTTTAAGGAAAAACGAGGTTGGTGTGGAATGGGAAACAAGAAAAAAAACAGAACTGAGTAGAAAGCGAACGTTATTTTTTGAGTAGTCTATTACTGCAAAATAAGGCCATAATATATATAAGGGTTAACATTAATGGCCCTTAATTAATATAAATAAATTGTACACAATATTTAAAATATATATAGTAGTAAAAAATAATAAAAACAGATATTTTATGCTTATCTATCAGTCTACAGCTCGCAATTTTCGTAGAATGGAGCCTAAATAAAATACTAAAAAAACTTTTAAGTTAAACAGTTTTATTTTATGTGCACTGAAAACTACAAGACATTTTAAATTTTGACTTAATCATCATGTTTTACTAGGTAAGGTAATACGCCATTTTGTATCGGCGGCCATCTTGAATTTATAATGTTATTGATTTTATTATATTGTATTGCCATCTAATGTGTGTACCAAATTTCAGAGCAATCTGACAACGGGAAGGTGCTTAAATTTCAATTTTTAATTTTGACTCGAATAAATAAATTCCAGTCGGGTCGAGCTAAATAAAACCGTTTAAAAAACCAAGTACTGAAACACTTTTCTAATATTGTCATTTAAATACGATCATTATAGACCGTGGCACGGAATTTAACGTTAAGTAAAAACAGACGTCTCCCATATTAGGGTAAATAGTGATTTGCATAGATTTTTTCCATTTAAGTGCGCATGCAAATTAGAGGCGTCTTGTAAGCTTGCATTTTTTTACGTAAATCGAGAGGAATTCGTCTCCTTATTTAAGATAATTGTTGGACCTCTACTTCGACAGATATGTATGCATGTTACTCGGTAAATGCTGTTACTTAAGAAAAAAATAACACAGATTAAGTAGTGTCTGTAGTCTACACGAGTAGTAGACATTGAAATAAAATAAGTTCGATTTGAATTCTATTGAATTTCTAATTGAATTCTACTACGGCATGACGTTTTGGACTCTTTGCAGCAGTTGTTTTCCCTGCGTAAAAATCCGTTAAGTTTTTATTTAAAGACAGATTTTCTTATTTTATTCATTATTTTTTGTTTTATTTGAACTCTAGATATACAAATAAATTAACAAAAAGTAACTATCAAACAAGAAATTATATAGAAAAAAATATATAAGATAATATAAGTATATTATTATGTATGAATACATATTTGCTTTAAAAAATCCGGCCTTTATATATTTCATGGGAGAATTGAACATTAACATCGAGGTAAATATAACGTTATTTACATACATATATCCTAGCAAAATATAATCTGCTATTTAATATAAAATCTCTTTTTAGCTTTCTCACTGCTAGTTTTCAAACACTAACTTTTTATATTAGAATTGATACTTTACTGATTTTGTCTCTATTCAACACACAGTGTACATAATAGAAGACAACGTATCTCCAATCGCATTTAAACAAACCTAAGGTAACACTAATTGGGAACTTACAAGTCCACAAATCCTGTTAAACGACAAATATTTTCATATAAGCCGGTAATTTAAAAATTCAATGAAATTATCTTGGGGCGCGTTTCAAATGTATGAACTTCAAAAAATTCACGCAAAAACCAGTCACGTTGGCATTGCAGGGTTTCTGATAGACTTAGATCATATTTCTCGGAGTCCTAATGATGTGTTTAGTTCAGAAAATGCTTTCAATTCAATGCGTAACGAACTTGAATCACTTGGTGATTTATTTTTTTCGATGTTCAGCTAATTAAGGTGATGCTGATTGATTGAAGTCACAATACTAACATCAAAGTTATGCTCTTTGATCAACGGATTTGATATATTTCCGCTATTAACACAATATTAGCCGTTATATCAGAACATTGGGACGCCCTTAACATCGAACTACACTTTGTATGCAATGTATTTGATATTCCATCATTTAAACCTTATTTGTATTAGTCTAGTATGGTGTAGTGTGAGATAATAATTATTAATACTGACCGGGTTTAAATAAAACACTTTAACGATTTAAAAACATTTGAAAATTATTTTAACTACGGCCCGACGTTTCGGATGCTTTGCTGCAGCCGTGGTCACGCGGAGACAAGACGTCAAACAAGCCTTTTAAACAGTTAAAGTTTAAAACAGATCAAGTTTATTTTTTTTTAAATATTGAACTATAGGTAGATACACATTTTGTCTGCCTTCTCCTTCGATGTTATAAGTTTCTCTTTTACTAAGTCGATCTTATTAACATCATTATTGACTATTTGTAGATATATTTCTGGATATGGATGGATGGAATAGATTTAGGTACATCCTCAATGAGCCATACATGATAATGCTTCAGACGTTCAAATTATTATTTTTATCAAAGTGAAATATAGTTTCTACTGTTCAATTTTTAGTCGAGTAGATTTTGAGGAAACGATAGTTTTACGACTATGTAATTACTGTGTCAACTGCAAGTTTCCCACGTCGGTCGAAGAATTGAAAATTGGGACAATTGGACAATTGATAAAGTAGCGACCTTTTCTATTAAAATTTATGTTTTAATTATACAATTTAACAAATAACTGGTCAACGGTATGTTTGTAGTTATAAATTAAAATCGTTATGAATTTTGTAAAACACTATATTTAATTGCTTGTTTGTGTGTGAATTTCATACAAATATTGCAAACCCATACTCAAATTTATGGGTTTGATTGTTAGGTAATTCTATAGATATATAATACATATAGATAAAAAAACAAACAAGCCAAAGTTAATAAAAATTATACATGAACACAAAAATAATTAAGATTTAATTAAGAAGACCTAGAATGATTCAATGAGTATTACCTACTTCAGTTTCCAGAAAAATAAATTGAGAAATTACATTAAAATAAAACACTTTAACGGTTTAAAACGCGATATATTAGTTAAACTTATTTGAAAATGATTTTTAACTTCGGCCCGAATTACATTTACAAGACCATATTTAGATTGGACATTAGATATATTTTAAAACACACTGACGTTTAAAATTTGTTTTTCGTTGTTGGGTTAGAATAAAAAACTTTGGATAGTCTACGTTTTTGCGTTTATAAGCAGCAAAATGATTTAAAAAATATTATAACAGTTTTGTGACATGGTTGTTTAATTTCCTATATCTACAAAACTATTTATTAGATGAAAAATAACAAAAAACTAAAGAAATAAATCAACTTTGTCCGAACCATGTCACAAATTACCAATAAAATGATCCATCAATCAGTTTCAAACATTTATGCGTATTTATCTAGTTTCTGTTTGGCCGTTGACCATAAAAGGAGAGGGTGCCACTGTGAGCCACAAGGTTGATTCATACAGATACTAGTAATAATATTTTATACTACATAATTATAATGACTTTTAAGTCATCTAATATACATAAACTAAAGGGGAATAAAAGCTTAACACTTTGCTTTAACCCAAACAAGAATAATTATTGTACAAGTTATTTTAAATTCTTTTAATATAAGCATGGAAATAGAAGACGTACCTATTATTGTGTTCGTTTTGCCGATAGATTTTTCCGGCAAATAATTGACCAGTCTTTATGGTCTAGTATGTCTTGAGTTATATATTTAACCCTTAACCACCTGCGGTCTCAGAGACTGCAACGATTTTTCAAATTCAAATATTTCCGCGTGTGAGTCGCGTGCGGCAAAGCGCCTTCATGTACCTTTTCTACACGCCAATCAAGGTGGTGCTAGGGCTCCGAAAGTGTGTAAGTGCTCGCGTTTGGCCAGAGTAAGTGAAATAAATCCGCCAGCGGTAGGTGGTTAAGGGTAAAACACGGCATAACCCCGTTTTCTTATGGGGCACAAAGTTGATCCTAATATATTGCTTCACTGTAGCGTATTATTGCTTCAATAAATACTTTTAAAAAGCCATTATTAGTATAAATTGATTTTCAAAATGCAGAGTATAATATTAAAAGTGTTGTCTGTAATTGACGATTTACAAAGTCAGTGGACTATTTTGTTGTCACAGACATGACAGTGACAGATAATTAATGATAACATGACATTGGCACTTCCACATCGATTCGAAATTAACAATTAATGCTGTATCGTTTGAGGTGTAATATTTTCATTCTCATTATTAAATATAATACGACGTCATTGAACGAGATACGCTAGTGAAATGAGATGACTTAAATTCTGTTCCTATAATCAAAGTATAGTACATTCCACTTATATTTAATTTTATTTAGAACAATGGCCGGTACTCCGATCAAATTAGGTTCAGTTTTGTCTTTTTGTATCGTTTTATACGCTGTATATTATAGAAAAAATGATATCGGTGATGAAAGATTGTCTCCTGTAAAGGAATATCTGTTATATTTGGAGAAAGAAAATGCGGTTGGATCTGGTGTGAAGCAGCCGAAAGTAGCCCTGGGGTATGGTGCCTGTCACGATTTATTCGTAAATGCTACGTCATTTTTAAATTTCAAAGATCTCAAAGGTCCTCCGGAACATTTTAACGAAATAACTAGTAAAGAAGAGTTTTTAAAAAGTTTTGCTTATTTTTTTAAGCATGGGGCAGCAGCTGAGTAAGTATTTTTTGAATGTTAATGACTTGCTCTTACAGTTAAAAGTTGTAGTATTTTTTTAAGCTTGTAATTAGAATAACTGTTCAGAAAAATTCTAAAGTAGTAATATAGTTTTGTCACAATATACATTTATACATTATTTGTTTTTATTACAATCAGTGAATTGGTTTATTAAGGGTTTGTTATGTTTTTCCAGACGATTCATGTCTAATAGTGACTTATATGATCAGCTTGTTGAAGAAGCGCTTACATTGCCAGATACTAGATGGGCTATTGGTGGCAATGCACCACTAATGGCAAGACGATTCTTCATGGAAGGATGGAAGGTCTTACTAGCAGCTAAAATGAGTAAAAAACTCAAAGAATACATTCCAAAAGAAATAGAAATAGTCGGAGCTGATGATACTGAGGAAGTTAAAGATGATGTACACATGATTCTAGAGTATAAGGCAGATCAACAGTTCGGTGCCTTCAAGTCACCCAGGGCAAATCGGTATATCATGCATAATGATGAGAATAATCCTCTCCTAAGCTCTCTGGAAAAACTTGGGGATGGTCTAGGAAAATTTAAACCAAACTTATTAGTTATAAGTGGTTTACAAATGATGGATAACTTCCCATTCAAAAAAAATGGAAGAGGTATTCTATTAGTTTTTCTATTTAAATTTTAATAATTATTCCATATTAATGTTATTTTTTGTTACAGATTTAAGAGCTGAAAGGTTAGATTTAGTAAAAGAACAAATTTTATCACAACCACTGGATACACTGTCTCATTTTGAAATGGCGAGTTATGTAGACCTGGAACTCTTAACACACCTGACAACAAAAGTTCTACCCTATGTAGACTCGGTTGGTATGAATGAACAAGAACTTTCAAATTTATACAATGTATTAGAATATGGTGAGGTGATCGTTGTAGCAGATTCAAACCCTAGAATCGCAACAGCTCTTGATCAAATGAGAAAAACATTCCACCTAATAAGAATGAAGAACAATGAATATCAAAGCAAACGAGAAATTACAAGGATTCATGTACACACTCTTGCTTACCAGGCCATTTTAACAGTCAAAGATTCAGACTGGAAACGCACTGAAGCAGCTGCAGCTAAAGCCTCATTAACGGCACATAGATATGTATGTAACAATCAGAAAATTTCACTAGATAAGTCAAAGTTATTGTTAGATGATAGTTTTTCTACAACAACAGACAATGATAACAATAGTAGAGTATTTTTTGAGCCGTCTAAACCAGTTGCATGTTGGGATGAAGATTTGAATAATACTAAAGTAGAGATTTGCGTAGCTCCAGTGCTTATTTGCACTGAAGCCCAGTTGACTGCGGGTGCTGGTGATAATATCTCGGCTGCAGGCTTAGTTTTACAAATTGAAAAGTAGTGTGAAGTATTGAGTCATTAGGTAGTTTTACTTTTGTTATTCACTTTAATATTTTGCAATGGCTTGTGGTTTTTGGTATTCAAATTTAAGATTGTTTTCAGAGAAAGAACAGTTTCTGAAATTTCCGGAACTGTAAAACAGATTCTGAAGTTTAAATTTGTTTGGTATTTTGTACAAGGTGCCATGTTTGTTTAAATATGTTCCTACATGAATTATAGTAATAATTACATTCATATTTATAGTGAAGTATAGCATTTTACCATAAATTCTTCTTCAAATAACAGTATGGCCCATTAGGTTGAGGGTTCCCTTTCTTCTCATTATTTCTAATAAAAATGTAATGATGGTTGTTGTTTATACTATATAAATTGTACATCATTATAAACAGTTAAAGGTATAAATTGTTGTCATTATAGTGTGAAGCACAATCTTTTACAGCTGAAAACAAATAATTATGGTTATTATGGTATTAACAATGTTACTAGAAGATCAAAATGTGTTTTTTGTACATTGTTTTTTTTGTATTCCTAATTATACATTCCTTGTGTAACAATAAATGCTTTGATTGTGAAAATTGAGTTTTACAACCAAGAAAGTGCAAGTTTTAATTTTAAGAATTAAAAAAAAAATTGAAATATGAGTTCACAATGCAGGTTATTGCTATTTAATAATAATAATAAAATCATTTATTTTAAAAGTTACTTCCAGAAATAAAATCTATGAACTTAATTACATTATAATTAACTTAATACAAAATTCTATATTTTAAGCTTAACAGAAAAAAAAAAAGATAAATGACTATGGCACCTCTTAAAACAGGAGCCACTCAGCATAATGTTACAAACACACTTGTGTTGCAACACTGATTTTCAGTGGCCCCTGGCACCACCGCTTCTGGAGAAACAATATGCATTTAATATTTACTCTTAAATTAAATAAAAATAAACAACTTATGCACTAACAAGCAACTCTACATCAAACACATGTACATCTAACATGACACATTATTTTATATAAAATTAAAATTATACATATAACTTTAAATTAAAAAGAAAAAACTGTGACATATTGTTTTTAAAAAACAAACAAAGAAAAATCTTGGTATTTATCTATTTTTTCATATTTATTGTACCTTAACTTAATATTTAATAAAAATAACAAACTTGAATCAGACTTTAGGTGAACACTTTTTACATGTTATTATTCTAATCTAATTTTTTCTTTTTGTTAGCTGGTTGTAATACAGATGATTCATTTAGTCCACTCGCAATAAATCTTTTCGCCGCTGCAATATCCATGGTGGGTCTTTTTTTACTATCTTGTATTTGCCGCCATCGTTTCATAGCTTTTTGTAGTCTGATTAACTCATGTTTAATTGGGTGATCGCTTAAATCTACTCCTTCTATCCTTAACTGAATCCAATACAAACTGTTTAATGCTAACGCCAAAGATAAATCCATATCTATTTGCGCTGGCAGCGACATTTTATCGCGATGTTCGTAGTTTCGCTTGAGATCATGAATTTTTTCATGAAGTGTAACCAATTGTTCATTCAGCTCTTTGCATACGCCAACAAAATTATGATCTGATACCGCAGCACCGAATTTGAGCTCCCAGTTTATCCCTATCATAGTGGATTTTACGAATAGTGTTTGTTATAAAAATATCAACAATAACCTCAAAACTTTTGTGTAGCATGTAAAAGGCTTTGTCACTGACATTTTCATATGCATTTGACAGATTATTTTAGCCTGTGGAAACGTCGAAAGGATCTTGACCTGACTTACGTCTACAAGTCAACCCCTGTGGTCACGCTGTTTTGCAATTACCACTGTTTAATGTTTATAATAAGCGCTCATGGTAGCAGATCGCGATAACAAATAGAAAAGAGCGCTTATATCGGTCCCTACTCCCTAACCGAAACAATTTTATATTACCAGAATCAATAACATTAGGGACATTTGGGGCACAGGAGTATCATATAAACATCCATATAAAATCGAGAATCTTTTATTCATCTTTTGAATTACAATACAGATTACACAAACTTAATAATTTTGTGTACTTTTACAATTAATTTTGTATATTATTTCTATTGTTCGGTATTAATTTTCTTATTTCAAACAATAATTAGTCATCTAAGTATTCAAAAGGTTCTGGGGGTTCCGGTTCCTTTTCTTCTTCAGTTTTGGGTCCAAAGGCAGCCACGGGTTCGACAAGCACTTGTTCTCCATCACCAGAATGATTCAACATTACTATACCGCCAATGGTGACGTCTTTCAGTGGCGTGAAACCTGATCCCTCGACTACAGTAACGCCCTTTAGTTGTTGACGCATAAGCCTAGCCGGGTTGCTGAGTATCTCGAAGTTAGGTTCTGGTTCCTTCTTCTCTTTTGTATCTTTCTCTTCACCTTCTTTGTCGTCCTTCTTAGCATCTTTGGAAGGTGCATCCTTGTCGGACTTGCCGTGAACTGTAATGTTAGGGTTGGGAGACTTGGAAGGTTTCTTTTCCTCATCGTCAACATCCATTTTCGAAGTCGAAGAGGATGTGAGGCTGGATGAGCCGTCCGAACCGTGCGCGCGTCTTCTAGCTCTGGCAGCTGCGATACTCAGCACCGCAGTGGTTACTCTTTCCCTTTCCTCACGTTTCTTTTCTTCCAAAGGTGCTGGATACGCATAGAGTGAAGGTTTAGCATTTGACTTCAATTCAAGCTGTGGCATTTTCAAATCGGAATTTAGCGCGATCAGGCACGTCGGTGTAAATGCCAAAGATAAACAATGGGCTAGTGGGAACCAGTACCAATACTGCGTGAAAACAAGCATACCCACAACAGCCAGCATGTTCATATGGCCAGTTCTGTTTTGCAAAGAAACTGTAACGTTTCGACCACCAGCATCAATGATACCTTGAGCTAGGATGGCGCCAAACTTAGCCATGACATCTTCATGCTTATTGCTTATGACTTGGGCATAAAGTTGTCGGAAGTAGGTTACTTTAGGGCAAAGTGCTTCAGTCTGTTGGATAAGAATCATAGCAGAAGCGATAAGTGCACCTTGTCTTACAAAATTGACAGGGTCAAATTTGACCATGGGCTCCAAGAGTCCAATAGCTTCGCGATTTCCAGTTCCAGCGCATGCAATACCTAAAGCCATAGCTGCGCCATAACGTACATGAGGATTGTAGGATTCAGCCAGTAACGACACTACTGATGGACACTGTTCCGGTGTACGGAATAAGAGGAATCCAAGCGCTGTGACAGCCGCGCGTCTAACGTCGTCATTAACGTCGGAAACAGCAACATGTAATAGAGTACGAATCGAATCATTATTTCCTGTGCCACAATAAGCAGTAGCAATAGTGTAACAACCAGCACGTCTTAGTAAGGGATCCTTGTCGCGTAACAATTGTTGAACTAGTGCATCAGCTTCTTCTAGACGACCATACATAGTAAATGATATACCAACAGCTAAACCACGTAAAATCTTTTCGTGCTGAGTTTCTTGGGCATATGCAACCATATCTTCAATTGCTGCTGCATGCCTGGAGCCCAGCATAACCATTCCCATAGCTATACCAGCTGCTTCACCAGTCACTGCATCATCTTGATACAAGTTAAATTTAAGTTGTTCATACACATCTTGTCTATGGGTTCCCATTGCTGCTAGCCCCAGACCCAGACAACCGCCATGACGCACCATTTCATTCTGTGCATCTTTTAACTGGGTTAAAAGATAATCAATGATGTTGGCACCATGATTGGCATGGATCAGCCCAAGAGCATACAGGCCACCTCCCTCTGAATATCCCGAAGATGGTCCAGCCTCCTTTGGTAGATAAGATTGCATCAATGCCAACGATTCTCCCTCATGCCCCCTATGTATAACTCCAAGGGAAGCTGTGACAGTTAACTTGGCCCAATTTGTAGCCCGAGCCAGCCACTCCAAGTTATCCCTTAAGAACTGATCACTTGTTGTTCCTGCATGCATGAATGCATTAGCAATAACTGTGGCTGTGTGACATATTGATACCCTTATAGCATCTTTTGTATTCTTTAGGATTAGCATGTCTGCATGATTAGATCTAATCAGGAATTGTAATTGTAAGCCTATGGAAACATCTCCGCCTAATATGGAAATAAGTTTTTCTACTCTTCGTTGATGCTCTTTTTCTTCATCATTTAAACTTTCTATATCTCTTTCTGGTTTCTTTGACTCTTCAGCTGGTGCCTGATCTACTTCCATTGAGGAGGATTCAGGGAAGGGTCCACCTTGAGGTTGGGGTTTACCACCTAAAGCGCTTGGAATTGGAGCTGTAACCCTAAGGGCCTGTAAAACCCTTCCTAAGAATTGTTGTGTTGCTGAATCATACAAATCAAAGGCTATTTGGTACGCCATAAGAACTGATTCCTGAGGCCCATGTGTCAGTTTATCAAGAATTTCAGCTACAGAAAGGGGATCTTCAAGGAAGATTAAACACTGACACATGTTTACATAATCTGGGATATTAAGACCTCTGTACAGACCAACTAGTGATCTTAAGACTGTGCTGCGGAACCCACGATTTTGGAGGAGACTCATCGCTACAGTAAAGGCATACTGAAGCATTCCTGAAACAGAGAAATTATAGTAAATTGTTACAGTTTATATGTCTTAGATCCCAATAATTTCTAGTTTTATAATAGGGTTTTATCAGCCTCTTCAATTAAGTGTCTTTTAGATGAGAAATAATATTTTTACACATTATAAACTATTTTGTATGTTTTCAAAACACTTTAATAGTTTAACATGCCTATATATTACATATATTTATTTGCTGTAGTTAAAATATTTTTCTAATAAATTTAACATAAATATCGCATTCTAAACCCTTAAAGTGTTTTATTTAAATGTAGTAGTACACATTAGCGTAACCACAGACAGTATTTAATTTTCCTAGTAAGTTTATATTCAATAGGATATAAACTATTAAAGTATGTTTTTTTTTTTACTATTCAAATGTTACATTTTTAACAACTGAAAATAATTTGTATCTAAAGAACTTGTCTTATAACTAAATAATTTCTAAAGTAATCCGATTTAGTAAATAAATAGAATATAATTAAGAAGATAGCTTAAATAATAATATAACCTTTTTAATATAATCTTTAGCTTTATTAGAATGTGCAATGCCATGTAGGTCAACTAGTTTATTGTTTGTAATATTGAACATTAAAAAGAAATGTTCACTGTGAAATTAACATTTAAGGAGTGTCAACCTAATTTGGCTGTGGACATGAAACTATTTTTATTAAAAGACCTAAATCATTAATTAGATCAAATTTCTAACAGTTAACAAAATTGTACTACAGCTACATCTCACTAAATTTACCTGGGATATCATCAGATTTCATAATTGACTGTTCGAAGATGTCCATCCTCCGCGTCTCCAGCGCTAAACCTAGGGCTTGTCTGTATTGTCCGTCTTCCAGGCATCGAAGAAACATACGGTTAACAATCGCTTCCAATCTTGGATCAATGAGCTCTGTGGCGCTATCCAAGAAAATAGCCTTCCGCTTTTGTGTATAGAAGTCAATCGCCTTCGCAATCGTCGTGTCCACATACTCATTTCTTGCGTTGACATCAAAAAGATCCCCAGCTCCCAAAGCATACGTAAGCGAGTCTTCGAATGCACCTAAGTGGTAATACACCTTACTAGCTACCAAAGCCGCCAACTGATGTTGAGAAAACACTTTGTCCTCGTGCAAAATTTCAATCTTCTCAATGGATTCAGATATCTCCGGCCAGAATTCATCAACAATGGTGTCGAGCCTTTTCAGGGCAAATTCCTTCACTTCGTGCATCGGTTCATCGAGCAGGGATATTATCCCTGCGGCTGAGGTGATGTTCATTTTGATTAATTCCTTTAATCACACTTAAGTTAATTATTTATGTCGCGGAGATCTTGCTTTGTACTAAATTATTAACAAGAAAATATCTTCCCAGTTTTCACGATGATTTGACAATTTTGTTTGGATATACAACAGATTCTATTAATAAGCGATTGCAGATAAGAAACGTTTTCTTTATTGTTTATACCTTGCACAGTATTGTATTGCCATAAAGTTTGAATTGTTTTTTATAAAGCAAAAGATGGTACCAAGAGAAATAAAATTAAGTTATTTAAATTAAAATAAGTTATTCTGAAAAATAAAATCAAGTAATATATATTTTTAAATCAAGCAACATAACATGACAATTTGAATCGCGTTGTTATTTTACTGTCAATTTGAATTGTTTTCTTGACAGATGCGTGACGTGTGTTGACGATTATTTGAAAGTGCTGGAAGATCGAACAGCTGCGTTTACCTTGCAAAACCAATATTATTAGTTAAATTATATCACAAAATGTTAGACTTATTTAGCATTTTTAGTAAAGGCGGTATAGTGTTATGGTGTTTTCAAAGCACGAGCGATATATTCTCGCCGTCAGTGAATTCTTTGATAAGAAACGTAATCTTACAAGTAAGTTCATTACCATTTATTATAGAAGCCAATGCTTACGTTAATCTCATTTATTGAAGGACGTCTTGTAATCTACTTATAATAATTACTTTAACGATATCATTACATGAATGATTATTTCAGGAGCGTTCTGGGAATAATTCCTATAACCATAATGCCCTTACACTCCAATACAAGCTTGATAATGAGTTTGAACTGGTTTTTGTGGTTGCGTACCAGAAGATATTGCAACTCTCGTATGTGGATAAGTTCCTCAATGACATACACTTGGAGTTTAGGGATAAATACAAGAATGATTTGCAAGGAGGACACTATATAACAGATTTTGATTTCAAAACTACATTTGAAAATGTGCTAAGACAGTGTGAACAATGGGGTATGTAACAACTATATTAAATATACTAGAGTTAGTATATATTTTTCTTAAGCTTAAATATGCCAAACTAGATGTGATGATTTATTTTGTTAAAAGTATTAAATATATTATTTAAAGACAAACTCATTATTTATTACTTTAATGAAGCAACCTATTACACTAATTATCATATTTCTAAATGGCCCTTAAGTTGAAAACTTTCTCTTTAATTTCAGCTAAGTCACAAGCAAAAATACCAAAACAAATGAGAACCTTTGAAGACTCTCTGAAGTCTAAAAAAACAGTTGCATCTATGATTGAAAGGAAGGGTGATGAGAAAAATAAAAAGTCAGGTTTGTTTACATGTATTACTTTCTTGAATATACTTTGGTTTCATAGTATGTCCATTTTAAAATGCCTCTAAAGAAGAACAAAAAACTAACCGTACCAAACATTTTTTTCATTTGTTTTCTGTCAACATGCATTGCTTATAACATATCTGTCTTAATTATGGGAGCTGTTTCAGATGATGATATTTTTGTATGTTTGTAACCAAATGTATAAGTAAAATACTACAGTACAACTAAATTTACACAGAATGACTTGCATTTACACTTTGATAAGAACAAATTTAACTGTGTTACTTAAAATTGAATATCTAATTACATTTGAAACCATGCGTGATACTTTTATCAGTTAAACTTCATGTTATTAATATACATATTGATATAGTTTAAAATGCATAACATGTGGATATTTTCTTACACTAATAGCAATCTTTTAAATTTCTATGCCTGACTGCTCTGTTTTCCAGAGGCTAAAAAACATAACCTCTATGTTACCCAATTACCAATAATTACAAAATAGTTTTGCTATCAATCTGTAACAAACTGTTTGTTTTTCAGTAAAAATAGTAGAAAATAAGAGCATAGCTAATGGTAAAGTAGAAGAACCGGTAGACACTGATGATGATTTAATTGCGGCCAACAGGGCTAAGCTTGCACAGAAATTGGCCACCAAGGGAAAGAAGGATGTAAAGTGAGTAGATTTTGTCGTTTACAAGAGCGAAATGTTTTATTTTGTATATTTTTTACATCATCACCTTGAATAGTAAATCAAAAATTGATTTTAGATGGAAAAAAAATTACGACTAGGGCGGCACTTGAATGTGCCCTACACGTTTGTCATAGAATTTATGTAACCTAGTGATACAAGCATCTCTTGCCAATAAAATTTAACCTTAAAATTTGCGAGTTAAGGTTTATTGTCCTAATACGGCTGCAGCATTCGGGTTTTAATTTATATAATGCCATTGTGTGTCACTGAAACATGCTAATGTTTTCATAGTAATCATATTTTCCCTTTAATATATAAATATATAAGTACTTATTAAGACACTTAGAAACGTTCCCCGAAAGCACCCGTCCTACCACAGGTGTCCCCGAAAGAAAATAAGACACTTAGAAATTGTATTCTTCTCTTTAGGAAATCTCCAAAGAGTCCAACCAATGCAAACAAAGTAGTGGACCGCACTAAGAAGCCTCGCGTTTGGGAATTAGGGGGTGATTCTAGGGACCTGCCTTCACTTGACTTCAGCACAGATAAGGAGGGTGATGTTGAGGTAGCAGCTGATACACAGGTATGTGTGGTTTTTAAAGCACTTGTATATAATCATATTGATAACTAACAATATCTGTAGTAAAATTTACAAAAACGAATTTGCTACTAAATTGGTGACATAAATAATTTTTTTGATAAATAACAGATAAAACAATGTGAAAATGAATTTTTTAATGTCTGCTTGTAGCTACTTTGCGGAGTGGTCATTCTTTCTATCGTTACTTTAATATAATTTATATTAACTTTTTAATTAGTTGATCGGCCAAATGACGGGTGCCATTCGGGATTTGGAGGTTGAGTCCGAAGAATCAAGCAGTGAGGAAGAAGTGGAACAAGGGAAACCCAGTCCCAAGAAATCTGGGGGCATGTTCAGTATATTTAAAGGTAATTTTCTTGTTTTCAACTCCAATGGCCTCAGGCCATTCAAGCTTTATTTGTTTGTTGGCTTTATTTGTTTGTTGTTGAAAATATAAGCCCTTCATTCAGTTATGATCTTTTTTATATAGATTTAAATTTGTTTTTTTTTACAATCACCAGGGATATAAGGTTCTAATTTCATTTAAATCTTTCTATAACTAAGATTTCATTAAGTAAATATTATTTTTCAGGTCTGGTGGGCTCTAAGGCTTTAACTGAAGAGACGATGCGACCAGTGCTGGACAAGATGAGGGACCATTTGATTGGCAAGAACGTTGCTGCTGATATAGCTAATAAGCTTTGCGACTCCGTCTCTACTAAGCTAGATGGAAAGGTATACTTCTCACTTGTCTTGAGTCTGAATCTGTTCTAGTGTTGAGTTTATTTATTGCTTTCTGTAATATTTATATATATTTTTATTATACTAGTTAGTAAGAAACTTTTTTTAACGCCTGTTTTATATTAATGAGTATTATAGAATCCGTCCAAAGAGAAAAAAAAATTTTTTGAATCTTTTATATCTTTACTGAAGAAGTCAATTATTTTGGATAAGTATGTAATTTTAAACATACACTCAGTTAAATACTGTCTATAGTGAGTTTTGGACACAATCTAAATTCCATTCTTAAGTGTCTTATAAATGTCTACTGTAAAATAAAGAATGTGAAATTTAATTGCATGCAGTTGCAGGCTTTTCTCGTGTACTTAACCATGTTTACTTAGGAGGAACCATGTCTTTAATAATTCTAGCCATTACCTTTTTAAAAAAGGACTGAAGTTATTCTTTTTTTTTGTTGGCAGGTCCTTGGTACTTTCGACAGTGTGGCCAAGACGGTGAAAGCTACTCTAACGGAGTCGCTGATGCAGATTCTATCTCCAAAACGACGCGTGGACATCCTCCGTGATTGTCTCCATGCAAAGCAGCAGGGTCGGCCATATGTTATGTCCTTTTGCGGGGTGAGTATTCTGCTGTTTTTGGTCATAGTTACTTTTTGCTGGAAGACTTTAATATTTGACTCACTTAGGTTGAAATTACGATTTGACGATCTAAATAATACAATTTTAAAGAAAATAAAGTATATTTTATTTATATAAGAACAAGTACCTATCAGTACAACGGACACATAATTGTGTATACATTCCACGTTTCATTCTATGTACGTTTTTTTTCCAGCGTTCTAGCATTTATTCGACATTGTGAATTTAACTAAAATTAACAAATAAACAGGTAAACGGCGTTGGAAAATCGACGAATTTGGCAAAGATCTGTTTTTGGTTGATCGAGAACGATCTGTCAGTTTTGATTGCCGCTTGCGACACGTTCCGTGCAGGTGCGGTCGAACAACTGCGCACGCACACACGTCGTTTGGACGCATTGCATCCACCGCAGGCGCATGGAGGCCGACGCATGGTTCATCTCTATGAGAAGGGATATGGTAACCATATATAACTTATAAATCCAAATTAGCATATTCCAGCTAAAATAAGTTAACCTTCTTTACAAATTATTCCAACTACGTCCCGATGTTTCGTACGTTTTGCAGCAGCCATGGTCACGGGTAGACTAAATATGGAGCCATCTCTAATGTCTAAATAAAAACTGCTACGCTAGCGCCATCTGTTGCGCATCTCGTTTAGATGTTACAAAGCTGGGGTATTTCATGAAGTGCACCCATTGTTGTCTGTCCTCCTCTATCATAAAAAACCCATTCGCTTTGCACTAAATATGAAACGTGAATTTTTTACATATATTAATGGTTACATTATTCCTTTTCAGGCAAGGACGCAGCCGGTATAGCAGCAGAGGCCATCCGTTTTGCGGCAGACTCCAAAATAGACATCGTCCTTATCGACACGGCTGGCAGAATGCAGGACAATGAACCGCTCATGCGCGCTCTAGCCAAACTGATTAAGGTCAATGAACCCGATCTGGTGCTGTTCGTGGGCGAAGCCCTAGTCGGGAACGAAGCCGTAGATCAGCTGGTTAAATTTAATCAGGCGTTAGCTGATCACAGTTCATCGTCCAACCCGCACGTCATAGACGGGATAGTGTTGACCAAATTCGATACTATCGACGATAAAGTGGGCGCGGCGATATCGATGACGTACATCACTGGTCAACCGATCGTTTTCGTGGGGACGGGACAGACTTACACGGATTTGAAGGCGCTGAATGCAAACGCGGTCGTTCATGCGTTAATGAAGTAGTTTGATGGGTGGTTATTTGACGGATTCGTAAGTGAAAATCAATAGGTTTTTAGGTTATAAAATATGGTGACTTTTTTATCATGCTCGCTGGTGTTATGGTTGCAATGACAAACTAATAATGGTCCCATCCCAAGGATGCCATCCATATGTTATGTAAATGATATTTTACCTTAATTTATTATACAGATATATAGCAATAAATAAAATGTGTTCAATATCAAATGACAAATAATAAAATTAATTTACTTTAATTATACGAATCACAAGAAAGCTGTGACTATAAAACAAATAAATTTCGCCGTTTCACTTACGAATCCTTATTGACCTATTTCTGGTGATTTTCACTTTCATCTAGTATTCTAAATCACTATGGGAACCAATTGTTACTTTCGCACTTTTTTCTTGCTCCAAAACTACATTCAAGTTACCAAGAATTTGTGGCCATTTTTAGCTTGTCTTCTAGAAACTTAATTCTCTTTCAGTCAGATAATGGATTCAGAATAAGCAATAATAAGTCATTAAATTTTATCCTTGACATACGTCAGTTTAACTGACAATTGACACTTCAAAAAAAAGTCTAAAATGTTTTTACTTTAAATCCAATCCTTTTTGAGGTTACATTTCGGGTATAGTTAAGTTCAACGTCATTTCAAAGTTTATAACGACTAGCGCCTTAAATTATTTTATATTTCCATTTAATTGTATCTCTATCATATCACCTATATTTGTTCTATTGTTAATGGTAATGGATTCTATTACGTTAAATAAATGTTTATTTTCTGATTATTTTGTTTGTTTTATTAATTTATGTTGCTTGCGTTTCTATCGGGACAGATTAATCACTTGTAATTTTTTTAATGCTTTTCTATCAATTTTTGTTTTTAATCTATAAAAAATGCATTTTAGGGTGATATGTTTCGATAAATTGAAATCGATTCAAACGGCTTGCGCATTTTAAAAGGTCTGTAAGCATTCTAGCTGCTGTGTTCTATTCTTCGTTATGAAAATGAAAGCAGACAGATAATAATTTGTACTGCATTACATTTTATTCATGTATACACAAAACACAAGTGTTATATCCGAACTTAATCTTAAGTTACATATGTCTGTTTGTCAGCACAACATAAAGAAAATGGTCCACCTTTTATTTATATCTTTTTTTCGATTCGTACTTATTTCTAATGTTAATGTTTATCATTGTTAAGACTTTTAAAGATAACTGAAATATTATTTCTAGGTTAATTACTTATTACTTAATATTTCAACCACTTCTTTCTATTCCTCCAAGTAAATGATGACAATGATATATGTGGCAGTGCCTTTTTATTATAGGAATTCCTTAATTTGATGTATATTACAGACCATTCTTTATATTTTAAAACAGAACGAATTTTGAATGATTGCAAAAGTGTGTAGTGATTTTTTTTTTGTAATTTTGTCAAATTGTTTTAAAAATATTGCTGTAAGGGTAAAAAATTCCTTATTAATCATTTGCCAAGATGACATTGCAGATTTAGTCTTAACCACAAAACATGGCATGTCATTTAAGAATGTGGTCAATGCAGCAATGATTACATGTTGTCTTTTTCTCTCGTATTGTAAGTCAAATTTTGTGTGATAAGGACAACATAAATTTGGCAGCATCGTTTTTCAATATAGCACGGGCGTAGAATTAAGAATATTATAAATTGTTTTTCCATTTATTACAGTTTGTTATAAAAAAATCCACTGTTTCTTTTCACGCCAATTTACATAACCAAGGTACCAAATTCTCCTTCCAACGCTTCTGTAAATCAATTTATTTTTTAATGTTCCGCCAGTAGACGTGTATAAAACCTGAAGATTTATTTATTGAGGGAATCTGAATTAGTCTGTGGATTTACTAATGTAAAGTGAATCATTAGTATTTTTCACATGATTTCTGCGATGATGATGATGTATGTTAAGAGTACCTTTTTAACTAGCGTTTGAAGCGGCAATCAAATTCAAACCATAACATTTCTACTTCAAATGTTTGTTCTAATAAACTACTTATTTACGAACAGCGTTAGCACAAAACATATTTTAAGCTCCAAATTATTTCTAATGACCTTTTCATTAAACACTTCCTAATTATGGTGGACATATACCGAATTAATGAACACCTAGTTTTGCCATCGTCAGTGAAAGTGCAGAATGGATAAAGTGTACGAATATGCGAAATCTGCGATAGTTCATTTTAAATTGGAAAGATGTTGTTGTCTAGCCCCCATCCGTATTGGTGTGATAATAATGGGATATTTTAATGTATTTGTTGGGGTAAGTTCGAGTTTTGATTGTCATTCTTTTATAAAAAGGCCTGACTGAAACCAATCAATTCTCACGGCTTGATGAAATAATTGATTGATGATATTCCCACCTGATAAAAAATAAAATAAGAGAAATTTTGCACTCGTTGAGAATCGAATCCAAGGCCCGTCACTTATTAGCCATACATATCAGCAGTTTTGATCAACCAGTCCGTCAAAGCGTTCTTAGGTAAGTACCGATGTACATGACCGTACCATTCATCGAAACAAATGAATGCTTTTAAACTGCTTAAAAAATAATTTCAGAGTAAAAAGAAACGGAGATAGATTTAAAAGCACAAGACATCTATAAAATATAGCATATAATATTGTTCAAATTGGCACGGTATGTCTCAGTTAGGCGGGTTCGAGTTCTGCTCGTATTATGTTCTTCTTCACATAGTCGGATGCTCACGATTTTTGTATTAAGTAAAAAACAGCGATCTATTAAAAATACTATTTACATTCAAAAAGCATATTGAATTCATCGGATAAATACAGCACTTTATTAATTCTAATAAGGGAATTTACTTCCAGCTATTATCCCTGGTAGGAACAGCGGATGGAGGCATCACACCACCTCTAATGGCAGTTCAAGAGTTGATCCTCGAAGATAATGCTTCCAAGCCCCTGGGTGTCATTGCGTATACAGCAGAAGTCGGTTTCAACATGGTGCTGCTATGCGGCATATACAGGGTAAAATAGCAATGAAGTTTGCGTAAAAAATAGCAAAATTTTAACGGTTAAAAATGACGCTTAACACACCGTCATTACAGTTGCTGAAACTAAAATGTCGTGTCGTAATTAAAAATAAGTAAAATGCTGTCTATAGTGTACACGAGTAGTACACATTTAAATAAAACACTTTAACAGATTAAAACGCGATATATATGTTAAACTTATTGAAAATGACTTTTAATAAGTTATATAACAGCTAATATATCGCGTTTAAAAATCGAAAACAAATTGAAAAAAAAATTCGACTCGGGCAGGTCTTGAACCGGCAACGTCTGCGTTCCGTGCTGTTAGTTAAACTTATTGAAAACCATATTCAATAAGTTTAACTAATATATCGCGTTTTAAACCATTAAAGTGTTTTATTTAAAAATAAGTTATCTAATATACAATGTACTTATAAACTTTAATTTATATAAAAAATATTTCTTGATATAAATTAAAGTTAACATTCATAGCTTGGTTAAATGTAAAGCAAGAGATGTCTTAGAGTCGCATTCCGGGGCAATAAAGTGTTTCAGTCGGGCAGGGCACAAAAGTTTGATCAATCAAAAAGTTGCCAGTAAATAAAATCGATCGGTGAAACGGAGACAAATGTTCGCCCCGCTGGGGAAACTTTTTAACAACTTTACTTTAATTTATATTGAAAATCTATTGACAACATCGATACACAGAACCGCACCTCAGGGGGGGGGGGGGGAGGAAGGGGGCAGGCCCCCTCGTCGAAATTTTTCAACTTATAAACCCCCTTCCACCCCTCGCGCAGTGTAATTTCAACAGCACGGAAAGTGACGAGGGGGGGGGGGAAGGTCCGGCGGGAAAGGAAAATTTTTTCAATTTATTTTCGATTTTTAAATTATATAGTGCCTTCATGTGCAATAACATGTGAAAAAATTAAGTTTAAACTTTATTTAATTTTGTTAAAACCTATACAACACTTTACACGAGAAATGCAAGATTTCATAGGTTGAAAAAATTCGACGAAGGTAGTACACTGTAGCTTCGTTGCTTACGGTAGCTCAGTTGCTTAAAGTAACAGCACGCAACGCTGTGGATACCGATTCAAGACCTGCCTATATAAGATACAAAACATCATTATAAGTCGGATAAGGTATAGAATATCAATCAACTACGCAAAATCCATCTCAAATGATACGGGCACTGAAATGTTTGGTCCAACACCTATGCCTGATTGTCTTTTATTTTACAGAATGATGTAGTCCTCCTGCGAATCTATATTTACTTCGTGGTGGTAGCAGTGGTGTCTTCCATATTGGTATACTCTATGGTCATTGCGCTGATATCGATTCTGACGAAACTGCTCATATTTGGTAGTATCGGTACGTTTATTTTTAAGACATAGACAAGATAGCTTAGAGTTCACTTAATGATCGAAAGATGTGATTGACTTATTTTGGGTTAGGATATTCAGATGTCCACGAAATGCTATGATAACTTTTACACTTTATTTTCACACTTTGATTTTTTATTTGAACCTACGACCCGTCGATACGCAAATTTTCAGCCCTTGGCAATAATATTATTAATCAATGTATGTAAAGGTCGATTTAAAAATCAATGTTACTACTCCAGTAAAATAATACTGCACTGCTATTTTTATGAAATTTTCAATCAGTCAGATCTGGCTTATGACACAAGTTCGATTTCTGACAGAGTCATAGTAGTTTAACATTTTGTAGGTTGAATTTTTATAATGGGTTTTGTCTTACTTTTTACCGAGACCCTGTTAATTAATCTTGAAAGCTGTATTCATCTTTCTTTTTACAGCATTTCAATTCTACATTATACTCCTAGTAAGAAGCGCGATAGTTGAAATAAAAGAAAGCAATGCCACAGATAAAAATGGCCACGCAGTTATTTATTCGGTAGTGCGAGATAGCGAAAGTAAAGTTGAAATCAAACTACCCTCCGAGCAGGGACAAGAAATTGAGAAAAAAGAATTGGAAGATGAAACTGTTAAAGAGACGGAAAATACTGAAGTAAAGGTGGCATTAGATGAAAATGGAGACACAAATCATAATTCCGAGGAAAAGCCAGAAAGTATCGAAGTACCACATAAAAGTAGTGACAATGTAAAGTGAAATCCAATTTGACTAGGCACAACGTCAAAATTAGCTATTGATAAAAAGCATTTTGATCCTATAAAATGCTTTGTTGAACTAAATAGAATATCGTTTTTAAGTAAATCATTTGATTTATGAAGATCTTTTCATTAAATAAACTATAATAAGACCGTAGGCACATATAAATCAAATGATTTTCAAACAAATGAAATTTGTATTTTCGGTAGCAGCAAAAAGATTGTTATGATTTATATTTTCAAGCATTAATAGGGTTTAAATAAAACACTTTAACGGTTCAAAACGCGATATATTAGTTAAACTTATTTGAAAATGATTTTTAACTTCGGGCCGACGTTAAACACACAACAAGTACAAATTTCATTTTTAAAATCATTATATGTGCCTACGTGTGTATAGACAGTATTTAATTAATAGGGTTGTTAAACGTCCGAATATTCAAAGCTAAAATAGGTAGGCAGCACATCTTGTCAAGATGTTATATGGCTGAGGTATTTCCCCCCATTGAATTCTATATCTGTCTTCCTCAATCGTAAAAAGCGCCGATTCCACTGACTGTTGTTAGTTAAATTGGTTATTTTCTTTGGCATAAAGGTCAAAGGTCATTTATTCATGTATGTAATTAGGTGCACTTATGTTACGTCACACCAGATTAAGTTAGTCTTAAACTTAAATTTACATTTGCTACCACGTCTCACATCAAGTGTGTAGAATGAGAAGAACTGGCAAGAAACTCACCGCCAGTCCTAACCTTGGGGTTTAAACAAACACAATATACGAAAGACATATTTATTCATCTGTCAAATCAACAATAGACCATAAACAGTTTGAAACAATTTTAACTGCTCATATTAAAAACAAAATTTAAACCAATAGATGAAAAAGTTAAACAGTCATCCAACATTTTGAAATTTACAGACTATTTTAAATCGTATTTTGAACCTAGGACCTGTCAAATTAATGTCAATGATTATAAATATGGAGGTTTAAATTGAGCTTTTTTATCTTCCCTACTCTAACATGATAATTACGAAAATTAAAAACAGTCAATCAACAAATGTCAAACACATTGTTACAGGTGGTAACTAAGAATAGTCTTATAGAGTACCATAGCTTTCTCACTCAGACAAAGAAAATGTTATTTTACAATGGCCATCACGATAACATTATCGAATAAGAATCTATATAATATTTACTATAATCTATATATTCTACCTATACCTTAAATACAATACTCTTACAAGTTTATGTACCGGAACAAGTCAATAGAGGTAGGATTCACTTTGTGAAAGCAACGGTCCAACTAAATAAAGACCTTTAACTGTTTAAAACGCGAAAATAACTATTCATGATTTTTATTGACCCAACGTTTGATGTTACGTAAACTAAAATAATGCGCGTTTTAAAGAGTTAAAAGTGTTTTATTTGTGTGTTCTATTCGGGTAAGTAGAGACATTGGTAATCATACATCTCATAAATGAATTTCGATCGGATTTTTGTTTGGAAAATTAACTGAACAAAACCGAAAAGAGAATTTATATATCACGGTTTGTGCGCCTTCAAACGATGGTGTGGGCGTGGAAAATCAGTACTGCAACTAACTAATGTCCAGAATATTATTCGCAGAATATTAGTCGCTGGCTAACAATAGTGGCTAATCCAATCAACTCGTTTCGCTGAACGACTTAGCATATGTTTTATACCATTTTTGAAATGGAAATTCTGAACAGTTCTGTCACAATATCTTTGATCTTTACTGAAACTTACTTTGGCTGCCTCTGAGACTGCGAGACGATCCCATACCGCGACCTAAAACGAAATATTTCTTTTTAACCTAATGGTAACTTAAAAATAGATAATAAGTGATAATACAATTTCCGAAACATGTAGTACTTCGCCTGGAAGTCTGGATAAGCCGTGAAAGTTTAATCACGCTTCGTCACGGTATTCACGGTTTAAGTCTGTGGATTTCCGATTATAATATAGTTGGACATCTTGTTTTGATGCTATAGACTGGGGTAACTCACTTACCATCAAGTGAGCATGGAGTTTGTGTGTACTCCTGTATCATAAAAAAAAATGTGAATATCCCGATTTGCAGAAAATTATAAATGGTTTCGGGAAACGTTGGACCTTGTAAAAATCGAACCCAAGATCCATCTCACTGGAACGAGCTTATCAAAATCATCTTACCTCGTCCAGCCAGCGCTAGACTGGGAAACTCGATCTCTGATAACTCTGGAGCGATCTCCACCCGAGGGCCACCTGTGGATGAAACAAATAATATTAGCCAAATAAATGTAAACCAAGAGCGATGCTAGAGGTAGAGTGGTATAATAATAATGATTTTTAATAAGGAGGAAACATAAATGCAATTAACTTAGGCAAAAATGAATTAGTACTATTATTAAATAAATAAATAAATTTGTGTAAAATTCTTGTAGGAACCATTTTTAGACTATGAAAATATAAATAACTCGAGTCATAAAATTGCAGTTAGGCTACTCTGCCTCTAGTGGTCTCAAAGTTTAATGTAATGTATAAGTATTCCGTATTACAAAGACATCGCTGTCTATGAACTGTGCAGGAACCTCTTTAGAACAGCGATAGAGTTTAAATTCATATTTATCAGTCATCGGTATGAGAAATATATAAAATAAACAACTGATGTAGAAGGACATCGCTCACAACAGATTTGTTGCAACGCCGATTTTACAGTGAAGTCCCATGGATACCACTTTTTTAAAGTTGACAAGAAGTGGAAAAGGGAGGAAACACAAGTATAAATTATGGTATTTTAAAATAAAAAAATGCTCACCAGTTCTTTTGGGCATTCGCAGTGGTACGTGTCTATTCTCCGCTGAAAGTAACAAAGTATAAAAACATCAATGAAACGAATATATTGTTTAAATAGTAAATACAAGGTTCTTTTAGGACCGACACACATGGGAAGGTTTACCTCATGGAAGGATGACAGAGTTTAACATCTAAACAGGATGCGCCCTATTTTGACTTTTGCATATTTTAAAATCCGCAGACTGCAACCGAAACGCAATAAGTCTTGCATCTGTTGAGCTGTTCTTATATTGCTACTAGCGGACCTATGAGATTGTTTATATTTAACCTCATGTGTAGTTTACTGAATGGCATGTACTCAAACAATTTACTAGATTTATTTTAATAAGTTTGATACAAAAACATAAAGGTGACTGCAGTCATACAGACACCTAAAATAGAGGTGACTGCAGTCACACAGACTCCTAAAATAGAGGTGACTACAGTCACCCCCTGTTGGGCCGACAACGCATCCAAATAGAGGTAATTGGCTCTTCTATCAAGTAAACCTTATGCTTGTTGGTCTTAGATATTTCTTTTTTAAGATTTTAGATAGTTAAATGAATGTGTGTATTACACTTACAAAGCACGCTTTCGCTAGATGAGTTCGCCAAGTCAAAACTTATGTTCATTGTTTGTTTCTGAAAACATTAATACATATTAAAAAAGCCTTACAAACATATTACAGACAATGAGATCGATTCGCTGTTGAGAATTTGTAAATGGCTTGCATTGGGTACTTGAGGAGTACTGGGTCCAAATATCAAGGAAACATGATGAATACTTTCTTAAGCAAAGAACACTAATGTGTTTTTCTCATACATAACTATTGATTTACTAGCTGAACTGGCAAACGTCCTTGTGAGTTAAACTTAATAGACATATTCTGTCGCGGATTTTCTTTAGATTCTTTAAAAAATAATTATTTTTTACACTGTTTTCGGTTTCTTGAACCGCTTTCGCAGTGCATGCAACGAAATCCTTTTTCTACACATTTCCTTCTGTTTCTGCGCTCCTATTGGGCGCAGTTTCATATTTTATAGCCGATGGGTTTACTCAATAAATGGTCTAGGGCAATTTTTCAACTCGAACCAGTAGTTCCTGAGATTAGCGCGTTCAAACATACAAACAAACTGTTTAGCTTTATATATGATAGTTCTACCCGAGAAATGGTTTTTTACGTGTCAATTGATGGCAGATAACTTACCGTTAAAGCGGCAATCGAAGAACTGACCTCTTTCCTCCTTTGAACTTGAGTTTCTATTATTTGCTAAAAATTAAAATGGTATTATTATATCGTTAGGCAAATGAGAAATTAAATAACACACTTTTAACCGTTTATAACGCGAAATATATTAGTTAACTCCCCTTATGACCACAACTGGTACAGAGCGTCTGAAACGTCGGGCCGTACCTATATATATGGGTCTTATATACTTGCGTTTTAATCTGTTAAAAGTTGTCTTATAATGTATACATATTATTTTGAAATAAAGTATGAATAATAAAAATGATGAAACAAACAAAAAAAGAGTTTGAAGAGTTACACTCACTTCAACATCAAAGTCGGGCGGCAAATGCTTCCCGGCCTCCATGTCCACGCCCAATACTGGGCAGCACGAGTCCATTATGGTGAACGCGAGACGCTGCGCACGCGACATAGTACATTCTGTCGTCAGATCTATCTTATTGTGGTGCTGTGGACGTGACGGACAACACATGACGGACTCGTTAGTCTAATGCTAGCAATATATGGTTAATGTAATGTTTCTAATCAATTTATAACATGTTAGACTTCGCCCGGCAATCTGTATGGCAGGAATATCAAAATTCAACCGGGTCATGAAACACTGTCCACAGATGAAAAAAGCATTAATTTCCAAAATTTCAGTTTCAGTCTATGGTTTTCCAAATATTCAAAGCCATAGAAGTCTACAGTGCAACTTTTTTTGATATTATAGGGCTGAAGTATTTCACCTTCCATCCAGCGGACCCCGACCTTGTCTATCCACCTTTATATTAAAATAAACATGTTCTATACTTCGACATTGATATCCTTTACAGTCGAAATAAAACACTTTAACGGTTTAAAACGTGATATATTAGTTAAACTTATTTATAACTTCGGCCCGACGTGTCTCCCCGTGACCACGGCTGCTGCAAAGCATCCGAAACGTCGGGCCGAAGTTAAAAATCATTTTCAAATAAGTTTAACTAATATATCGCGTTGTAAACCGTTAAAGTGTTTTATTTAAATGTGTACTACTCGCGTAAACTATAGACTTTAGTATCCTTTACAGTCTTTTAAAAATTAATATTAAAACCAAATATTTCAATTGTACATAATAATTGTATAAATTTTACATAACAATAGTCATAGTAGTAATATATATTGAAAAACTCACATCACAACCAATCCCCGGTGAATATTTAAAAGGGTCCTTCTTTAGCTGCACTAAAGGCAGCGATTCCTTGGGGAACAAATCGGTTGGCTGAACACTTATTGCGTTCTTCAGGTAATAGAAGAGTGTGTCTATCTTGTACACGCGGAATAACATCTCATCTTCAGCTGTAGAAAATTAAATTATATTTAGATTAAAAAAAATATGCAATAACAAATATACTATATTATTTAGCCTGTTTATTAATTTATATAATTGCGCATTTATCGCAGCCAATCTATGTTGTAAGTGCTACTTTGCCGCAACCTCACATCACTCCTACTCTAACTCCCACTCCTATTCCCAAAAAGCCAAAAAGTTTTATTGTTCTAGCTTCAAAAACCACGAATTTCCATACAAACGCAAAAAGTAGCCTATGTTCTTTCTCAGGGTCTAAACCATCAGTGTACCAAATTTTATTCAAATCCATTCAGTAGTTTTGGCATGAAAGAGTAACAGACAGACAGACAGAGTTACTTTCGCATTTATAATATTAGTAAGGATTGTTAAACTGAAGAGTTTGTTTGTATTTTTAAACACACTTAAATCAGGTAGTTAGATTTGAAATTTATGTGTGAAATAAACTTTAGTTCTCAAGTAAGTGGTCTTTCTCATTATTAACTAAACACAGTAATTCAAACAAAATAGTTTTCAATTGCATAAGGGATTAAGGCTTTTAATTACGCTTAGATCTTACAAGCTCGGCTGCACATTTCATAAATGAAGTCTTGCACCGGTGCCACTTTCTCTGGCATTGTGAAGATAGGTGGCAGCACCTTAGCACTGGGGTCACTCCGCTTCAAGTAATCGATGACGTTTGCCAAAATCTGCATATAATTGCTTGGAGTAGAATCTTCATCGGGCATCTCGAGGCCAAACTCCTTACTTCCCATTTTGACATCATATGCATAGCCCCGTTCAATGCGCCCTACATAAGAAAATAAATTGTACATTGTGTAATGTAACTAAGTATAAACATATAGAACCATATATTTTTTACATAGCATGTGTTTTTTTTTATCGAATTAATTTCAGTTGGATAAGACACAGAAGGCAGATCAACTTCAGTAAAAGAGACGCATACATTTATCTGCTCCAAAAGAGGGAAATAAATAATAAAATATAGAAAGCCGACATTTATATTTACCATTACATCTCAAAACTGTGAAGGAGGGAGTGTCAAGGAATTAATAGCTATCAAAGAGCTAAATCCACTTCCACTCACCTCCATTGCAAATTAAACCAGTGTATGTATATCAAGTATGGCTAGTAGATGAAATAAGATGATAGCCGGGTGCCCTAAACCGTCAGCCTATGCTATTATACATATAATTAACCTGGATTAATCATCTCGTGATATAAATCTTTGATTCCATCTGCCAAGCTGAATCGCAGAATTGTGCTCTCTCCAATCACATATCTGTTTCTAACTTTGCAATAGTAATTTACATCTATGATGTATATGTCCCTGTTACGTATACCTGAAAATTAAGATAAGTCTTATGTATTATAAAATATAATTTATTCCTTTAATATTTATGATAGTAAATATGATTAATTTCTATAAGTAAGTATATTTGATTAAAACTACCCACACTTAGTACAATAATATATAATAGAATCAGAATATCTCACTGAATAAAACAATATTCATGTTACTGAATTTGATGTACCTTAAATTAGTACTAAAATGTTTTGAATTATGTACTCTTGGGTGATCAATAGAAATGATAGAAATATAGGGTTTAATATTTTAGTAGCACATTCTTAATTACAAGTTATATTTATTCTACTAGTATAATAATAACACGGTTTTCATTGTGAGACAAGTGGCAAGGCTGATCTGGAATCATTATCATTTTCATTGATTTAACCAAATTGATTACGTGGGCGAGCTCTTGGACATACCTTACTGGTAAAAGAATAGTATAGAACCCTGTCATGTGTTCAAGTCCTGCCTTATAAATTTTCTTCTAATAGGATAGATCTCATAGTAACTGTGAAGGAGTAGTTGATAAGAATTTATCTATTTTTATAACATGTGAGTACTAGTCCTGAACTTAAAGATAAATGAACGAAAAAACATCATGACATATTACTTAGCTCAGATAATGGCTTATATAAGCTATGTAATATGTAATAATATTGTTAAGCTACAAACTTACCAGTGTCTTTGAATTACATATTAAAAATTATTAAGAACAATGTGTATTAGAAATGCGATTACAAATACTCACTCTTTGTAACAGAATTTACATTAACAAAGTTCTGTATGTCATTCAATTCGCGTTCCTCCATTTCCCGTTTCTCTTGTTCAATCATGTCCACTTCTGCTATGGACATTCCAGTAGAAGTGAATTTCTTAGTTGGTATGTTAGATTTGTTTTTCTCCTCTTTAGCACGAGCTTCATACTTGGCACGCATTGAGGGAGGTGCGTCCTAGAATTCAATCATAACAAGAAGTAATATTTTATATATGTCAAAGGATCCTTACACTAGACAGTGAGGAAATTAGATTTATAGATGTTTACATTAGAGTCAATACATTTTTGTATATTTCACTTTTTAGGCAAATTATGTCTAAGTGTCATTGAAACTCTAAATATATAACTAGGAGACAATTTTAAAAGGCGCACTTGATCTTCATGGATTAAAATAAAGAAAAATTCTTACCTTCCATATTGGGCCTGCAACCTCGACAACCTCAGCCATATTTTTCAACATGTTTCCCTTCTTTCTTTGTTCTTCTTTAAAATCTAACATGAAGAAGTAGAATGCATTCTTTGGTGGTTTCTTCGGCATTTTGTAATGTGTTTTAAAAGTTATAAATTATGACCGAATTAGCAAATTGAATGTAATCATCAAATAATATCAATGCAAGCTTATATTGGAAAGATTCGGCAAAAATTATAAATGTTAAAATAGATCCTAAACTTGTGAACTTGTGAGACATAAAGATTCAAATATTAAATTGTTAAACTATTCTAACTTTTAAGCCACAGATGTCTAAAATATACTTAATTTGACAATTCGTTTTGACATATCTTGAACCACTTTTTGATAGGCGTCATTTGGTGTCATTTAGTGTCATTTGTCGTGTGCTTGTCTTTCTGGTTTTGCCGTACGCGATCTACTTGTGAATGTCTTTAAAATGCTTTAAAAGAATTTAATTTTCTCAGAATTGTTTACTTCGATTGCACTACTTATTATATATACTAAAAGAGTTTGTGGCTTAGAAAACTTTAATAGGACGACGATATTGTGTATATTGCTACAGAAATCTTGATTTTGAGTGGTAAGTTTTTCAGTTTAATACTAATATTTTTTTAACTAAATAATAATATGTTTGTGAGAAAAAGGTTTCCCGTATAGAAGGGTCTAGTCTCTTCGTTGAATTATATACGTGTACTATGATACGAATATTTTCCTCCTGTCGGTCAATAGGTGCCATACAAAGCCCCAGCTTAGATTTGATATTTTAAATTAAGAATATCCGGAGTTATAATACGTTTAAAACTATTTGCTCTTGCTTAGGGTTGGTATTTTAAATTAAGAATATCCGGTGTGATACTAAGTAAAAAGCTGTTTATTCTAGCTTATATATTTTGACATTTTTAATTAGGAATATCCAGCTTAGTTATATGTTTGAAGCTATTTAATACAGCTTAGTCTTGATATTTTAAATTGAGAATATTTGGAGCATTAATATGTTTGAAGTTATTTGAAAACAGTCTTTAACCAGTTACTGTAAACTTTATCAATGGTATAATTTTGTATTAATTTGTTTAGAGCTACATGTGTAAATGTTCCTTCTTGTGTTTCAAAAGATTCAAGATTTACTTCAATTATTAATTCAGAAATTATTATGGTTAGAGCTACTAAAATAAAATTATTTTAATAACTTTAATTTGTGCAGCTTACAAATTTATTATTTAAATAAATTACTTTAACAGTTTAAAATGCAATATATTAGTTAAACTTATTTGGAAATGATTTTTAACTTTAGCCCGACGTTTTGGATGCTTTGCAGCGTCTCCCCGTGACCACGGCTGCTTTATTTAAATGTGTACTACTCGCGTAGACTATAGACATATAGACATAGACAGTAATAAAATTTATTTTTATTTGTTTTGTAAAAATATATTTAAATGTTAATAATTTTTTCTCTGTCTTCACCTTGAAGGCAATTTTTTGTTCTGTAATTTTATTATAATAAGGCAATGGAGAAATATCAATGAAAAAGCCATCGATGATACTTATTATAATTTTTATAAAATGAATAGGAAATAGTTCCTCACTCAACAACCATTCAAACTTCATTCTTATATTGGGTGAGCAACAAGGTACACTGATGAATGTCAATATAGTTAAAAATAAGAGCCAAAAGGCATATTATGCTTTCAATTATAATAAAATCATTAATTATAATACTTATTGCATTCACCATTGTACTTTGGCATCTGTCCGTTAATGCACATTGTACTCTTGTTGCCATTACATGACATTATAGTAATTGTGTTGCTATTGTTGTTTTACAAGCCATACTATTCTTTTTATAGTGCTTCATACTATCAACAAGTTAGACCTATTATCACTAAGATATGATGTCCTTGCTTAAGGTATCTTTTAATGGTAGACATTTAACATTGAACTTAAAGTTACTATAACCTAGTTAATTTTGACAGCTCTCAAGTGATGATATATCCCCAAACATATGTTACATAAGTATATAATTGAAAAAAATATTGTCTGTAGTTTCGGAAGTAGACTTTTAAATTCTAGACTTTCAATGGCAAAAAATGTGAAATATATTACACAGAGGTTACAGTCCTCTGTGATCACAGCTGCTGGAAAGCTTTCTGGCGTGTTGTCACATGGTATCCTAATTATTAAAAAAAAAGTGAATAGGCTAGTAAATTAAGATTTGATATTCAAACCCAAGTCCTTGTGTTCTGCATGAGTGCACTAACCACTAGAGCAATAAACTATGTAGTTTGATTTTATTGCAGTAAACATATTATTTGTATGAATTTTATTGATATAGCATTTTTTACAACAGAGTACAAAGTAATTAAGAATATCCAACGTTATCAACCACAAACAAAACTAGATAAAACAATGTTGAACCTTGAAATTAAAGCTCATCATTAAATCATTTAATGACAATGCTAAAACAATTAATGCTGGAATTGAATTTTTAATTTATTACATGAGATGTACTTATATGATATAACTGATGTATTCTCTATTATCTGAGATTTATTTATAGTTGATAAGAATTTTATAGCTTGTTTAAATAAATGTAAGTATCTATACTTCTATACTAATATATAAAGCTGAAGAGTATGTTTGTTTGAACGCGCTAATCTCAGGAACTATGGGTTCGAATTGAACAATTCTTTTTGTGTTGGTTAGAGCATAAATCGAGGAATAGGCTACGTACTATGCTAACACATTGCGATGTGACTAATAGGAGCGAAGATACAGCGAGAAATGTAAATAAAACAGGGAAAATCTTTCATCTTCGTAGGTTTCAGATGCGTACGCTGCGAAAACGGTTCAAGATATCTAAAAACTATATATGAAAGAATCCCCTTAAAATGATCTAAAAAAAAGTCCGCGACGCTATGTGTCTATCTTTTAAGATTAACTTGCAAGAACGACCCGAACGACTGGACGCGTACGAGGGGATACGAATATTGTGGATAACAGCTATCTACACTAATATTATAAAGAGGAATGATTAGTAATTTTGTATGTAATGAGTAAACTAAAAAAAGTACTGGACCGATTTTAGTAATTCTTTTTTCATTAGACAGCTACATTATCATTGAGTGCAATAGACTAGATTAAGACTATTAGCCGAAAAATATCTTTCATCGCATACGATGCGAAGAGTATTAATGATAGGATAAAAAAATGTTCTAGAATATTATAAAATATATCAATATCTACAAAAAACATCTCGAGACCATATGTCTAACTATTGTAGTTACGTCGCTATAACTACTTTATTACTTTTAACAAATTGAGAGAAATGCCGAATAAAATCAAACCGTGTTGTCCATACCATTAATACATTTTTATTGGAATAAATATATACTATATAATTTAAGAACGGAAATAAATTGAAAAAGTTTTCGACTCGGGCAGGACTTGAACCGGCGTCGTCAGCGTTCCGTGCTGTTGCTCTACCAATCTACCATATACCAATCATTGCGCAAGAGGTACATGTATCAATAAGTTGAAAAAAATCAATGATGAGGTGTAGGACTCGGTAGCTCAATTGGTAGAGCAACAGTCCTGCCCGAGTCGAACATTTTTTCTGTTTATTTTCGATTCTTAAATTATACAGTGCCTTCATGTGCTTTATAATTTAAGATTATACAGCACATGAAGATACATGTAAAAAATAATAAAGTTTTCAAATCTATACTAATATTATAAATGCAAAAGTAACTCTGTCTGTCTGTCTGTCCCGCTTTAACTTCGAAATTACTGAACTCATTTAAATGATATTATACTGTACACAGATATTTTAGAGCCTGAGACATAGGCTACTTTTTAAAGCCAAATAAGGGTTAATAGGGGTTAAAAAGGGGATAAAAGTTTGTATGGAAATTCGTGGTTTTTGAAACTAGAACAATGAAACTTTCTTCTTTGGCTTTTTGGGAATAGGAGTGGGAGTGAGAGTGAGAGTGAGTGTAGGAAAGAGAGTGGGAGTTAGAGTAGGAGTGATGTGAGGTTGCGGCATAGTAGCACATACAAAATAGATTGGCTGCCTTCAATGCGCCCTTACATAAATTAATAAACAGCCTAAATAATCAAAAATTCTACCCCAAGTCACTATTCCACGCGGACGAAGTCGCGGGCACAGCTACTGTACATATGTAATCAAGGACAGAAACAATTTCTTAATGAAAATTGGAGCACTAACTTACACTTAAAACACTGTAACAGTTTAAAACGCGATATTTTTAGTTAAACTTGTTTGAAAATTATTTTTAACTACGGCCCGACGTTTCGGATGCTATGTAACAGCCGTGGTCGCGGGGAAAATTTGGCATTTAACAAGAGAAAGGGTTTAGGTTTCCAAACCAATAGGAGCGAAGAAAATTTATTTGAAGGGAATTATGGAATAAACGGTGAAAATTATTCTTCTTTGAGGGTTCCGTTGCGTTCGTTGCGAATGATTCCTCTTCCGCAAAAATATCCGCGACAGAATATCTATCGGCATAGCGTATAAATTATCTGCATACTTAATGTACTCGCAGTATATTTATGAAAATATACTACGAGTACATTGCAAGAATAGTGATAGGCATAATTTGAACGAAATAAGGATAACCTAGCTATCCCCAAATATAGGCTCCGTAAAATATCTAATGCATTTGTCTGAACGATTTCTTTAATGACAAGACCGCCTGGCAGTAATGTGAATTGTTCCTTAGGTAATAGGTTAGTAAATTTACAACAATGTATTCGTTTATAAGACATGTTAAAAAAGCCGGACTGAGTTTCTTGGGTGTTGTTCTCAGTTATGTTGCTCTTTTGAACACTCTGTAGAATCACGACAGTCAGGAAAAAAATGACGAATCCTTTTATTAAAAAATAAAGAGAATAAAGTATATTTTATTTTATCCTTTAAGATTCATTCGCAAGAATGACGACACAAAATAACTATGTATGCCACGCGGACGATGTCGCGGGCACAGCTAGTTGCAAATGAAATTAAGGCATGTATGTATTGTAGAGCATTTGTACAATTAATGTATTTTGCATTTGTTGCTTTTCTCTAATGGCACAAAGCGATTCGTTACCTCGTTTTACAAATGAAGCTAGTCGAAGCTACGTTGTTTTACGTTCCATTATGAGACAAGTGGGCCGTATATATGAAAAGATCTATCTGAACAAAGACACCGCACTGCAGACGGGTGAACTCTTTTATATTAGACGATTCGATTCCGATCCGATGTTTTGTAATTATTTCAAAATAAACATAAGATTTAAAAAACATTTTTAAATCTTATGTTTAATTGATATTTGAGTGATATAAGCTTAGCTGGACGCAATAATGTAAAATAAATAACATGTGGAGTTCCTACACTACTACGACGATGACGATCACGACCTCTCTGCCCAGAAATATGAATAGTACCTATATATTTAAATAAAACAACTTTATCGGTTTCAAACGCAAAAGAAATTAGCTAACATGTTTTTTTATTTAATTTAAGTACGGATTTTCGGATTTATAACGGCCGAGTATAAATTTGTTTTAAATAATTCGCCATACAGTATACATGACGTAACGACCCGATTTATTATCTAGTAAAAAGGTCAAATTCAAAAGCAGGAATTCATTCTGATTAAGATTTCACAACTAAGTTCTATTCATGATCTATGTATAAAATAATGCTGTATTTGTTTTTAATTCGCGCTGTAAGTTCTTTTATTTTTTTAAATCGTATCGTCGTCTATAAAGTTCACTGTCTCAGATTAAAATGGAGTAGTTGAAGCCGTGTCTGCGTTGGACATTGAAAAACTTTTCCGTTTAGTATTTTTTTTGAATGGTAACTTTTTCAATGGCTGACTTTTTTGAAGAGCCAAGAGTTTTAATGTATAAAAATTTAATCCGTTCCGAGTTGTGAATGATATTTTTCTTGAATACGTGCGAGATAAAGTCTCAAAATGTATTGTTAAATGAAGTGAATTAATACAATATAAAATGTTGGTTAAAATGTGTGAGTGCATTCTAGGGAATAGCTAATATGTCTTGTTTTTAATTTAAATAGTTCCTTATATACCCATGTAGTTGATGCGGGTGCTATACATAAGATATGACGATCAAACGTCGCTTCTAAAATAAACAAATAACTATAATACGGCTACTGCAAAGTATCCGAAACGTCGGGCTGTAGTTAAAATAATTTTCAAATAAGTTTAACTAATATAAAGCGCGTTTTAAACCGTTGTTTTATACAATTAGAGTGGCGGAGAAGATTAGTAAACAGGAGATATTTTGTAGCAGGAGTGTGTGTATACATATATGAATTCTTAGACGCAATTTATATCATAGGACGGATGACTTCCCCTTTCACACCTTCTTGAAACTATGCTCATAATCGTTTGTCTGAAATTTCTCGAGTAACTCGTCTTTCTTAGAAACACCGCAGATAGTGTCAACTTGCGCGAGTGATGTACGAAATGCAAATAAACTCAGGAATCCAAAATATTTGACATTATAATATCTGTCTATAGTTTACGCGAGTAGTACACATTTAAATAAAACACTTTAACGGTTTAAAACGCGATATATTACATAATATATATCATAATATCTCATAGCATAATATATAACATAACATAATATCTTTTATGTCGAGTAATAGAGGTTCAGTATTAGATTAACGAAATTAAGTGTGTGATCCCTTAGTGGAGGTGTTGACATTCAGCAATAACTGATTGATTTTTTAATGATGAGGACAGACAAGCATAGGGGCCATGCGATGGAAGGCCTTACAAGATCTTAACAAATCTGTGTTCCCTTATGGCTTTAGATATTCGAAATCCAGAGACTGAAATCGAAACGCGATGACACTTCACGGCTTTTCTATCTTTGATTCGCGACCAAAGCGTGATTTGTTCTATTCGTTCCCAATAAATATCCAGATTTTTAGACGAATTGTTGAATTAGTTAAAGGTCTTTTATAAGCGGTACACAGCAAAGACTAATTGGGAACCGCTGATTTACATCGTTCTTTCAGTTTAAGAGACTAACAGAACTTTGTTATTCCGCTGCTCTATTGATGGTATTTTGTTCCAGCCAAGAACCATGCGGCCGCGCTCATGATGAAACCTTTCGGTAGCGGGCACATCGGCGTCAATGGCTATGTTATGATGTACCTCGCGAAATGGAAGCGTTTTGCTGTTCTGCTGCTCTTCGTATGGATTGTCGTCACCTATCTTGTTATATCGCCATTGAGGTAAACTATCTCTAATTGCGTGTATCCAATATGACCTTTCATTAAAACACTTTAACGGTTTAAAACGCGGTATATGTTAGTTAACTTATTTGAATTTTTTTCAACTACGACAGAGACGGGTCTCCCTGTGACAAGCATCCGCAACGTCGGGCCGTAGTTCAAGTAATTTTCAAATAAACCTAATTCATATATACTTATCACGTTTTAAACCCTTTAAAGTGTTTTATTTAAATGTATAAACGTGTTAAACACGTTGGTCTAGTATAAAAACTGTTTTATTGTTACCCCACTTTTGAAGAAATCGGCTGTATACTTTGACAAATAGTATCGCAAGAGCAACGATGGGTGTGGCGAATCGGTGATTATTATTTGATTTGGACCTTCCGTTTGCTGGATACTCAGTTTAGGTTTTGTAATAATTACATATAACATTTCTTTTTTCAAGGCCAAATATTTCCCATTATGGTTATGTGTGTTATTAGGTGTGTACATAGATGGTGTGTAAATTTCGAAAAACATACGGCTACAGGTTTTGAAGCGAAATATATTAGACACTAGATGTGCCAGCGACTTCGTCCGCCTAGAATAGTTATTTTGGGCATCCAAATTTCTTTTTGCAAACCTCCTTATCATCTACACGTCGTTCTTGCAAGTTAATCTTAAAAGATAGATAGGTATAGTGTCGCGGATATTTTTTACATCAACTCGAGAAGAATAATTCTTTCCTAAGTATTTTTTAATTTCTTGAACTGATTTCACATCAGACGCAATGGGCACCCTCAAAGATTGATATTTTCCCCGTTATTTCCACATTTTCCACTTTTTGCTCCCATTAGACGCAGCGTGATGTTAGTTCCTGAAATTAAACAATTAAAAAAACTTTTCCATGTTATAATATTAGTGTAGATACATACTGTCTTTAGTTTACGCGAGTCTTTAGTTTACACTTATAAATAAAACACTTTAACGGCTTAAAACGTGGTATATTTTAGTTAAACTTGTTTAAAATTTATTTTTATATTTTCATATGCTTTGCAGCAGCCGTGGTCACGGGGAGTCAGTGTTTTATTTTAGTGTAGTTTTTCATTATTGAAAATAAGTTAAAGACTTTTTATTTTTTACTTACGGTGTTCGGATGCTATGCACTTGCCGTGGTTATGGGGTGGGGGAATGAAAATGGTTGTTGCCCCTAATATCATAGTCAAAGCTACCACGCTAATGCCTCTTGTTTCGAAGTTGGTATTTTGAGTAGTTTAAATGTTATATAAAATGCTATATATCTTTAAAAGTTTGGGGCTGTTGTCTATTTTTGGAAGTGGACTTGTGTATAAACGAGTATACCAATATCAATGGAAATCCCCCACAGTGGCCTAAGTTACTTTACTAGATAGTTAGGCTACATTTTAAATGTTAAATGACTCCTTTCGTAGCGAATATAAATTACGTTGTGGAGCATGGCACTTTGCACTGGGGTTTGAATTCCGGGGAAATTGTTTAGGTCGGGCAGGGCACAGAAGTCTTATCTACTACTGTTCGGGCAATGGTATTTCATTAAAGGAATAATTCCGCTCAGCGCACTCAAGATGCTTTTAACAATTAATTATTGACTAGTTATGTAGTCTTATAGCTTTAATAGCCGCTTTAAAATCATTATGCATATGTTTAACAACGATTGCCGAGTCTAACGAGTTTTATATCGTTACGCCGTTTACGAGATTTTTATCGCGAAGTGTGAAATTGCATTTGTAAATGGAAAGGTTTGTTTTGTTTCTTACTCAGTTGCGGATTGGGATTTTTTAGTTTATAGTAAGATTCTTTGATTATTAGACAAAATAATTGTTACTTAAATACTGTTTATAGTTTACGCGAGTAGTACACGTCGACAGGACAGACAGTGACAGGAGGCGGTAAGTCTCCCCGTGAGCACGACTGCTGCAAAGCATCCGATACGTCGGGCCGAAGTTAAAAATCATTTCCAAATAAGTTTAACTAATATATCGCGTTTTAAACCGTTAAAGTGTTTTATTTAATTGTTACTCGTTTGATGAAAGCATAAGACGAGCTATTGGACACCACGTTTTGATATTCTGCCTATAACTTAATTGCCTTTGATCTTGGGAAAACCCAAAATGTAGGCTTGATTTTTTTTTATCAAATCACACACTAAGAAGCACTATAAAAGTAAGAAGAAATTAAAGTAATGACAAGTACCTTACTAAAAACGTCGGTATAAATGGCTGACTGAGTTTTTTGCAATCTGTTGGTAGTTGCAGTATTCCTACAGTCTGGTCCTAGATAGAGCTAGTATTAATTTATCAAGCGTCTTGATTCTTAACAAATCTTGTAATATAACACCTGTTTTGAAATACAATAGTCGCAATTAAGTTTTCTATATCACCGACAGCCTTCGCAATTATTTGCTTCTATATGTAAATATATATCGATTCCTTTAGATTATCGATAAAACAAATTACGTCTCCCCCTGACCATGGCTGCTACAAAGCATCGGGCCGTAGTTTACAAACAAATTTAAATAAAATATGTCGCATTTTACGTTAAAGTGTTTTATTTAAATGTGTGCTACCCGCGTAATCTACAGACTAGGTATTTAAAACAAATGATAAACCTCTAATACAGAAAAACTATTAATTGGTTTAAATCATCTAAACTTTAGTACGTAGTAGTTTGGCAGATTCGATGGTCCAATAGCACTATGGCTACACGTTCGACGTCTTTTTTAACTATATATTTATTTAAATACATGTTTAACTTTGAAAAATTTGAATTTAAATACTTAACACTATAGGCAAAAGTAGCAAAGTTTGATTTGAAGTAGGAGAGCTAAGCGAAAAAGATCGATAGCATATACAGGTGTCCCAAGAAGTAGTGTCAAGCGGTGTTCTATCTTGGGACCACCGCTTGACACTACTTCTTGGGACACCTGTATATTTTTAATGTTATGTGGCTGGGTTATTTCACCACCGATAACCTTACCTATGAACGCCATGTTTGTCCTCTCACGAAAACAACCTATACAGGAAAAAATGTCTGTTATTTCAAGTAGAGATAAATTTACACAATTGGAGGATAACAAGCAAATAATTTATTCGTCTGTTCATCAACTTCACTACTTTGAGACCGTAGTAATCAATTTTACACTGCCACGAACATTTCAGTGCGAAACATTAACGTCTTCATAAAACCTTGCATTTTAGTATTATTTAGCTTTTCCAGCTGTAGAGAGTGGTTCGTGACTCGGACGGAATATCCATAATAGAAGGAATCGTGGTCTTCACTACATGTTAGGTGTAATAGGTGAATTACCCCAGCCATATAACAAACAGGATGCGCTGTTGGCTTATTTTGGCTTTGGATATTCGGTAATTTACAGACTGCAACCGAAACGCGATCAAGCTTCACGGCGTTTTCATCTGTGGACGGTGGTTCGTGGTCCGGCCGAAATTTCGATCTCCAGACGAAATCCAACATGTTTCAGAAAAATTATAAGTTAATTTGAAACACGTGGGACCCAGTTGGGATTGAATCCACGGCCCGTAGATTATTAGCCATAAATTGCACCAACGAGCCAGTCAAAGCAAAAAACTGACTTCCTGACGAGTCTAATATGTTTTAGAAAAACCATACATTGATTACACAACAAGTTAGACTTGGTGGGTAAGTCACCCACGACGCTTTGATTAGTGGGTGAGTAACGATTTCTTAAAGAAACTAATTGAAGTCACAATTCCCCAGATGCGACGGAAGCACAGAGGAAGCAGTGGAGTTCCAAGATAGATTGAGGAAGGTGTCGTTGCAACTTGAGTCTCTCAAAATACAACACAATAAGCTCATCTCTCAAGTCAAAAAGTCATCTGGGTAAGTGTTCTTTGGGGTATTATTGGTGTAGTAGAGTTTTTACATAAAACATTTTTAACGGTTTAAAACGTGAAATATGTTCTTTAATGTATTTAAACTACTTACTATTTTACTGTTATTAGTTACAATGCAATGTATTTCGTGTTTTTTTTTTAACCCTCAAGGGTGTTTTATTAAAACTTGTGTAGTATTCGCGTAATGTAGGTAGACAAAATTAGTTTTGCTAAATGTTCCTTATTAACAGAATAATCTTTTAATTGTAATCATTGAATAAATTAAAATAAAACAAACTTAAAGTATAAATTGTATAAGGCTTTCACGGCCATTTTGCAAGGCTACTAAAGTTGTAGCGTGGATGACATCATCGGGAGATGTGGCGCGTTTCTCGACTCAGAAATGAATTTAACCCAAACCATAGAAATAGGAATAGTGAAAACCTACCTTTATTACAAATTGATGATTATCATTCTAGTCTTAACGCAAATCTCAAAGACATAGACACGACGTCATTCTTCGACGCCGTCGGAGGTCCATCAGAAGAATATGAGAATCTCAGGAGGAGAATATTCTCGAATACAAAGGAGCTGTGGTACTTCGTCAACCACGAGCTGACGAAGCTCAGCAAAGGAGACATCAAGGTGGATAAGGTGCAAGGGCTCTTAGAACAAGTTGCACATAGGAAGAGGTAACTTGGATTTATTGAAATGAGTGTTGAAAGGATATTAGTCGTAATTTTAGTAACCTTACCCCATTCTCCCCTCCCCGTCCTCGCCCCTCCTTTTTTTAAAAAGAGGAGGACAGGCAAGTATGGGGGCTTGATTCTAGGTAAAAAACCGTATAACATCTAAACAAGATACACTGTCGACCTGTTTCGGCTTTGGTTATTCGGAAGTCCACAGACTGAAACTGAAACGCTATTAAACCTCACGGCTTTTTCATCTGTGGTCGAACTCAGACGGAATGTGGATATTTTATGCCTATTTAATATCCAGATTCCCAGATGAAGTCCGACATGTTTCAAAATATAAATTTACTAAAAACATGTTCAATCGACCCCTTTATTACTGTATATATATACTGCGACCACTAACGAGCCCGTGAAATCTACCTTTCTAAATTAAGTTTATATTTACCACTAGCTGTGGCATCCAAATTGGTTTTTGCAAAGTAAAGTAAAGTAAAGATCTTTATAAAGTAAGCTGTTACCCACGACGTCGGTCGCGCCCCTTCCGTTGTTCTCGCAAGTTAATCTTAAAAGATAGGCATATAGCGTTGAATTTGTTTAGAGCAGTTAAAGTGGAATCATTCTTTTATACATATTTTTTGGGTATCTTGAACCGTTTTTGCAGCGTAGCGTACTCCACAAAACCCATAATTATGAATAATCTTCGCATGTCTCGCTTGTATTAATCACAGGGCAATGTTTTATAGCATATAATAGCGGTCCTTGATAAAAGCTCCAACCAAAAAATTATTAGTATAGATTTACGAAGACCTTTTAAGGTATTGCAATGTTATCCTACAGTAGCAAATGTTGTATGTGTTGTTATTGAGAGATTTTTTCTCCTACAGCTTTATTCTATCAGACCAGCAGAAGCTTCCAGAGTTAGATGGCTACCAGGACTGGCGGCAGCTGGAAGCGGCCAACGTCAGCGACCTAGTCCAACGGAGACTTAAGTATCTTCAGAATCCGAGCGACTGCAGAGACGCTAGGAAGGTCATCTGTAACTTAAACAAGGTATATTAGTTATTATCATTTTGATTTTATTAAACAATCAAATACCAAGAACGGTGTCGGCAATATCATCACATCATCGTTATGATTCTTCATCATCACTAGAATTATATTCATCACCATCAACTATCCCTTTACTAGGAGAAAATGCAGCCCAGATACTAAACATTACTTAATTCGCTTTATTACATTCTGCCTTAGTAGTTTTAGGCAAATGCTTCCTAGTATTGTGTTAAGGACGGACGAAGGTTCGAATACCGTAACCACTTAATTAAACAGATGTAGAAATGCGTTCACCCCATGCCCCAAGGAAGCCTTGGGAAGCAGAAAACTAATGGTAGCAATGTATTGCTAATAATGAATGCCCCTTAAGACAACCTCGCCCCCACCCTCCGCCCCAGGAATAGTAGACAGGAAGATGCTGTATCGATTGACAGGCCGTGGTCGTAGGTAATGTCTGGTTTGTTTTATGTTTTCTTTTCAATCTAAAAAAAATGTAAATATTGGTCTCGCTTACATGTTTTTATTGTAACAGAGTATACATTACTCTAGTCAAGACTCAAAGTAACGCGGAGTCGTTATCAACGCATTATAATTGACTGTAAACGCGCTTTGACCGATAACGATGTTATTAACGACTTGATTTAGTTAAAAATGCGTTAAGCGTATATTTCGCGTTTTGAACCGTTTAAGTTGTGTAAAATTGGTTTTTATCGAGCCGTGTTTAAGTCTATACTAATATTATAAAGCTGAAGTGTTTGTTAGTTTGAACGCGACAATCTCGGGAACTACTCGTTCGAATTGAAAACCCCTTTTCTATTGATTTGAGCATTTATCGCGGAAGGCTTTAGGCTATCGGACGCAGACGAAGTCGTGAGTAACAGCCATAACATATAAAGCTGAGGAAATATGATATCGAAAAGAACTGTTCTATGCAGACGAAGTCGCTGGCACAGTTAGTATACAATAACGAAATAGTTATAACGTTTAATGGAATTATAATTTCTCTATTTTTAAACGATTATGATGAAATGATAAATGCCACCTGGTCCTTCATAAAATTACGGATGTTATTCTAACCTAATTCCTGCTTTGCGGAGTTTGTTACCAATATTATAGTGCGACCTTACTGATTTGATACTTTAATTTATTATATAGAATGCCTCTGGGATAGTAGAAGAAATCGTTATTTGAAGTAGTAGTATTTCCTCCGAACTTTTATGAATTTAAGCTATTATTTACGACATCGGTCGCGTCCCGTCGTTCTTGCAAGTTAATTTTAAAACATAGACACATAGTGTCGCGTTGGTCGTTGTTTCAGATTCTTTAAAGAGGAATAATTCTACGCAAATATCTTTTCGGTATCTTGAACCGTTTTCGCTGCGTACGGATTGGAAACCCTCTAAAATGAACCATTGTCCCCGTTTTTTATACATTTTCCGCTGTTTCTTCGCTCCATCGTGATGTGATTAATAGAAGCGTGCCTTCCTTGATAAATGCTCTAATCAACTCAAAAATCATTTTCAATTCAAACCAGTAGTTTCTGAGATTAGTGCGTTGATACATACAAACAAACAAACTCTTCAGCTTTACATATTAATATAGATAAAAAGAGTAGTATAAAAAGTTTTTATTATTATTATTATTTTCATTAATCCATGGTAGTTCAATTCGAGATCCGCTTACTGAAAATTTTTAAAAATATTTTTTTATTTACATAATGCTATCTTTATTGTAGTTCAAATCAAAAATCATTGATTCATGTAGACAGACACTTGTGAACGTCAAAACACTGTCTATAAATTAAATAAAACACTTTAACGGTTTAAAACGCGATATATTAGTTAAACTTATTTGAAAATGATTAACTTCGGGCCCGGGGTTTCGGATGGTTTGCAGCAGGAAGGCTGTTCTTCCCGTGACCTAAGTATAACTAATATATACGTGAAATAAGTTTAACTAATATATCGCGTTTTAAACCGTTAAAGTGTTTTATTTAAACGTCAAAACAGTTAAACTTTTAAACTCAATATCAAAACTGTCCAATCGTAGTTGTTACGCTGCACGCAATACCATGAATAGTCCATCCAATTTTCCGAGATATAATTAGTTTGACAAACAAAAGCGTCGCCGCAATACAAACTAAGTCACCGGAACGGTACTGCGAGGAGATTAGCACCCTATCCACAGGTGATAAAGGTGAAATTTGTGTACGTAAATATATAACCGTCGCGCTAATTCAAATTGTACACATGTAAACCTCATATATAAATGGGCGTTTTTACTGTTTCTTAGTGTCATTGAACCTAGGCTTTGCGTATTCAAAGAAGTAGTGTCTCAATGAAAATTGCAAATTCAACTTATGGGCACTTGAATTATTATTTTTTTAATTAAAGACCTCCGTCATAGACAAATACGGGCTCGCTACATGACACGTGTATGAAATCTAAATAAGCTGCGATGTTGACATTTCTTTGTTTAGACATTTGAAAACCCACAGACTATAAACGAAACGCCATTAAACTTTTTGTTTAATAGATTAAACTGGGTTCTTTTATCTGTGGACATGGGCGTATGAATATAATGAAGTTATTTAGTTAAAAAACTAAAACGTACTAAGCATTTATTTAACTTTTTGTTTAAATTTTTTCTTTTGATTTTCGCAAATAAATCTATCGCTAATTTGTTTAGTTCCAATCTTGCTCACTAGATGGAGTTAATATTTTTTTAGTTTTTACTTTAATTTTAATATAATATACAAACAATTTGCTTTTCCAGGGTTGCGGGTTTGGCTGCCAACTGCATCACATAGTGTATTGCTTAATATTTGCATACGCTACCGAGAGAACCCTTATACTCAACTCTAAGGGTTGGAGGTACAACACTAAAGGGTGGGAGTACGTATTCCATCCCATATCAGAAAGCTGCGTCAGCGCATACGATGACAAAGTTGTACAATGGCCAGGTAATGTTAAATGTTTAGATGTAGACGACTATGTAATGTCTAGATATTTCAAAAAGATATACAACGAGGTCTAGAAGACATCGCTGTAGATATATACTATAATTTAAAATTTCGTTAACTAATTAACGGTGGTAGCTTACACACTCATACTCTGATCGGTAAAAAAGGCGAAATATATCAACTAATCCTTGAAAAAGACCCAACGTTTCCCTTGCTTTGAAATAGTCGCCATGGGGACACAAATATTGGTATTACTATATAGTATGAAATATGATGATAATACTGAAATATATATTTGCAAGACTTAAGACTCGGCGTGGAGAACGAGTATCAAACATATTTTATTATAGCTCAAATTTTATTTCGACTTTCGAAACCGTGTAGATAACAGTATAATTTAGATGTAGTCATTAGTTATATGTAATTACACTAAACATGACGCAATTATAATTTTCAAACAATTTTTACACCAAAAAAAAACCAATCATCAAACTTATGTTGTTATATCAATTGATGAAAGCGACGGAGTATGATCTAAATTTGTTTCTTTTACAGCGAACTACGATCCAAAGGTCGTGTCCCTACCGTTTATCGACTCCATATCCCAGAAGCCGAAATTTTTGCCACTCGCTGTCCCATCCGACCTAGCACACCGGTATGGTAATACCTACATCTTAATACAACTATAACTATAAATTGTCAATGGCTGTTTTGAACAGCTGCTTCTCGAGCTCTTTGACCGTCATAATTGAGTAATGGTTTCGACGTTTCGACATCACTGGTGCTTAATTGAGAGAAACCCAAGCTCAACCATTATAGCTGATTTATTTATAATTGATATTTGAATTTCCTAGTTATTTTGTAACTCACACAGTATTTAAAATCTTACCATTTTGTAATATTTTAACACACTTTTAACGATTAAAAACGAGAAATGTATTACTTTACTTTTCAACATTTCGCGTGTAAAGCCGTTAAACTTGTTTTATTTAATGTGTACTACTAACGTTAACTATAGACAGTACTAATGTTATAATTTTGTTGTCCCTGTCTAACCGACAAACGAAACGCAATGCCTGATGCCGTTTCTTCTTAACTGTTCTTGTATGTACAAAAAGACACTAACAATTTGTTTTAAAATTTTCTCGTCATGCTTGTTTTATCTTCAGTATATTTACTTTTAATATAACCCGTCTCTTTCTGTCAAATAAGCCCGTGATAAGTGCGACAAGCACAGCGAATGTTTCTTGTTTTCAATTTGGTTTCGTTTCGATTTTAGGATAGTGCGTTTCAATGGCGACCCTTCCTCGTGGTGGATCGGACAGATGCTGAAGTATATATTGAAGCCTCGGCCTGCGATGCAGCGTGCTATTAACGAGACCATAGCCAAGATGCACTTCAAGCGGCCTATCGTTGGGTATAATGCTTTTTTACTTTGACGTCCAAATGGCTAAACCGATTTTGATAAAGATTATTTATACATAATACATTCTATTTACCTACATTAAAAAAAATACAGTCAGCTTAGATGGTATATAATATAAGATATTTATATATTTGTTTCTTTCCAAAAGCTTTTTTTATTTACAATAAATCAGAAAGAAGCTTAAAATTTTTAATGAACGTATTAAACAAGGGACATTTAATTTACCTTTCGCGATTCTATTATTTCCATATGCGAAATAATAATACTTCGTGCTATAAATCTTATCCACAGAATACACATTCGTCGCACAGATAAAGTGGGAACAGAAGCGGCATTCCACAGTATAGACGAATATATGGTGCATGTGAAACAATATTACGACCAGCTCGAGTTAACGCAGCCGGTCGATGCGAGAAGAGTCTATCTAGCCAGTGATGATGCGAATGTAAGTTGGTATTTCATATAGATCCTATTCAAAATTGTAATAACCCTCCTGTGCTCCAAGATCGTGTTTCACGTGTTCTCGTTTTGATCGTGAAGTCGAGAGTTCGATTCCCAGTTGTATCCTCTAAATAATATTGCTTATATCTGGGTTTTTTATGGGCTTGTTGGTCTAATAATAGCAATGTGTTGCTAAAAATCAACGGGTCGTAGGTTCGACCAGGGGCCGTTCAAGTATTACGTAAGCAGATTTATTACAATATACGCCCACCCCTCAGAAAGTAAGCAAAGCTTTTACCCCCTCCCCTTATAAAATTTTTCAAATAAAATTTGGTTGCCATTCTGTAAAAAAGTAAATAAATATCGATACTAATCATCATCTGGCCCCCGTAGGGGAGGCCAGATGATGCCAAAAGGCCATCTAAAATATAAAAAAGCCCCCCACCCCCCTGTGCTTCGTAATACTTAACCCACCATTTCAACCAATGTATAATATTCTTCGACCGGTTCGGTAACAGTGTACTTTAATAGGATTTAAATAAATCACTTTAAACGGTGTAAAACCTGAAATCTATTTGTTAAACTGACAAAATATTTTTACTACGAAGTTTCGACGATCACGGATGCTTTTCAGCAGCCATCAAAATAAAATACTTTAAACCGTTAAAAGTGTTTTATTTAAATGTGTACTACTCGTGTAAACTACAAACAGTATTTAATAAGATTGTTTTCAATATTTACAGGTATTAGGAGACGCTCGTACGAAATACCCAGATTACGAGTTCCTCGGCGACCCGTCTATAGCAAAAACGGCCGCCACGCATCGTCGATACACGCCGGTGTCCCTCACCGGTCTGTTGGTGGATTTGCATATGCTGGCCATGTGCGATTATATTGTGTGCACGTTTAGTAGTCAGGTAAGGTGAATTGTGTTTTTGTTTACCAAAAATGCCAAGTTAGAAAAAATACACTTGCGTAAGAACATCCACATTTATATACTTACATATATGTGTGTAATCATAGGTCGGCAGAGTGGCGTACGAGATGATGCAAACGAACCGCGTAGACGCGTCGGATAGTTTCTATTCTCTAGACGACATATACTACTTCGGTGGCCAAAACGCTCACAACAGACGTGCCATTATGGACCACTCGCCGCAGGAGGCGCACGAGATAGCTTTCCAGGTAACAAGTTTAATTAACGCTGTTTAAATAAACCAATCTTTGTTCATTCTAAACACAACACAACACATTAAACTCTATTGTCATTGTCTAAACTTAACGGTGTTATTTTTAGATATTATAATAGAGTGGAGAGAATTTTAATTATAGAGTAGGACAGTGAAGCTTAAGTAAGACAAGACTTGTTGGAGGTGGTGGTCGCAACCACGACTCGCAAAAAAGTCGAAGAGCTCCCAAAAAAGTATTTGATTGTTGTAAACTCTTCATTGGTAAAAAATGTTACGTCAGGTTATAAAACCTGATAACGTTCGTTCGTAATGTGGAGAGGAAAAGTCAAAGAAGTCAAAAATTTGTGTTGGGACTATTCTGAAGTGTTAAATTGTTTTTCTTATCTGTGTACGATAGCTGATGGATATTGTATATCCAGATAATATTATAGTCCGATAAATACATATTTAGAATAATTATATAATAAATAAAAAAAACGTTAATTTCCAAGTTCCGCCTTGCGTATTTTTTAATTGGTGGTTGCCGCTTTATAAGTTTCTAATCCCTTTACCCCGTGTCCCTTTAGGTCGGAGACTTAATCGGAGTCGCCGGGAACCATTGGAATGGTTTCGGACGAGGGACCAATAAGAGGACTAATATGGTGACTGTTTTTATTGCTACACTCTTGTAAATCGAATTTTTCCTTTTCGGCTTTTCAACTGTCTTAATCGACAATGGTTCTACATGTTATAAGATGGCCGCGAAAGCCTTTATTAAATATTGATTAAGTTATAATTATAAGATAGTAGTTCTTGTTATTAACGGCATATGTCTGTTTCAGAACGGCCTAATTCCCTGGTACAAGACGGCGGATCACCTCGTCTTGTACCCATTCCCTGAGTACAAGCAAGTCAGTAATTACGACACAAGGCAGAACGACTTATAGGTTTGAATGTTTTATACCAAAATGCGGTCTGAGGGGGGAATTTTATGCTTTTGTAATGAAGAACCGTTTCGTGTACTGCAAATTGCTTAGTACGTATTAAATATGAAAGCCGCAGGCGCATCGAACGGTTCGGTTACCATGGTAACGGTACGGTGCTGCCACATTTCCACGTGGAAAATGAAATTGTAAAAAATATATAATGAAACTCCTTCGAACATCACAATTTGCGATTGACAAACTACTAACGGTCGGTGGTCGGAGGATGAACCAGCAACACATCAATTAATTATCTAAAAACGAACTTATGTGTAAGTAATTACTATTAGGTGAGTAATTCGCCCGATACCAATTCCTTTGGTTAGCATGCCTTGATAAATGAATTAGGCTCTAGGACGCTGGTTATCGGGTTTTTCGCCGATTTTTTATCGGAAAAATCGTTTTTTTTTTCTCTAAATGTAACAGCACCTAAAGCTCCTGCAAGAAATGATATGTAATCTCAAGGCGAATTACGACGTATAATGTTATTTGAATTTACATAACGGGAAATAATAACATTTTCTCCTCAGAGTGCACTCCTAGCCGAATAAACCCGAGTTGTTGTTAATATTATTGAATTTATTCGAATAAGCCTAGTTTTAATTATGATGTTGTAGAGTGGGTGACATTTTGCTGTTAAATGACGAGTATAGAGATTTTTTTCTCTTGCCGATTATAACTAATATACTTCGCGTTTTAAACCGTTCGCTGTCTTCATTTAATTTGTACTAATCTTGTAAATTACTGAAAATAGTTGTAAAAACCTTTTTTTTATACCAAGAAATCTAGCTATCTAGCTGTTAGACTTGTTACACCACATATTTTCGTTTAATAGCAAATTGCATCCAGCCTGTATAGTTGTATACTATAAGAAAACGCTTTAACCCGTGGATATACATTTTCAATATTTTAAATTCTGTAATCTCTTTGTAACTGCAATATTTAAGTCATAATATTTTGTATAAGGAAAGCAGGTATAATACAGAGCTGCTACAACCACATTTTATTCTAAAATGGTTTTATTTGACTAGGGTAAATTCAAATATGTACTAATAATATTATTATTAATTAGTACCTTTATTTATTCCTGTATTTGTCCGCAATTGGAAAACCCTTTTCAATACAAATAATGGTGTCGCGAGCGGATCTCAAATTCGCGACTTACGACACGTTTGTAATTTAACCTTTATTGAATGAATTGAAGATTTAATATCAATATATATTTTTAAATTCAGGTTATTATTACATTGCGTAGTAGGTTCAAGCACCCGGCCACGGGTTCAACTCCAGCTCGCGACATATATTTTCATAGTCGTAATTAATTTTTAAACATGCTTAAGTCGCAATTTCTTCTCTGACTTGTGTGACTTGACTAAAGTTGCTGTTTGAGTAATAGCTTGTCAAATTACATTACGATAATAATGCATGGTTTTAGCAGCGCTATGTTATGTCCCAAACAGAGAATTTTCACATGCTTTTAAAGTTGTTTGTTGGCTCGTTATTAGGTAGTTTTGTCACAAAAATTATTTAGTTCAAAATTAATGTGTTTTAATTAAATTAAATGATGGTTTAAACGTGTGATTTATATGAAGTAAATTGTTTTATTGTTTTAAAATATGTTAATGCACAAAAGAGCTTATTAAAAGATATTTGAATGACGCCCTAAAGTAATATATCAGTGTCGTGGATCAAGTTTTACGGAATAAATCGTTCTAAGATTTAAAGAAATTGTGTTAGATTTTCAATGTGGTTCCTTAGCATTTGAAATCTTTATTCTGGAATATTTAGAATCACAGTCAAATACATTCCTATGTATCTTATGTATTACATTAGTCCAACCGCTAATTAGTTCTTTAGTCCAGTAGATATTTACATTTATAATAATTGATAGCTGAGCATCATCAGTTAAACCTGGCTTTTAGAACTGTTCTGCCGTCGTAGTTGTAGAATTTCTTAGTCAAGGAATGCGAAAAATATTAATGTTTTTCAAACGTCGAGAACTATTTATCGATTACGACGGTCGAGCAGAAAACCTAAGTAGATATGTCCAAAGGCCCCGAAACCCCTATACAATTTGTGTTTTTAATTAATAATGTATTATAACACATTATCTATGCACATTCCGATGTAAAATAGCTACATTTAATTCATAAATTATGGTTTCTGTAAACACAATATGTATTATAATACAAGAATATTGATTTTGAACATTGTCAGTAACTGTAACTAACACGATTAACGGTTTAAAACGCGAAATATATTAACTTATCGGTCACGAGGTATATGAAAGAGGGGTACGTAGATAAGTGAACTAATATATTTCGTGTTTTAAACAGTTACAAGTATTTGGCTTTAATTTAGAACATATTAAACTGGCAATTAAAACTTACGAATTCTTAAAATATGTTGGTTCTGTAAAAAGTCGCACGTAAAATGTATCATTATTTTATCCCTTACTAAAGTGTTTTCACTGCTCAAAGATCTGCATTTGAGATTTGACTTAGTTAATCTATATAATTTATATTATACAATAATCTTATGTACTCTATATTTGTAACGTTAAGGGCGAGAGTGTGTGGCATGCATACTGTAGCATTGGCTCTGACGTCAATGGTGCGATTATAGGTTAGAATCGATTTGTTTTTCGATTGTTTTAATTCTATAATCGTGCCACAAATCGGACAACAAATAGTCGTAATGATTATTTTCTTTTACCAATTAAATTCCATCAATAAATGATTACTTTTTAGTGATAAAAGTCGAATGCCGAAAATATATGTGCTATCAATAGTATGGTCCAAATGCAAGAGAATTGATAATTAGGTCTAAGTGCCAAAATATACAACATTTTGATAAACGTATAACTTCTAAAATTTTAAACTATCTCGTCTCGCCCTTATGTTCGTGTATCGTCAGCCTTATAGCATAACGTTAGACATTTTTACTGAACGTTAAAGTAATGCGAAGTTTAATCGTTTATGGACCTAAATTATGTGTATATAGCCTATATTATGGTGTATATAAAATGATATTAATATATAGGTATTTTAAGGTATTATTGAGTTTTATTTTGCCCTCGAAAACATCAGTTCGTTATCTACCTCAGTATTCAATTTGGATGTTGTATTTCGCCTTCCATCAAGTGTCCGTGTTCCGTCTTACTAACTCCAGTTTCATAATAATAAATTAATTAATATGGCTAGACTTAGACGTCGATTAAACCATACTTTTTTTGTGACTTAATACATAATGGGTAAGCTATTGAGCTAACAACGCAATAAACTTCGATAAAATGAGTGGAGATAGGGGCAAAGCCTAGTCTCTGAGATACAATGCACTCGTGTGTTACAGCTAATTAAGAAAGGAGGTCTCCCATTGTGTCAATAAATAGAGTTGAGTTTTATGTGATTGCTTTTAAAAGAAATCTCGGGAAGTGTGTCAAGTCGCACTCGCTTTTGAGATTTAATCGACGCCGACTCTGTGTGGCTATTAAATGAGCGATATTATTTTCTATTTTTTATGCTGCCTATGTAAAATTAAATCTATTCATACTATTATTTTATCCAGTAAAGTCCAAAGTTAATTTGTCGATATTGTGACTAATGTAATAAAAAAGTTGACGTGAGTGGTGCGAAATATATTAGTTAAATTTAATAATTTTGTTAAGTACATTTTTATTTGTCAATTTTATGGTGAAAATTATAGTGTCCCCCATGACTACTGCTGCTATAAAGCGTCCGAAATTTCGGGTCGCAATTAAAAATGAGATAACTATAGATTTTAAACCGTTAACGCCCGTTTCATGGCCCTCCAAAAGTCCCGGCGAAAGTAGTCTTTCTCAAGTCAAGTTCAATACCACGACATAACAGTACCGGCCTCGGAGCCAGTGAGTTGCTTCCGTTATCCGCCACTGCATTTTGCATCAGGCGCTCCAAATTTGCATTCGTGCTTTTGATGGATTTGTCAAGATGAATAATTTAATAATAATCGTGGTTCTATCGTGTTTCACACCGGCGGTGTTGCCAGCTAAGTACGTTTTGCCGAAATGGAAGAAACAGGTGAGTTTTCACTTATTTTTTTTTAATTGAATTCATTTAATTAGATGTATAGTAAAGTTAAATTCTTTAAACTTTACACTAACTCGTACCAAAACAAATTTACGATTTCTTTCTAAAACTAATACTAATACTTTTTCTGGCAATTTTTTATTATGCAATTCTTGTAAATAAATATATTTACGTTTAACCTATATATGTGCTTATAAGCGGAGAGAAAATGCTTTTAACACGTGCCCGTTTTGTTATATTAATCCCAAAATGCCAACGGAAGCCCCATTTATGTACGTGTAAATATTTTTCCGTCGCAATCTTACTTTTGGTAAAACTACTCTTTTGGTATAAACATTTCAAACTGAAGGAAATACTTGTGTTTTGAAATAGATTTATTAAATACTTCTTACACTTTGAGAGGTACTCACTTATTCTATTTGAATAGATCTTAAAAGCTTAAATAATTTTAACGCCATGATCGGCTCAGTGCCGTTTCTGGTTTTGTTTTTTAATTTATTTTAAATATTTTTTAATAACTTAAGTGTTTGATACAGTTTTGAGTTTCATTTTAGATTAGGCAAGCTCATTCCAAAGAAGTATACATTTTAAAGACTGAGAATCAACAAATATGTCTAGATTATATCTACTTGAGTTTGATACAACTAACAGTTCCAATATTCGAATCCCGGCAAACATATCTGTAGTTTACACAAGTAACACACATTTAAATAATCTTTTAACGGTTTAAAACTCGAAAGGTATGAGTAAACTTGGTCTAGTGATCATAGCTGCTTCAAAGCATCCGAGCCGTAGTTAAAATAGATTGTAAATAAGTTAACTATGATATTCCGAGTTTTAAACCGTTTTAATTAAATGGTTCCGTCTTTTGTTTATCTTGGTTTCCTCTCTTATATCCCTTTTGAAATTTATTTTTGTTTACGGATTACATAAATTGTACTCTACTATATTATTCAGAACAGGTTCTGATGCCCTAAAATGGAGCTGCACTTTCATTTGAGCCACATGCGTTGAAAGTAAAATTACATACGTTTTAGGTGTTGATGTCATCATAATTAATTACATAAGAACCTAACCTTTATAGCATATACGTATGCGATATAAAAATAAGTCCTTACAATAAATTGTTGCACAAATAATAAAGTATTGTATAAACCTAAAAAAAGGATTTAATTCGCGGAGTAACCATTTTTATTTCGTAAAATATTTATTTTTTGATTCAGCTCAGAGTGAAAGCTGTCAAAAACCAAGTCACAAATATAGCATGTTTTTTGATGCTGGTGATTTATGATGATGAATATGTCTGCTTTGCAGCAGCCGTGGTCACGGGGAGACTGCAAAGTGCAAAGCATCCGAAACGTGGGGCCGTAGTTAAAATAGTTTAACTAATATATATCAAGATTTAAACCGTTAAGCAGTTTTATTTAAATGTGTACTCGCGCAAACTAGAGACAGTATATAGTTAATCTGTATTTTCCTTATAATCTGTGGTGTATCATATGCACGTTTGACGTTTATTTTACGCGGTATTTTCTCCTGAGCCCGACATACTTTCCCGCGACTTTCTAGTGATATTAGAAAGTAGTGACTCAACGTCCTGATAGGATGAAAGGAGTCGAATTACTTCTTAATACGTTAAACCGAAAAAGTATCTTTCATTCGCTTTTAGTTACTCCAGTTATTGTCGCTATTTGACTGAATAGAATTTAATTTAAGATTTGTCTTAGCAAATAGATTATCTGTGAAACTGACTTCCAGTTTCTATCTATTAAATATTTAAGATTTAGGATAGGCTCGATTGTTAACGGTACTAATACCGATGAATCCCACAGGTCCTACACGTTGGGCTATGTTTGGAAACCTGGATAATAGGTGGTAGGAATATCGAAGTTCTGTCTAGATCACGCACCTCCATCCAGAGATAAATAAGCCGCGAAGCTTAATCACGTTTTAATTTCAATCTGTGGATTTTCGAAAATCTAAAGACAAGGGCGACAACGCATCGTGTTTAAATGATATATAGCTGGCGCATTTCATCCGTCATATTGCTTTGCTTATGCTTTTTTTTTGATAGAAGAGACATGCATGGGGTCACTTGATGGTAGGTGATATATCCCAGCCTATAATAGCATCGAAAGAAGTTGCGCTGTCGACCTATTTATCTGTCTAAAAATTATATATTTGTACTAGTTTTTTTATAGTTTAAATGTACTAGTTACAGTACTTATGGTCGTAAACCGTACTTAAACGAAGCACATTTAAGTCAAAGAGATCAAGATAGTGTTGTGCAACGGCATATGTTTGCATGTCATTAATAAATAATCGATTAATTCAAATGTATCGTTGCACCGCTGATCTAATTAATGAGATTTTTTTGCTCGAACGACCGCAACCATATGATACGTGTGTATAATTTACTGGTTTAATTACTCTGTATTTTGAAATGCAGGTCTAAAACGTCCTTTGAACTTTTTAACGCGTGTGACCATTGATCACGTTTGTAAAATAATGGTTGGTGGCAGCTTAGAATTAGGTAATGTACGAGAGTTGTCACAGGTTTGAAGCCCGGGGCATAGATTGTTATGACGCCTGTACATACATTTGACTAGAGACGCGATGAAATGGGATCGGATTGCCTAAAGTGGGAAAACGAGTTTTTAGTATTAATTAATTTTAAAATATCCTGATGAAAAGATACAGTGCGAATTTAGTAAAGACTCTTCTCTACCTTCTTATGTATATCATGGCTATTCTGTATATTAAGGTTTAAAACGCGATATATATTAGTTAAATTTTTTTGAAAATTACTTTAACTACGGCCTGACGTTTTGGATGCTTTACAGCAGTCGTGGTCTCGGCAAGTTAAGGTAATATATATCGCGTTTTAAACCGTTAAAGTTTTCTATCCAATTGTGTTCTACTCGCGTGAACTACGGACAGTATTTATTGATATTAATTTAATGCATTTCGCTCAATAGAAAACAAGGTAGTTAATAGAATTATTATCATTATATATATATAACTTTATTTTCTTGTTGTATTTAAATATTTATTAAAACAAATTGCATGTAACTTGAAGTGGGTCTATATTCTAACTCCCTTCCAGTCCTTTCCCTGCACGCTTTTCCCTGGCTTTGTCTGTCCGGCACCCCCCTGTGCTAATGTCACTGTCGCACGATATACTGACTGTCTTGCATGTAGCCTTCGACGGTGGCTCTATACGAGAAGAGTGTCCAGGCGTGCGAACTGCCGGCGGTGCAGAGCGAGCATAGCCACTACATCTGCGACGACAAGGGGGAGCCCAAGTGCCTGCCGGGGTGGCAGGGGGACCTCTGTGACGTGCCGATTTGCAGGAAGGGCTGCGATCCGTTACAAGGTATGTTATGTGGAACAGCGTGGGGTATGGGGACATATATTTCCTTTTTTGTTTGACTGATGGGCTTCACCACGGAAAGTATACCTCGGGGATGCTTAGAGGTCTAATGTTCGACGGAGAGGTGGCAGGTCAAAATAACGTTGCCTAGTTGACGTCATCAGGACCTTGGGGCTAAAAGGCAGAAACGGGAGATAGCAGGAGATAGGACGGTTGCCAATGTTATGTTAGCTGGTTGGCCGTCGTAAATAAACTTCTCCACGTTCCACCATCACGAGTGGACGACACCAGAGGATGTTACGCATTCTTCAAAACAGCTCGAATTTATTAAACATTGCAATTGTTCTTAACTATTATGATTTAGTTATGGTTTGATAGAAAGAAATAAATAAGCATTTTTGATGTGAAACATCTATAGCCGCACGTAAAACCGATTTCTGCCGTGGCGACGCGTCGCCACGCTATACGATGGTATATATATACAGTCTATATGCAGTAGTGTGTACGGTGTGGCGACGCGTCGCCATGCTTAGTTCCTATCACAATATGTTCTTTTCTGCACATTACTTTTACAAAATAATGGCTATGTTTCACATCTGCCAGGCATCCCGTGACGGCTCACATTTTTTTGTTTAATATAGGGTACTGTAAGAGACCAGGGGAATGTCGCTGCAAGATGGGATTCTACGGTGAGAGATGCAACAAATGTATTCCTCTGCCTGGTTGTCAGCATGGCTACTGTAACGTGTCTTTTGAATGTGTGTGTAGAGATGGCTGGGATGGTATCTTCTGTTCGGAACGTAAGTTGTCAGCAATATTATTTTTAATTGTCCATGATTAATACTAATAAATAATTTCCCTAATTGCCCAAATATGTAAGACTTTTTGGTATAAATTATAGTACCGCCTTTTGGTGTAAAAGTGTAGTCTTTATTTGGCCGAGTATCCAAAACCAAAGAAATAACAACATATGAAATCTTTAATATTTTTCACATGTTATTTAACGTGATAATAAAAATAGAAGATGCAAGATAAAGATTTTAGAGTCAGTAGCTAAATTTTTTAGAACAACAGCACGTATCGCTGTGACGCGGGTCAAGTCCTACCGGTGTCGTTAATTTTTTTCAATCAAAAATCAATTTTTATTTATCGTATCTTAATCTGATGTTATGTGGTTGGGACATTTAATTTCCCATTAAAATCATCCCATGCTTGTGTTCTGTCATAAATGAATACAGATAACCTTTTCTTTATTTTTCAGCTATCTGCCGTTCCGATTGCCACGCTACGCGAGGTTTCTGCGAGTCGCCGGGCGAGTGTCGGTGTCGTTTGGGATGGGCTGGTCCGACATGCCGCGCCTGTCAGTCACTTCCAGGGTGCCAGCATGGATACTGTGATAAGCCTTTGGAATGCAAATGTCTGCCAGGATACACTGGCTTGTTATGTCAAACGCGTGAGTAACTTGCTATTTTTATTCAGCTAAGCCTTAACTCCAAGATCATAAAATTTAGTTTTAAGTTAACACATTTTATAACTCCTCCCGCATCGGAATAGCCAAGCTCAGACCTACCACGACGGTATGGTGGGATGTAATGATGCATTCAATCATAATATCGTCCAACGTTTTAATAACGACGTACATTGCTGATTCAAAGTCGTTCATAAGCTGGTTCGAGGACCCAGGACCTAGTAATCTGTTACTAGACCAACGAGGCGGTTATATAAGACTCATATGCTACAGCTGAATGTTAAATATTACTTACTCTATTTCATTAGAAAGTTATATGTTAAAGTTATAGTGTAGTTTACGCAAGTAGTACACATATAAATAAAACACTTTAATTATTGACCGCCGGGGGGTCACCCCGTGACCACAGCTGCTGCCAAGAAAGTGTGCTGCCGAAACGTAGTGCCGTTGTTAAAATAATTTTCAAATAAGTTTAACTAATACATATTTTGCGTTTTGAACACAAATGTTGAAAAGTATGTGCACACTCTTCTTTAAAATGTAGATGGATTATAAAAAGTCTAGCAACAATTCTTGGTATTTGATAAATTTACAGAGCAATATGAACTTTGTCCACAGCAATTTGCTCGACTGGATGCCACGGGGAGCGTGGGTATTGCAGACGACCAGGGGAATGCCGCTGCAAGGTTGGGTGGACTGGACCAACGTGTGCTCAATGCCACCGTTACCCCGGGTGCGTCCACGGCACGTGTAACAGACCCTGGGAATGCATTTGCAAGAAAGGATGGGGAGGAATGTTGTGCGATGAAGGTGAGAAATATCGCAATACACTTGACACAGTTTTATTCATTTGAAATAGTTGGAATAATGAAAAAAGATATCTGCGTATGTAGACTTCTGGTTTGACTTCTAGGAAAAAACTATTTACACCATCATTATATATATATGATAAGATAAAATCCAGAAAACTTAATTTTTACTATAAATATAAAGCTGAAGAGTTTGTTTGTTTGAACGCGCTAATCTCAGGAACTACTGATTGATACCAAAAAATATTCAACTTTAAAATGATCTAAAAAATCTCTACGACAGTGTATGTCTAAATACTGTCTGTAGTTTACGCGAAAAGTACTATACAAATAATACATTACATTTTTTAATTTAATTTGACATATATATCTCGCATTTTAAATCTTTAAACAATTTTTTCTTAATTAACCATTTAAAGTCTTCATACACTGTTTTCTAATCGCGTACAGATAACACTTCACGTAGCACCTTATATGAAATTGTATACATACATAAATAGATCGCAATTAAAATAATTAAAATTAAAATGCACTTTGAAACCCGTACACTTTCAAACGGGAGCAATCTCGTCTCTTTACGACATCGCCTTATAGAGTGCCATCAAATTGACAGCTGACTTCAATTTGATCACTGAAGTTGCTATTTCAATATCGGCGAGGAGAAAACGTAATTGGCATATTGGCACCAATCAAAGATGTGTTACAGCTATATATAATTATAGTATGTTGTAGCTAGGAAAGCTAAGAAGTTTTAATTTATGAAAACTTTCACATTTTATTGCACATGGTGGCATTTTGTTAACTTAAAAAGTGATTTTTAGATTGAAAACGTTTTGCGAGTCGAGACTTGAAGCTGCATCTACAGCGTTTCGTCCAATGCTCTAGCCAATTGAGCTACCGTGCCCTACACGTCGTCCTAGGATTATCTAAACCTATTTAAACATTCAACTCTCGCGCAATGCAATTTAAACTTAAACACCTGTATATTAAGGTATTGCTTTGTGTAACATCAGCAAAACTATTTCTTTACGTCTCATAGTTACCCAAAAGCACTTGACATATTTTAATGCAGTTTTTATCATTATACTAGAATTTTTAGTAAAGTATGTTATAGATGCGTGCAATATACGCCAAAGAGAATATATTTTACACACATATCACCTAGTGTAACTTAGGGTATTCACCGTCTGTATAAAGTATTAAATTTGTTACAGAGTTGAATTACTGCGAGAAGAACCCAGACACTTGCAAGAACGGGGGTAAATGTCAGTCTTTGGAATCAGGAGACGGATTCTTCAGATGTCAATGTGCCGAGGGTATCAGCGGAAAACACTGCGAGAATATACCGGAGAGTATGATACCTGGCAATTCTACTGAGACTACTACTACAGAATCTATTGTGGTAGAAGTTTCTACTAAACCAGAAGACGCAGAGGAATCGGATGATGGTGATGACAATGAGACTGAATAATGGCATAAAGCAAGTCCTTCTTTAAAAGCAAAGAATTTTTTAACTTAAATTATAGATAATTCGAACAATTTCAGAGAACGATGAGATTTTAGTATTTTAATAGTAATTGAGGTTATCATAATTATATAACTGCGCAAGAGTGCAATTACTGTTAGAAAAGACATTTTGCAAATATCCTCTGTAAATAACGATGTCTTAACAAGAATAACTTAGATGGCGTGTCCTTTAATGAAATACCAATTCCTTGTAATACGGTGCTTTACATCCTTTCCAAATGAGCAAAGAGAATCAAAGCTTGATTGAAGGACTTTTTTAAAATTTTAATTAATCATTTTGTGACTGATTTCAATTGTTTATAGTAAATAATTTTAGTTTAAGTATTTATTTTAGGCTAAGAATATACAATATAAAACTATCAAATAAATTAGTATTTTTTTAACCCTTTTACACTACATATTTGGTGCGTCTTGGTGACTCAGGCGTACACCTATTGTCTAAAGGGTTTTATGTTTAAAAATAAGTCAAAGAAGCAGGTAAAATCTACTTATTTTTATGACTTACTTCTACGCCTTCGATCTTTAACTTTTACTTATTGGAAAAAGTGGAGAAACCATTGCATCCCGGGAGATCAAAAAATTACTGTTTTTGCCCGAGTCTCCGGACCATCTGAGAGTCGGAAACTAAAAAATTACAAATGTGCTTATAGTGAGATATTAAGATTTCAATTTCTTTATTTTTTACACAATATACAACTTAGTTACAATATATTTAACTAGTTCCTGGCGTTTTGGATGCTTTGCAGCAGCCATTCCCATTCCGATGTAACCTTGGCTACTAATATGTTTTATATTAAAAGTCTTGTAGTAATCGCGTACGATCGCGTCCGACGTACGCGACGTCCATAACGTACAGAAGTTGGTTGTTAGTTGTTGGTGACGTGCAAATCGCGTTATTAATAGTGTGAAGCTACAGAATCTATGTTATTTAAATTCCGAATGAACATGCCAAGTGTAAAAAAGCAAAGCGACATTTTATTTCGGTCAGTATATTTCGCTCCACCTCGCCTGCATGTTACTGCATTTGGTTTAATGCCTTACTAGCGTGAATATATTCAACGGATCAAGTTTAAGCAGAAAAAAACATAGCCAAGATGTCTACACTCAAAAGCAGCTTGGGTTCCGTACGAAAAAAAATCAAACTTGACGGTGCATACCATTTAGTTAAGCAAAACATCTATTGTGTCAATACCAAGTTATTAGACTATTTTTAGCTGTATTTATATAAGTTACTGGCTACTTTTAAGCTACTTTTTCTTAACGGTTTAGAACTTGAAATTTTTAGCAATCACGCGGGACCATGGTTAGTAAAAATCAGGAAACAGATACATTTTGATATACAAGCCGTTAAAAGTATTTTAGCTAACATTACAACGCATAAGAAAATGGAAGAAAACCTCTTGACGAGTTTAGTTTGTAACACAACATCATGCAGAAAAAACCTTTAATCATATATCAATTTAAAATTATATTTTGAAATATTTATTTCGTCGTATAGTGTAGAATCAAAGAAACATTGATCCTAAAAAATAAACACTGGATTCATTTGTTGTTTGACCAAACTTTTATAATAACTTTAAGCCTTAAATGGTAAAGATAGTAATGGTATGCGGAACCCTAAAAGCGGTTAAATTAACGACTTATTTACCATAATTGCTCTGATTCGGATAGTGTTTACCTTAAAAAATGTGCAGGATGCCGTGTTAGGATGCGATGGTAATGCTAAAATGTATATTATATAGTTAAGTTCACTCCATTTTATTGAGTTTATTTCCAGTAAATATATACTTTTGATTTATTGAGATTGGAAGTAAACATCCTAATTTACGGCACTATCTTCTCATTGTGTGCACACGATGTCATCGCTGTAGGTACTAAGTTGTTAAACATAAATTTAATCTCGAAAAATATTATTTAATTTTTTTTTCAAATTCAAATTTATTACATTTTTAATAAATATTATTTTTCTCGCATTGTTAAATACTACAAGTTTAAAAATAATCAGTCGTCATACTTTCTTGTTTGCCTGGTTTTTACAATAAAATGTCGGGTGTTTTGTATAACAGACATGTGTTAGTCAACACACACACACACACCCGCACACGCTCACAAGGGAAACGTCGTTTCACTTGCAATGTTGCAATTTCAAGAAAAAAAATTTGACTCAACAACTGTTTAGAGTAATAATAAATGTAACAGTTGTACACAATATACAAACGATTCTAAGGCTTTAAAGAAATAAATGTATTAAAGTATTAGCTTACTTGTTTTTCACCATGGTCGTCCTCAAAGCACTGATGCCAAGCATTCAAAACGTCGGTTTGCAGTTATAGTTAAGTAATATATTTTTAATCGTTAAAAGTCTTTCATTTAAATGCGTAACCTACAGACAATACTTACACTAGTTAATGCACCATTTCTAACCTTCATTTATTTACATAAATAAAGTATAAAAAGTCTAATCACCTGAAAGTACAATTTTTCGCTAAAAGTGAAATTTATAGTATACAATTTTCGTAATACAAAAATAAATCAACCATCTAAAAATCTAATACATAACTTATTAGCCGGTAAAGTGATTACTTCTTTAGGTCTTTTTAATTTAAGATTTACGAGATCCAATTTTATGTCTTTAACTTTAACCAGGCCTGCCTTCACTTGAGAATCTTAGAAAAAACTAAATAACGTGGAATCGCTGAATTAATTCAGATCAAACGTCTAGTCACTTAAATATGCAGTAAATTGCGCGTTAATTATAAGAACTTAATTGAAATTTAGAAAAAGAATGATTATGTTTCTATGTAGAAAGATGGAATAGAAATTAAGCTATACAATTCTTCACGCTGAGACTAGTTTCTCGCAATATTAGTATTTCTAGAAGTCCTACATATATTATATTATATCGTTATTGCACGGGGTTCAAACTTACGATTGTACACACAAAAGTCGAAAGCATACCACTAGACCACCGTGGTGTTTGTAGTATATGGCAAGTAATACAATTATTTTAGATACTTTCATAAAATTTACTTCGTAACACGTGAATATAATGCTACGAATAATATAAAGATTCTACAGATTTCTGCTACGGTTTTTATGCGAGTAAATTGTAGTGGTGCAAATGCGCCGACGCATCCAATGCAATCCAATGCAACATTTGTATTCAAAATAACTAAGAAATACGTAAATACTGTCTATAGTTTACGCGAGTAGTACACATTTAAATAAAACACTTTAACGGTTTAAAACGCGATTTATTAGTTAAACTTATTTGAAAATGATTTTTAACTTCGGCCCGACGTTTCGGCTGCTGCAAATTTTCAAATAAGTTTAACTAATATATCGCGTTTTAAACCGTTAAAGTGTTTTATTTAAATAAGAAATACGTTTAAAATGATGACAAGCTTTTTTAGTCTAATGGTAGCATCTAGCAAGGTATCTGAAAAATGCCATTGTAATTTTTCTCAAACGTAGATAGTATGTTTTAACTTTGTCCGGGGAAATGGGTGGTAGAAAAATCAAAAGGTTCAAATCCCGCAAGCATTTTGCTCGTTATTTCTATTGATAGAGAATGAGGGATAAGCATAGGGTACACTTAATGGGAGATAGGCGAGATACCGCAGCCATATAGCATCTAAGCAAGGTGCGCTGTTGATTCCATTTATTATCCAGATAGACGTTCAGACGAAATCCAACATATTTCTGAAAATGTTGGACCCGGTGGGGATCGAAGTCGCAGCCCGTTAATTATTAGCGATACATGCTACCATTACACAACTCGAAATGAAATCGATCTCATCAAAGCTTAGATGCACGGGTCTGTTTAAGGTTATGTCGTATCACGAAACTCGTGCGCAGTTCAAAGTATATAAAGTGGCTGGACCCGCCCTTTTCGGCAGACTGATTGCAAACGGCCAACATACAGCAACCAATGTGATTTTCTATATAGTATTAAGGATATTTTTAAGATGGCCGCAATTCACTTTTTCTTGGTGAGTCATTTTTTTTCTTACCGCCTCTGTTTAGATAAAGAAAGCTTAAAATTTACGATTTGATATGAAGTTTCGTACAGATATAGTGCATTGTAATGCATACGGTGCCAAGAGCGAGTCTATTTTTTTAATACACGGTTCCGTATCAACTAGGTATACAATTTCATATTGTAACATGTTTTAGGCATCATATTACCATATCAATAAAAAGGGGAAACATTACTTTTTTATATTAGAGCTACCCTGAAAAAAATATTTATTTGATTATTAAATATTCAAGTTATATTAAAGTAGTATTACGCAATTGCGCATATTTCTAAAGCTTATTTCTTACTGTAGTTGAAAAAGCTAAAAGGATACAAAACATTTGTATTTTCATCGTAATATATTGGTTTCTAATAAATTATTTCTAATTAAGCTACCTAGTAGCACGTGAACTCTATATTAAGTAATTACATTAGTCAACAATTAAACTCCAAGTTTTCGTTTAATAAACTACAATACAAATTTAGTTTCACCATAGAGTAACGTACTTTTAGGTATTTGTCTTGTATTCTAAATTAAAAAGTAAAAAAAACTAGAATGACGTATTTTCATTCAATATCTACAAGAATAAGATAAAGAACGATTATATAGAGGTAATAAATTTCCATCTTCTTCAGAATGTAAAAAGGACTACAGACAGGATAGGATAGGATACGAACACAACTTTATACACATAACTGGAGCTCAAATTTTGGACCACAGATCTCTCTACACTGACACAAATCACTAAGCCTTTCTGTCTAGCACATTTTATCGTATATTACTAATAGGGGCACAGTTACACAATTTCCTTCGGCCGCTAACAGGCCTCTATATGTTTCTAAATTATATTCAATGTCCCTTGCCCTAAATGCGTCGTACATTCAAGTAAATAAACAACGTAAGTGTACGATAAATTGTGTGTGTACTATAAAATAATTAAAGGTAATACGTGGGTATAAAAGTGACTGTAATTTAGTTTTCAAAAGATATTAATATGATAACATGATTTTCAAGACTATTCTAATAATGAGGTTGGGCTTTTCGATCGAAAATTCTATTTCCCTTATATGAGAAACATAATATTATTAAAGTTATTTCTAATAATTTAAGCAATATATTTTGCGTTAAAAACACTTACATGAGACATATTACTGTCTCTATTTGATTTTATTGCCCTACGAAAGTGTTCATTAATATTTTCGGGATGTAAAAACCAAAATAAAAAAGTACTTGACAAATGGGAAAAACACTTGGCTGTGCATACCCATAAGAGAAGCGATGAGGTGTCGGTTTTCAGTGTCCTCTGAGGGGGGTAACAAATGACTGCCACTACTGACTCTTACCCTAAGTAAGCCTTACTTGGGGTAAGCCATGCCTAACGTCCGGTTCATATTGGCGGCTCCGGACCAAAATACATTATAATGAAAAAAGGGACGCCCAACATACATTCAATAAAAAAAGAAGTGTTTCATTTTTAGTTTACTACTTTCGTGTACTCTCTTTTATATATACTGTTTTAATTTCCTTTAACAAACGAAGTTAAAGAGTTTTCATATGGTGTATGTTGAGCTAGAATTCAAGCTATAAATAAATCGAAAGTAAAGTTGCGTACAGAAGTTTTTAGTTTCGCGAACATAGCAATTATATAGTTTTTACATTTAGTACAGTAATTAGTTGACGGATAAAACAATTATCGTGTTAAACATGTATTTAAAGCACGCCATATAAATTAAAATGTTTGAATTCGTTGTGGAAATTTACTAGCGTGTTTCCGGTTAAGAGTTTTTCTTATAATTTTATACGACTAATAAATACGTGAGTAGTACACATTTATAGAAAACCCATTTAACGGTCTAAAATTAGATTTTTTTTAATCACTTATTGGCAACGTGCATATGGCCACTTCAAGTATATGTAACGTCGGGTCATAGTTCAAAATAAGTTAAGTGTATGTAGTGTTTTAAACTAAAAGTGTTTTTTTTTAGAGGTCGGATTTAGGGGAATAGCGGAATTAGGAGCTAAATTTTTTTTTTTATCAAAAAAACGTGTTTTGAAAATGCCTTTTTTCAATTGTATTTTATTACGTGTAATTGTTGAATACTAAAAAATCTATTTGATTTAACATTTATTAGAATATTGGACTGAGATTTTTTTTATTATTGCTTTATTATTTATAAAACACACCACAGAAAGTTTATTATATTTGGAAAATATCTTGGAGGCGTTTTCACTCCTTTGTTGCCCTAAGCTAAGTGTATGTTTTATAGCAGTTGAAGGCATTTAGAAGAAAGTATTATTCTTTATTATATATTATGCTTTTACCAGGCACCCAGAGGTGTATTGATTAAAAAAGGTACCACCTGCGCCATGTACACACTCGTAGGTCACTCAGCCATCACCTTGACCCACACCTAGCCTGTAGACATTGATCTATAATACTGCATTACTAAATATATTCGCAAAGATAAATTGACAGCCGTCTTGGTCCTATGGAAGAATATTCAGATTAAGAAATAGATATTCGGTTCGATTTCTACCAGGTCTATCATCTTTCTAAAATCTATTTATTGTTTATCTGAAAAATCATCAGACTTCGTCGGGAAATTTTGCTTAGGAAATGGGTATATCTAAATTCCATCCCGTTACGACTACAGATGCAAAAGCTGTAAGTGTCTTTGCTTTTCGGTTTTAATCTGTGGATTTCTGTTTAAAGCCAAAATAGGTCAACAGCAATATCTTGACAATGTATTATGAATGGAGTGTTTCACATTCCCCTAAATCAAACCCCATGCTTCTCGGCTGTGCTCTTAAAAAAATATAGCGTTAGCTGACCTGGCATACGGTTTTTGGCATATGATGTATTTGACTTATATAACTTGGATGTAAACAGAAAGACGGGAGTGAGGGCGCGTTTCTTTCTTTAACCATTAGGACCCTTTTCCACCTAGCTACGCTACTGACATAGAAGAAATTTATTTGTATACACACAAATATATGCTGCTATTAGTGATAGTGATGATAAGAATACAATAATACTAGATAAATTGTTCGACCACTTGTAATTATAGAACGAATATCAAACTTCATGAATCTTTCATTTCATTCGTAGTTATTTAAATAGATTCTGATGACTTCTCGTTTATTTTAAGAAGGTGTTAGCTATTGTTATTATTTTCTTTGTAGGTGCTCCTGATCGGGAGTACTCTCACACTCAGCAAGGAAATAGAACAGAAAGCGAAAGTATCCGAGCTTCTAGAGAATGGCATCAAGGACGAGCCATCAGGCAAGCCGGTGAAGCGAGGAATCATTTCAGGTGGACACGGATACATTTCGTCCGGAATCTCCCACGGAATTGGCGGTGGTATCAGCTACAGCAGCGGAATCGGAAGCGGAATTGGAATCGGGAGCGGAATTGGAATCGGGAGCGGAATCGGAATTGGCAGTGGGATTGGTATTGGAAGTGGTATTGGAATCGGTAGTGGAATTGGTAATTATTTCGTTTTTAACTTTAAGTTGTTTAATTTTATTGGTTTTTTTATTATTTTTTAATTGTAACGTATATTTAAAAATTTGGGGAACTTTCTACAAGGTAAAAAAAATTTAAAGGATGGATATTATTAATTATGTACATTTTAAATATTTTTCAAGGCATTGGTGGTATTGCTGCCGGACCCGGTATCGCTGTAGGAGGACCTGGCATCGCCGTCGGTGGTGCAGCAATTGCTGCTGCACCAGCTGTCGCCGTTGCCGCTGCACCAGCCGTAGCTGTCGCCCCCGCAGTCGCCGTCGCCCCCGCTCCAGCCGTGCAAACATCAGTCTCAGTCCAACCAAACCCGGTCATTTTGCGTCAAGAAGTTCCCCGCTTCATCACAAGAACTATCACGCGCGACGTTCAGGTCCCAGTACAAGTTCCAGTGCAGGTTCCAGTCGACAGACCAGTTCCTGTACCCTACAGAGTCCCCGTACCTGTACCAGTCGACAGGCCAGTACCAGTCATCCACAAAGTACCTGTTGAGATCACAAGACAGGTTCCAGTGTATTACGAGAGGAAGGTTCCCTACCCAGTCAAAGTACCCGTTTCAGTACCTGTCCCATACCCAGTGACGGTAGAGAAGCAAGTACCAGTTGACCGCCCCGTGTACATCAACCGTCAAGTGCCAGTGCCGTATCCGGTGCACGTCGACCGTCCAGTAAGTGTACCTGTCCCAGTCCACGTTGACAGGCCCGTGCCCGTACCACAGCCCGTCGTAGTCGATAGACCTGTACCCGTACCGCACCCAGTGGTCGTCGACAGGCCAGTGGCAGTTCAGACTGCGGCTGTCGCTGTACCAGCTGTATCTTCTGTGGCTGTCCCAGCTGTTTCTAGCGGTATAGCGATTGGTGCTGGAATCGGTTCGGGTATTTCCATTGGCCACGGTCTTGGAACCAGTATCTCAGGATACGGGGGCTCTTACGCCAGCTCATACGGCTCTTATGGAGGCATCGGCGGCATCGGCAGCATCGGCAGCATCGGCGGCATCGGCAGCATCGGCGGCATTGGCCACTCCTTAGAGTCCTTCGGCCATTCCATTCACTAGACTAAGTTTATGCACTCGTACACCATCATTATTAAATATACGGATTGAAACAATTGTTATGTATTTATTGATTATTTTATTTTAGAAATCTTGTCAAACTCTACGTAGGCTCTATCTTGTAAAATATGTACTTATGCATTCTATTACGTTATTAAATTAATTTTAAAGCTATCGAAATTGTGTTTTACTTTAAAAAACTAGTTACTTTTTAATAGAAAAGTAAATAATAATACTGAAATGTTATTATTGTCGTCTTATTTGAACTCCATCGTTCTTCATAGAGAATAGGAAATCTTATGAAAAACGCAATACCTAGTTTTGCTTTAGTTGTACCAAGGCGATTGTAAGCTTAGAAGATAGTACATCGTTTATCTGGGTTCATGGGTGTTCCAGGAGCACAGTGCCAAATTCTGGAGAAGTCACGGTTGTTCTGCAAAGCACCGCGAGCTCTCAGGTGTTGAGGTGCATGTTCATCTTCCAAGTCAGATTTCAGAGCTTCCACTGTGCTTACGCCACACCAAAGCTAAAATACATTTTTTGATTACCATATTTTCTTAATATAAAAACAATATACATAAAAATTTAAGCGAGTATGAGTTATAGTTTACGCGAGTAGTACACATTTAAATAAAATATTTTAACGGTTTAAATGCGATATATTAGTTAAACTTATTTGAAAATTATTTTTAATTTCTCTCCGTGACCACGGCTGCTGCAAAGCATCCGAGACGTTGGGCCGAAGTTTAAAATAATTTTCAAATAAGTTTAACTAATATATCGCGTTTTAAACCGTTAAAGTATTTTATTTAATTTAATTAATACTTCTTGCACGAGTTAAAATCAGACAAAGGGAACTATTAAGTGCAATGGCCAGCCTTGTGACTAAAAGCAATAAAAAAGTTTGAAATTTAATTATTTCACATTATCCTACAAATTAAAAATATGCTTTTCCCATATAACTAAGAGCCTTATTTTACCCACATTTCCATATGACAAGAAAAATAGTTGTTCCGAAGAAAAGTCCTCAAAACCTGGTAATTTCAATTCGGGACCACCTTTTCTCAAATGTTTTGTCAATGCCGCGTAAGCTTCTTTTACTCCACCGTTGTCAGCTATATTTTCGCCTAAAGTTTTCTTACCGTCTACCTAAAATTTGTTAGGAATATATTCATTTTAGGCAAAAATACTATATAATAAAAAAACTCTAAATCCAAAACCATTTTTCGTTTCTTTTAATACAAATAAAAACATAGACTTGAAAACTATATTATATGTTTAAAATAAGTATTATCTGTACTTTTGTGTCTAATGGTGAACATTAAAAAAACAAATTAAACAATTTAAAATGCGTCTTATAATTTTTTTATTCTAATATTAAGCAATTTATTTCTTGTTTCAAACCGTTAAAATATATATTATAAATTATTATTATGTTTTTTTCGACGGGTAATACTCACATGTTTACCCAATTGTGGTATATAATAAGAGGAATACTGGTCGATGAAACACTGTGTCTTATTAATGTATGCCTTTATTGTATCGTTGGACCACCACGGAAGGAGATTCCCATTTTTATCGAACTGACGACCTAAGGAAAAAAAGCAATATTATTACAAACTATTAAATAACAAATAAACAAAAGGGAGGAAGAAAAGAGATATAAGATCGATTATAAATTGACCATTGATACATGTACCACATCAATAGATTGAAAAAAATTGACGAAGACGTGTAGGACTCGATAGCTCAGTTGGTTACAGCGAGCACGGAACGTTTAGGATGCCGGTTCAAGTACTGCCCGAGTCGTATTTTTTCAAATTATAATTTCTACATATAAAAAATTATAAGATTTTCCAAAAGTCTATAAAAGTAAAGTGGATTAAATTACGGAAAATCTTACCAAAATTATCGAATCCATGAGTTATTTCGTGACCAAGGACTGTACCTAAGGATCCATAATTCAGCGAACTGAAAAAAAATGAGATAGATTGGTTTAAAATGAAAACGCAATTACAAAAATAGAAAAAGATTTTAATAAACAGATGATAACACAACGTGTACATACTCAAGTCCTAAATCGAAGAAGGGATGTTGCAACATAACTAAGGGTACAGCTGCGTCCAGGACGAAAAAAAAAAATTATTATTCTAATATTTTATACTTATACTAGATGCGATAGCAACTTTGGCCGCATAGATAAGTTATTTTGGGCGTGAATTCGTTTTTCCAAACCTCCTGAACTTTAAAACTTTAACCAACGACGTCGCGTCTTGTCGTTCCCATCCCGTTTTTGGGCCTTTCCAGCTTTCTCTTTGTCCGTATTAGTTGCAGCGTGATGTTTTATAGCCTAAAGCTTTCCTCAATAACTAACCAACCAAAAATTTTTAATTCGGACCCCTAGTTATTGACATAAGCGCGTTCAAACAACTAAACAAACAAACTCTTCAGTTTTATATTATATAATTATCTTATGTTCAATAAAATATTGACGCTTACTTATAGTATTTTCTTGAAACGTGTGATATGCATTAACTTCAGTTGGATCAGTCGCCCAAGTGTAGTTATTGCTCGTTCGAAACTTATTTAAACCGTTTTTAATTTTTACTTGCACAATGCTAATGAGATTTTCCATATATTTCTCCGTGTGTACATCTATGCCTTTATAATATTCCTCCAATCGACCGTCCTCTAGCAACCAATCCGGAAAGCCTACGAGAGTTTTCATCTCTACTATTTTCTGATATGTTGCCAATTTTGTGTCATCATCCATCCATTTTGTTAAACCAACTAGATGCGCTAGCGCGTTCTTTAATTCGTATAGCATGGTCTCTATCTGAAATAAAGAGAAATTAATTAGACTGACAAACTTAAGAAAATACTGCCTATAGTTTACGAGAGTAGTACACATTTAAATAAAACACTTTAGCGGTCTCCAAGTGACCACGGCTGCTACAAAGCATCCGAAACGTCGGGCCAAATTTAAATAATTTTCAAAAAAGTTTATCTAATATATTGTGTTTTAAACCGTTAAAGTGTTTTACTTAAACTTAAGAAAATTTTACTTAAAGATAGACAATTTAGCCTGAAAACATCCATACGACTATTTTAGCGTATTTAAATAGTATTTGGCGGATTATTGAAGAAGATAAAAAACGAAGATAGAACCGGTAGACTACTTAGAAATAAATACATATCATTGGAATGGAAGAGAATATATTTCTAGAAAACCTTTGGCTTAGTGACATTGAAGAAGTCCTGATCAGCAATAGCATAAGATATAGCCATGCCGAGCAAGTCGTTAACGACGTTAGCGCACTGCAGACTCCTGGATGCTATCGCATGACCATTTTGCAGCTCCTCTGAAGCCCTTTCATAAAGAGCTCGCAGTTCTGATGTTGTATGAACCCCCATAACTTCTATGACCTAAAAAATCCTATAGATGTAGAAGATAAAGCTGTTTTTGTGTGACATACTTTTGTGTATGTTATATTCATCGACTTTACATGTACAAAGTACAAGTAGTAGTTGATCAAATTTGTGCTCGTTATCTTTTAAGAAAATCCGTTTTAAGGAAATAGCTTTCCTTTGGTAGATCATTTTAGTACTAACTGATATAAGCTGAATAAGATCCTATTCTATACTGTTAAGATTAAACTATGTTTTATTTTCATATTTAGTAATAAGCCTTCTATGTTTTGTGTGGCTTATGGTAGTAATTAAATTTATTTCTCTGTCTATTTCTTTTAAATAGGGGAAAGGAGTTTCATGTATACCTTGATCCAAACATAAAGTTCGACTAGCACAGGAGGCGTCCTCGCAACATAAGCAGCCATTAACGACATGTATTTTAAATCCGGATCCGACACCAAAATAGTGTCCTTCTCAAAATCTAAGGTAACTTCACTTATATTGAATATACCCTCTAAGTATCTTTTCCATATTGGGATAGCTGTAGCATTATTTAATTCGACTATAGCATCTGTGTTTTTTTGGAGTTTGTCTACGGTGTATTCTGGAATATCTAGGAAAAGACTTTCGTCTGTACTGTTGGCTGCTTCGAGCTAGAAATTAAAATTTATCTAAATGTTGATTATAGGAGGAACATCTACAACTGCACAGAAATGTCAAAACTACAATGTATGTAGTGTTGTTCTATGTCTGTAGACAGTTTATAAAATACTAATAAAAGAAAATTATTTTACTTTAGATTTGGATCTCTCTATAAGCTTTTAAATTATTTAATTTCCCTAAGGTAATTTAACAAAATTTACGTTTGAAAACGTTAATATTTTTCACATGATGGCACTATAAATTTAAAAATCGACAATAAATTGAAAAAATTGTTGACTCGAGCAGGACTTGGACCGGCATCGTCGGTTCAACTTCTGCCCGAGACGAAAATTTTATTCAATTCATTTTCGATTTTTAAATTATAAGATTTACGTTACGTATTTATTATCGTGTCTAGAATTGGTAATCTTTTACCAGGTTTTACAACTTTTAATATTGTATTCGTCTATCTGTCTTGTCGTGTTCTTACCTCGTACATATCATCGCTCATAGAATAAAATGCATCGGCAGTAAGAAATATGGTTCTATCCAATTCAACTTCACTTAAATTCGATTTTTTAACACCATCTGCTTCCAACACGAACATTTTTATTAAATGCGCGTAGAACAACTTATATATTTCCGCTTCTTTGTCTTCGTCGATTTTTTTGTTTGCATTATTTACGCCGTTAAATAAGTATCTCTGATAATACTCTTTGTTATGCGCGTGATACCTTTTTGATTTTTGTTGTTTATTTTCGTTAAACATACTGCAAAATAAGATTTTTATATAGGGTGTCAAATTTCGTTTCTCCTATTCGGGGTATCGGGCAGACGTAAATCTTTTGACTTCAGATTTCTATGTCCTAAGCCTGTCCTGAAGGATTTATTTTTCGGGATTTGAACAGAATTTTTCTTATATTATACATGTCGTAAATAATAATAATTTTTTAGAGTAACCTTATAGCTGAATTTCACGAGTTTATGAAAATCAGTTAACCTAGTTTGTCGTATAAGATTAACATTTTTCCATAATTACTATTCTACTAACTAATTCGCATTGATCCTACATAAAACACTATCTGTAGTTTACGCGAGTGGTTCACATTTAAATAAAACACTTTACCGGTTTAAAACACGATATGTATATGTGTAAATTATTTGAGAATTATTTTGACTACGGCCCGAAGATTCGGATGCTTTGTAGCAGACGTGGTCACGGGGAGACTACATATGGAGGGTGTCGCACTACCAACTTCGAATTAACATTATTTTCAAATAAGTTAAAAAATATATATATCGCGTTTTAAATCGTCAAAGTATTTTTTTAAATCATAAAATATTAATTTACCTGGGAAATGGATTCGTTGTTTCAGGCGAACCCATGATAAGCCGAAAAACCGATGAGTTTTTAGGATCTGTGACTATGTCAAAACCGATTAAAACGTCCATATTAAGTTTCGTCTTAACATTTATAACAATTTGAACCCAATCAAAGGAATAAGTTGAGTAATCTACATCTGTTATGTTCAAGAATGTGGGATATGATGGGAGTCCCAAAAGTTCTAAAACTTTTATCGCTGGTCTTAGACCTCTCTTGTCTAGCTTATCTGAAATATTAAGTATTTCAAATAAATAAATAAAGAAGTAAAGACGCTATTTAATATAAGTATTATTCAAACACTGATATATAAGCAAAAGTAAAGATCAATTCTCTGGTTAGACAGGCTCGTTGGACCTGTTACAGCAATGTATGGCTGGTAATTAACAAGTCCCAGGTTCGATTCTACCAGGTCCACAAAGTTGAACTTAATAATTATCCGTGTTAAGAAGCTTCTGAAAAATAAAATCGAACCTGCTGTTAAAAACACTAACCAGTATCCATACACGAAGTATACACGTCCTTCGCTTGTTGCACGGGCTTCGGTTGGTTTGTGGTATTCTTGTTCAGGAAGTCACGTACTGCCGTGTACACCTTGGTTTGCTTGTCTCTGAACCAGTCGTAAGAGCGAAAAGCGTCAGGTCGCGGGTGTTCCGCTCCCCAGTTGCCACAGACATACTATGCAATAAAATAAAATATTATGTAATGTCTGTCGTTTATTCGAGTAGTAAATATTTAAAGAAAACATTTTTAACGGTTTAAAATATGTATGTTAACTTCTTTACAATTACTATTTTAATGAAATTAAAAAAATATATATTTTAATGAAACTTAATCTTTGCCTGATTTCAAACCCTAGACCTCGGTCTTTATGCAGTGATTGGTATTTTAACAGGTGATCTACATAGCCAAGTATTTAAAAACAGTTAACATGATTTAATAGATCACCCTTAATGGTCTAAAACGCGATATATATTAACCTATTACCACCCGGTCGTCAAAGTATTTGTTAATATGTATTCTTATGTAAACAGATAATACTATAAAAAAGTTGAGTCTTTCTATGTACTATCAGAAAAGAAATTTACAATTTTTATAACTTACTTGGTAGAAGTCATAACATGGATCGACACTTCGATCCATAGACAACGCTAAATTAGCAGCCGATCGCAAGCATTCCCTGCTTTCACACACTTTAACTGTTTTGTGTCGCTTTTGTTTTATATCTATCAAATAGTAAATAAGAAATCGGTAAATTATTAAATTAAACTATAAGATATGTGATTTAACCATATTTTTGCTTTTAAAATATTTTAGAGGCGGGATTTGAACCCATTGCTTTCCATACTTAATTTGTTTAAGATATACAATCTGTGGCAATGAAATTTCAACTTTATCACTTACGTATTTCGATTCAATGGCATTTGCCTTTAATGGTAAAAAATAACTAATGATGAAATTACAATAACTTTTCTCAGTTTTTAGTACAAGATGGTTCTACAAAAGTTGAAAATCTTTTTAGCTTGAAAGTAGGTTTTATTATTTCATTAATTTTAATAACTTACAGAGAACTGTCATAGCTATGAAAAGGCAAAGAAGAAGTAACAATACAATAATCAGACAAGCTATGAGCATCTTGTTTTTATGTTTTCTTCTGAACCTGAAATATATATTAAAATCTAAAACATTATTGTACATTTATACTTTGTTAATTTAAATTCATTTAAACAACCCATACCTCGTGTGTATATCCACGGGCCTATGTGTACTGGTATTATTGTATATGTATTAGTAATAATCAACGGGTCGTGGGTTCGATGCAGCATGATGGACTTCCTCTGAAAATCTGGATATGAAATGGATGGTAGGAATATCGAAATTCCGTCCGCGTTTCTCTCTGTTGATTTTCGAATATCCAAAGCCAAAAAAGGTCAACAGCGCATCTTGTTTAGATGTTATAGGGCTGTCATATTTCACCTACCATGAAGTGCAGCCTATCACCATCGTACATCATATATGTATCATAATAAAATATATTTTTTTTCTATACACCCTTTGTTAAGTAAAATAAGTATTTATTTTAATATAAATATAACCTGGCCGTCCTCGAACCCACTGCTATTAAATACCCAGATTCACGTAGATCGCTCCCGTTTTTCAGTGTCGGTGTGGGTGGTTTAGCACTTCCTGTACCTATTGGGAAAACATTTTCACTCACAACAATAGTACACAAGAAAACCACATAATCTAAGTGTAAAAGTAAGTGTGTTTTATAAAAACCGTCTCAATGCTTAGTTCGGTTTAAAAAAGTGAGACATCACAATAATATTGATCGTTGGACTAAAGGATGTATTGTTAATAATCAACGGGTTGTGTATTTGATCGCCATCGGGTCTAACATGTTTTCCAATAAATTTATACTTTTTTTTAACATGTTGGATTCGTCTGGAAAATCCGAATAGTAAAGGTTTCAAAGTTTCCTACGACCACAGATGAAAAAGCCGTGAAAATAAACGCGTTTCTGTTTCAGCTTGCTTGCTTGAAAGCCAAAATAATTCGACATCGCATCGTGATTATATTTTCTATGGCGGGGTATTTAACCTTCAAATTAAGTGATCCCTACGTGTGTCTATTCTCCTCTGTCACAAGAAAATATATTAAGAAACTGAGAGATTTTGAAAAAATATTTTCCTAACTTTAGTGTTTATATTTTTATCAAGTACTTACGTGTAACAGGAGGCCCCATCCCATCACCCTCTTCATTGGGCCAAGCGTTCATTTTCCTAAATTACAATTGAACTAAACACTTTCTCAATCACTGCGTTTAAATTTATTGTAGTTTCGTCTGTGCTAGGTCTATAATGCCTAAATTGCTATAAAGGCATCATGAAAACCCATAATGATGTTTTCGGTTCGGAGGTAGTTTTGTAACTGAAAGCTTGTTGTGGTTACTGAATTTTCATACTTTTAGTAGTGTGACCATTATTTGTGTAATTCATTGAACTATCGCTATCGTTAATTCTCATTAAGAATTAATGGCGGTTTGTAATGCAATGCGTGTAAGTTATATCTTGATCGAATAAAGAAAATTCACATATAATTATGGCACCAAATATTTAATTAATAATTGGTTTAATATGGGAAGCGAAACTTAATGTCGTCAAACTGTTCTTTTGCTATAGCTTGCATTAATGTCAATTTGTATTGTACTTTAGATTCAAGATTAAAAATATAATATATGTGAAAATTATTTCACTTTTGCTAATGATGATATTATTAAAGTATTTTACAAATCGAAAATAAATTGAAAAAAATTTCGACTAAGGCAGGACTTGAACCGGCATCGTCAGCGTTCCGTGCTATTGCTTGCTATTTAAGTCGAAAGTTAGGCGACTCACTCGCATTAATTCTACTTTTAGCCGATCGATACTCGAAATATATTGGTTAACTAATTCTTAATTTCGGTCAGACGGGGTGGCGTTGGTCATGAGATCATGAAGTTACTATATTATTTGTGTCTATACTTTCTCACATTAATGCCAACACTATATATAAAGAGAAGCAACGTTACCTCAAAGTAACATAGGTAACTTATATTTATAAATGACATGGACGGGCTACTAGTTTTAAATAATTTAATAAGTTATGCACAAATTTTTTGACGTTGACACTAGATAAATAACAAGTATCAAAAAATTACATTGAATTTGTCGTTTGATTACATGACGCCATAAGGTATCCTGTAAAATTAAAAATGATGGCGACAATATTAGACCCAGGTCAAAGGATAGTCGGCTGATAGAGGTAAACACGCGACGAGTAGTGATGTGCCGTGATATCGATTTAATAATGCTAAATGTCAAACGCGTTCATTCATATGCCAAGAGGTAACATTTGTATTTGTATAGTGTATAGATTTCGCGTCATATGTGCCTACTATACGTTTAGTTTCTCTTTTCATGAGCATAAAAGGCTGGCATGTGTGTGCAATACCCAAAGTCCAATATAAATAAATTAAATATGAATTGAAAAAAAAAAATAATACGACGCAGGCTGGACTTGAACCGGCATCGTCAGCGTTCCGTGCTGTTGCTTCTAACCAATTGAGAAATTCATTATCAATGGGAACGTATTGGAACATACTTCTAAATCTATAACCTACCCGAAAGAAACAAATGTGCTTTTCCAAGTTTAAAACGCAGGATCTGCTTAACGTAAAGATATATAGTCTTGTAGCCCATAAGCAGCGGAAGTGTTTTTTTTCGTTTAGCGAGCAAGCACGGGGAAACGATAAATTATTTTGTTCGGCAAGGCATAGTAGTCTAACTACTATTTTTACTGTATATAAAATATCGCCTCAAACTATGCCTCAACATTTCACAATAGTTTTTAGATATTATACTTTTATACTTGTTGGCCGGTTGTTCTATAATAATCCTTATATAACAGTTTAATTTTGACTTATATTTTGTTTAATGTTAAAAATCCCCTACGTTGCTTGCTCACTGAATAAATTAACAGACCTCAATCGATGTCCTAGATAACGGTGACATTCTTATCGTTTTTAGGTGAGGTGTCATACTATAATATACAAATATCAATCAAGTTTGAATTAAAAAAAAATCATCTGTTTATCTTGGATAGACCATTTGTCGAGGGAGGCTTTACTCTATAAAACATGGGATATTGCGTGCGCTGCGATAGTTTAAGAAATAAAAGAACGTATACACTTTTTTTGATTCATACGAAAGAAAAATAAAAAAATAAAAATAAACAAGATTACGATTGACATAAATATTTATTTGAACCACCAGCCAAGCGGGCATGATCTCAACGCATTTACAATTATTTAGAATTAAGTCTAACCCTTCACCAACCATGACCCCAGCCATGACCGAACGACTGTGCGTACGTGGCGATGGGGGCGTGGGAGATCACCGCTGGGGCGGCTTGGACCACTGGCGCCGCGTGGACCACGGGCTGGGCGACGGCCACTGGCGCGGCGTGGACTACCTGAGTGGCTGGGTGGATCACCTGGTGGGAAGATAACTCATATTAATGTTCTTCTGTGTTTTGACCGTCAGAGTTCATGCACTAAAAGTACGTGAAGACTGTAAAATTAAACTCGGCGAAAAAGGTTTTTTTTTGCCAGTTCTTTTTGGTTCGATGTACGCTCGTGATTTGAGAACTGGTAGTAAATTTAATTATAGAGTCTATACTTTTTAACTGATTTGACGTTCATAAGCGTACCTAGTTACCTACATGAATAAATGGTTTTGATTTTATTATTTGCTTTTTAGAAGTCCACAGAAGAGCATAATTAAGAATAGAGGAAGGAAGGTCTTTGGTATATTTCTTCAGATCGATAAGAAATGACTAAACTGGAGCAATTGAATGCATCGATGTTAAATTTACTATAATCGCTAATAGATTAAGTTAAACAAACATATAACGAGAAGAATAGGATGGTCTAAGAGAAATATGGTAACTTTTAGATCATAATTCTTTTAAAGAAAACTACTAACCCTCTGGAAGGAGGAGTAGCTGGTGGCTGCTGGAGCGTGGGCAACAGCAACTGGTGCGTGTACAACGGGCGCGGCCTGGATGATTGGAGCGTGGGCGACGGAAATGGCTGGTTGAGCGATTGTGAGGGCCGGTTGGTGAGCGATGCTCAGCTGAAAACAAAAAGATAAGAATAAGAGCATCTCTAAAATATGAAAATTACAGTACCATGATGTAGAGGATACAGTAGCTTTATTGGTTAGAGCAACATCAGTGAACGCTGTGGATATCGGTTTATGTCCTGCCCGTGTCGTTTTTTTTTTTTCAATCTAAAAGTTGCATGAAAGGGGATCAAGAGAAAACACTTTAACCGGTTAAAGACTAAATATATAAGTAAATATGCATTTAAATAAACCACATTAACGGTTTAAAACGCGTTATATTAGTTAAACTTATTTGAAAATGATTTTTAACTTCTGCCCCGTGTCTCCCCCTGACCACGGCTGCTGCAAAGCATCCGAAACGTCGGGCCGAAGTTAAAAATCATTTTTAAATGAGTTAAACTAATATATCGCGTTTTAAACCGTTAAAGTGTTTTATTTAAATGTGTACTACTCGCGTAAACTATAGACAGTATTTAAATATGCATTTACTTAATTTAATCTAATTAGACTACGACACGACGTTTGGATGATTTGCAGCAGTGGTCATGAGGGAGCGTCCCTAATGTCAAAGTCAAATCTACTACGAATCCAAGATTTCCTATGGATATCAAATCGATGGTAGGAATACCGCAATTCCGTCCGGGTCGCGAATCCCCGTCCACAGACACAAAAGCCGTAAAGTATAACCGCGTTTCGGTTTCAGCCTGTGGATTTCCGAATATCTATCAAAATAGATCGACAGCGCAACTTGTTTAGATGTTGTACGGCTGAAGTATTTCACCAATCATCAAGTAAACCATGCTTGTCTTTACTCATCTAGAAAAGAAGCTAGTATTATCGTCTGTACGAATATTATACTCATCAAACTTACAGCAGGTGCGGCGTATCCACCATAGCCTCCAAAGCCCCCGAGGAAACCGGGGGTGGGCTTGGCCGCGGCCATGGCGAAGAGGGCGAAGAGAATCTGCAGATAAATGCAATAAATACAATTATTAATAGGGCCTCTTACCACTAATAGAAGACCCACCTATAGTAAAAACACATCAATATCAAGAAGGTAAATATATTTAAATAAAACAATGTACCTAACGGTTTAAAACGTGATATATAAAAATTTTCCAATAAGTTTAGCTGATATATAAATAGCGTTTTAAACCGTTACAGTGTTTCATTTAAATGTGTACTACTCGCGGGAACTACAGACAGTATTTAAGTTAAATATAATTTGAAGGCATGTTCTCTCTATGTAAAGATCATTCAAATGTTTATCATGATTATAATGTTTTGAAAATTGCATTAAGATCAGTTAAGTTATTTCATATATACAAAATAACCTTTGCTAACTAATAAGTGTTATAAATAAAAAAATTAACAGACTGTAATCGTATATAAATATCGTGTTAAAAAGGTTTCATGTGTCAATTAAAACCTTTTTTGGAATTACCGCTTCGTAACGTAACGCGTTACACTATATGTTTGTTTAGTTTAAGTTATTCGTTAAGACAATTTGTTTTTTTACGCAGCTGTAGATTAAATTAAGTTTCCGCTTTCTTTTGTTTATATACAGTGGTGGTAATTTATGGATGTCTTACTTAAATGTTTACCGGAAAATTTGCAATTTACAAATCGTTTACCAAAGACCCAGTTGCCATGTCAAGGACGACTATAAGATTATCACCCTACTTACCATATCGCGTCTGAGTCACGCAAAGCTTAACCGACTTAAAAAAAAAGTAGTTTCCTTAAGTGTATAAACATCTAATTAACAAGTTAGGCCGCTAGAGGCAGAGTAGCCTAATTGAAATTTTATGACTTGACTTATTTATATTTGCATAGTCTAAAAATGTTAATCTGCAAGAGCGCAGTGACCGAATCTTGTTAATTTATTTTTATAAAAATAATAGTACAAATCTATAAAAAAAACATGTTTTTTGTTATTAGGCCACTCTACCTCTAACTTTACCTCTATCTAATGTTCCAACCCAATAATGTACAAACAGAGTTTTCAGTGTGTAGGCCCACCACGCCACTCCAATACGGGTTGGCGGGATTTGACGACTAATAATATAATAAATCCTGTTTTTTTATATATTTGTATTATTGAAAAGTAAGTGATTTAAAGTACCGAGAATATTAATTTCTTTTAACTTAAATAGTGTCTATAGTATAAAAGACTTTAACGGCTTAAAACACAAAATATATTAGTTAAACGTTTGGTCATAGAAATAATTATTTTGAAATAATATATATATATATATGTATAAGCTTAAGCTTATCCTTTTACTTGTATTAAGGGGAAATTATGCTAAATTAGTTAGGTACTTCTGAATAAGAGAAGTTAGAACAGAGAAATCCTGGGATGCTTTCTCCCCTGCTTTCATCTGCATGAATCAGCGGGCATCCATTATAAATTCGATAAAAGTTAACTTATGTCAAGATTAAAAAGAATTCTTAAGAAAAGTGGAACTTACAAAGGCACGCATGGCTGTTAGCGTTGGTAGCGAAGAATGTAGTCTGCTCAATTATTGCTCTAACGCACCTTTTATACGTTTAAGTATTTCGTATCACATGTGTCCTAGGTCGGATCGTTTGAGACATGCGCATGAGCAACGTCCGTAAGGGCGGTGCCCACTCCATATACGAAACAGTGATTTACTCGATCTATTAATATTCTATGATAGGCTATTTGCTTGGCGGCTTAAGATAACTTCCAATTTACTCGTTACCGCCGTCAGTTGCCGTTATTGCAAAGAAAGAAAATATATAATAATACTAAAGAAATACGATTACTTTTAAAATCAATATTTACTGAGTGAATAAAAATTTTAAGCAAGTACTTCTTTCTATAAAATCTTTATTTCACAACAAAGAATCGAACCTTCAACCTTAATACAAAACTAGGCATAGATCTTTCCAAATTTAAACTCTTAATCAATTCAATAGTCTCAGGAAGTAAAAATGGATTAAAATAAAAATGGAGTATAACCTTGCATGGATTACCATTTCCGTCGATGGAGCTATTTCCGTGCATATTCTAAAGCTCGACTATGCTACAGAAGATCTGTCGATGAGTCTTGTAGCTGGTATTACGAAATGTGTCGATCGAACGCGGAGGGGAACACTTGGAATGTAGTAAGATTTGTAACCGGCCTTTATAGTAAAACTCGACTTAACTAATTTGCTATAAAAGGGTAATCCGTTAAATGATTCCGAGAGCAAAAACCAAAAACCCCCATGGTTTTGGTACCATGACAGCACAGATACTCATATGTAGTCCTATAGTCTATGGTTAGAGTATAAGCTTATGTACAAATAAAAACCATCACAATAATTTATTTCACTAAAACCCTACAGTTTTATTGGGCATCATATCCCTTAGAGTAAGACATAAATATATTTTCCATAAACCCTACTCTTAAATAAATTTTGCATAATTATAGTCTGTGATTTAAAAAATCCAGTACGTTAAAAGGAGTGTATAATCTGTGGAACTTAAAAAGAAAATAGTTTCATTCCATAATTCATAAGTTCAGCTTTTTACGTTTACATTTCACAAGCGTTTATGTAATGTTATGAATGAAAATTACGATCGTTGAAACTCGGTGAGTCTAGAAAATGTTTTATTTATATTATTTTAATAGCTGGTACTTTTTAAGTTGCTTTCGTGGGAATTTTCCTGGTAGTTTAAAGTTTATATTCATTTAGTAGATAAGAAATATAGTAGAAATCCTATATGATAAACTATATACAATCAATAAGGCTTTTTGCTAGACCTGCTTCAATGTTTAAATAAATAAAATGTAAAAAAAATTTTTTGGCGAAAAGTTTGGCGAACCTATAAACTGACGAAGGTACTTTTACTATATTTACGAGATTGTTGATTGTTGATTTATGAGATTATTATATAATCTCTACATATACAAGCATTTATGTGCAATAAAATGTAAAATATAAGCTTAGTCCTAAAGCACTTTAAAGTTCTTTCAAATACTTTGTCGCATACCAAATGTGTGTAAACATGCTGTTTATTAATTATTTTACGCTAATAAAAGAATCTAACCCATTTTAATTGCAAAGCAATCGATAGAAAAACGCAAATATTATAAATTATCATAACACCCTACAAATTAATACATAAACATTTTTCCCATAATCTGGCGATTCATTTTTTTTCTAAAAAGAACTAGTATTACTAGCCAATTACTCAGTTCGTATAGCATGCAGTTATTGCAATAACATTCTGTGCCAGACCATAATTTTATAACAAAATTCCATGGATAATCTGCAATTAACGTTCGCTTTTGCTATTTTCATTTTTTATCTGTAGATCCTAATAGTTATTAATTACGCTATTTTTGGCGGCAAATTGATGTTCTTAAATTGAAAGAATGTATTTTTTTGTAAAATTAAACTTACAAGCGTCAATTATTATATTTAATTAGAAAAATCTATGTCATTCGCAGAAAGTTTCTATAATAGCGTTAAATTTAATGAAGTTAATTGCTCTGCCTGAAATTATGATATTTTTAAACAGAAACGAGTAATAACTTTAAGGCTGTAAATGATTTCTAGTAAGATTGTTACTATATTTTCTTAAAAAGTAAACTGACAATTTCATCGTATTTTAAAACCTACAAAGTTTGAGCCTGGAAGAGATGGCTATTAATTACCTATTAATAATAAATATAAGTACATATAAGAGTCTTGTTTTTACAAGGAGTTAAAATATATAAAATATGCGATTTATACAGGACATGAATAATTAGTTTTTTATTTCTTCTGTAGCACCTCAATGTCTAGCAATTCTTAGGTTTTTTAAGTTATTTCTTGCGTCTGTGGACTAGTTACCGTCTATGGAATTTCCGACATAACTGAGAAACCTTCAAGAGAGGAAAATTAGAGGTCGATAATGCGCTAACTACCATTTTGCGAGCGAACACATTTCTTAGAAGGCTAATAGGCAATTTTATACGATATAAACTTTCTTTGATTGGTTGTACTTAAGTTTGAATGACGGAATAATATAATGTAAAAAAATATCACCATCGTTTCCATAACATAAATTATTCGCATTATGTAACTTACAAAATTTAAGGGTTTGTTTTTAAAAGCTGATTTTCTGTTAATGTTATTATCCCCTCTTCCACCTTCCAGGTTATCGGCCTCGTGTGCGGATGAAAGAAGCTGGACGAGGCTCTGCTGTTGCTCAAAATTTGTACTATGTCCTCTCTGCCTATCCTCTCATTGGTATCCATATGCTCCTCTACATATGGGTTGGTCTCCTTCACGATGGAGTTTTGAGTGTCCAACGTCTCAATGTGTACAACCCCATTTAGTTTAAAATCTTTGATCAGTATCCTCTTTGGGTTGTAATCAATCTATTCTTTATTTTCTTTATACAAGGTGCATGCATTATTAAAGAGAATTTATATACGAAAACAAAATAAGTAATCACAGAAAGAACCAATTTTTCTTATTATATTGAATGATAGTTAAAGTCTAATAAGTGATACAAGCTATTTTAGTATATAAGGGCAGGTATCGTTCGATCTCTGGTTTTACATGGAAAAAGCGCGTGATTCAGGATAATGAAGTGAAAATTAATAGATTATTAATTTTTACATTTAAGGCGTACTTTGTAAAAACTATGAAATAACAAAATGGCATTTTAACGATGTATTCAAAATAATTTCGTTTGCTTGTTAAAGTAACTTTGATGTGGCGAAACGGCTGTGATGTATATGCATTTGGGTTTTAGTCTGTGGATTTTCGAATATCCCAATTCGATAGCGGCTTGTTGCCTTGAACCCTGTTTCGATGTTATATGTGGGCCCCATTCTTGCCTGTCTTCTTGTGTCAGTAAATTAGATCAACTGGCTGTTTCTCGGTTTTCTTTATAATAAGATAAAGTTATATATCTTATATGGGGAAACAATAGTGAGGCATTTGCAAAATTTACACTTAATCGGTTAAAACGCCAATATATTGGTTAACTTACTCTTAATATGTATTCAATTTATATAACTATGTATCGATATTACGGATGCTTTGCAGCAGCCGTGGTCAAGGGGGACAAGTTAAGTAATATATTTGGCGATTTCAACGGTTGGGAAAGTTTTTTCACTTCAATATGTACTCGCGTTAACCACAGACAGTCCTTGCCTTCATCTATCATAGTAAAAGTCTGATAATCTAAACATACTATAGTTAAAAAATAAAGATTGGTTTTAATTTAACTGACTCTCAGATTAGTTAAGTAGAATCTAGATAAGATCTAGTCGTATTTGGTTGAGATTACGCAAAAATATGCTCCACTTTAACGAGACGACTTTTTGTTGAAAATTCGTATAAATAGACGTCGATTTTAATCGTCCCGTTCCGTTCTTAAGTAACTATGTACTTGTTTCGTAAGATTGGGAATTATCACAAGTGAAAAACGCAAGAGGTAGACCGATCAATAGGTGGCATGACGAATTCAAGGAAACTGCATGTTCTGGGAACGAAGTGTTAAAAACAGAACGGAGTGGAAGCGTATGGAGGAGGCGTTTGCAAAATGCGGACCTGCGGACCCATTATCAACTTTTTACTAATATAAATAAACTATAAAATCATGTAAAATATGATGAAGAAGAAGAATGTTATGTTATGTTAGTAACTGGTAATATTGTGATAATAATTTAAACTTTACCGTGCCCTCACCACCCCCGGTTTCAAACCTGCAAAGTTGGTAGAAAACCAATTTGAAAACTTTATTATTATTTTTTTACATGTTATAAGTTCACATGAAGGCATATATAATTTAAAAATCGATAATAAATTGAAAAAATTTTCGACTCGGGCAGGAATTGAACCGGCATCGTCTGCCTTCCTGTGTTGTCTCCACCAAACCACATATCAAGTATCTATATCTTTTAACAGGCTCGTTGGTGTAAGGTAGCAATGGGTGGCATCAGTTGTGTTCACGGGTAAAAGATTTATAATCAATTTATAATTTTTCTGAAACAAGAAATGTGGATATTAAATGAGTGGTAGAAATATTGAAGTTCCATCGGGTAACGCACTATGCTGAAAAAGTCGTGAAGTTTAATCACGTTTTATTTTCATTTCTAGTTTTCCGATTAACCAAAGCCAAAAAAGGTCGACAGCGCATCTTGTTTAGATGTTATGTGGCTAGGCTATTTCACCTACCATAAAGTGACCCCTCTGTCTGTGCTCCTCTATCATTAAAAATACTAATACCGATTTTCAAAAAGCTAGAAATAAATACTGTCTATAGTTTACGCGAGTAGTACACATTTAAATAAAACACTTTAACGGTTTAAAACGCGATATATTAGTCCAAACTTATTTGAAAATGATTTTTTAACTTATATATCGCGTTTTAAACCGTTAAAGTGTTTTATTTAAAAGCTAGAATTATATATATATGACAACCTCAAAACGGAAAATCGACAATCTAGTTCATCATTATTATATTTGTATGGTGTAGTTAAGTGTCTGGGTCGATCGATCGATGTCCATTAATGATGCATGACAACTGGTTGATGGAAGCTAGTCTAGAAGATAACGATTTTTTGTATATAAAGCCATTGAAATATATGGTAGTCACTTGATTCGTTGTTTTTGTTATAGATGAAGAAATAAAAAGCATGGCTTTCACTTGATAGAAGGTAGAATTTCATGCGACGTCGACCTATTTTGCGTTTGGATATCCGGAAAATCTAGAATTGTAAATTTCCTTTTTTTTGTATTATCTTTTCACCCAAGGAGCAGTATATTATCCATTTAATAAAAATATGTATAAGAGATGCACGGAAATAAGTATATACGAGAGGGCGAGTAACGAATAGTGAAAATATAGTAGATAGAAGGTAAGTTTGAAAAATACACGATTATTTATCAAAGCTGTGCAAAATTATGCACAGTGGTTTTAAAAGTAATATTGCTACTTATTGATTTTTTTTTTTAGGATTTGAAAGTAAGCTCTTAGACTATGATGTCTCATAAAATGGTGACTTTTACATGACAGCAAATAGCCTAGATCGCTACGTGATAAACGAACCCGTTGCCTATAATTTGTCTAGAAATGAAATGGTACTGGGACACGAGATAATAAATTTTCATTAATTATCTACAATTATTTCGTGAAATATGATCGTAGCGTTAAAACGAGAGGCATTTTTCATTATTATTTTATTTTATTCCAGTGTTATCTTTTGATTCATTCAATATATTTTATAAAACAAGGCATTGTCTTGTAGCTCTAGGAACAACATAAAAAGCACCTTAATGTCGGAATTCTAATAAAAATTGCAAAGGTTTTTTGGTGAAAAAACACAGGCCACAAAGAAAGCCTATAAATTATTAAGATTATTTTGTAAAAAATCATATGAGGTTAAAAAAATAAAAATCTTATTTTATATTTATATTTGATTGTAATTTTTAACTACCGGAAGTGAAATATGAGCCTACAGTATTTTTTCTATAAGCATTTGACAGGTTTAAAATTAAAAGTTAAAAACGTAATTTTAAATTTAATTATCAATAATTTTGTAATTTTAAATTTCCAGAAAACGGTTAAACTAACAAGTGGATTTTTACCCTACAGTAATAGGATAGAACTAATTCGTAAGTTAGAAGCCCAACTTCAAGTAACTACGTTAGGATTTTAGTAATAAAATAGAGATGGCGCTGTTCTTTACACTCCAAGAGTTTTCATATAAGGTTCTATTAATATAATCGAAACAAAAAAAAGCTAAAAAAGTGCAGCTATAAAAGGTTGACAGCAAATCGTAATTGAGTATTTGTGTCTCTTTCGTTTTAAAGTTTTTTTAGTGCTGAATATATAGACTCATCTTAGGACTTAGGAGTGTGTCATAGGGTGTTTTTTTTTAACTATACATTTAAAGTAATATTATTTTTCACTTGGTTATACTGAGTAGTGTCTATTGTTTACGCGAGTAGTACACATTTAAATAAAACGCTTTAACGGTTTAAAACGCGATATATATAAAAAAAATACAGCCCGGATCTCCCCGTGAACCACGGCCGCTGTAAAGCATCCGAAACGTCGGGCCGTGGATAAAATATTTTTCAAATACATTAAACTAATATATATCGCGGTTTAAACCCTTAAGTGTTTTATTTAAATTGGTTGTACTGGTTTAAAAATAATTTATTTAAGAGGGAAGAATTCGTGTAAATTGTTAAAAAAATATTTGAAATTAAAAAAATAACCAAGCGTTTTCATATAGTTCCTCCTTACCCATATAGAATTCAATGACTTGAACTATTCGAGCTATATTGTATATCTACATTACATAATGTGGAAGTGTGTTCCGGTTTCTATGTAAGTCACGTGCAACTTAGCGTTACAATACGTAGCCCTTGTTCGGTCAGTGTTACTAGGCTAGGTATACATCGATAAAGGTATTTTACACTTAAATCAGTTTCAACATCAACACGAGAGATTTAACTATAGAAGTTATTAAGTTAGGCCCTCAACAAATAGATGAATTGTGTAAGGCTTTCACGGCCATTGTTTAGCATTTCATTGTTTTTCGGGCTGTTCGGCCGAAGTGAGCGAAGAGAGGTTTTCGACGTTAATTCTTCGAACATTCGAGGGGCTCTCACGTCAACAACAACAACAGCTCCTGTTGATTATTTTCAATGAATTCCTATATATTATATTTATATACCTTAGTGTTAAGCCGGCATTATATTTTCATTTTTTAATTTGGTAAAAACATAATAGAATATTAACTTTATTGCTTTCTTTTCTGTAACAGTCCTGTAAGACGATATTGTTGAGAAATAGATTAGTGCATATATAATTATAATTACTAAGCCTGAAAATAACTACGGTTTACTCACTTGAAACATCTCAATTTATTGCAGGTTTCCAGAATCTCATTAATTTGCATTTGAAATACTCTTTAACAGTTTAAAACGCGATATATATAGAGACCGACGTTTTGGGTGCTTTGCATATGTCTCCTCGTGACCACGGCTGCTGCATCGCATTAAACTGTTAAAATGTTTTATTTAAATGTGTAATTCTCGCGTAAACTACAGACAGTATACGATTTACAATTTCGTGCTTATAAATCAACTTTTTAAACACTTATATATGTAATGTAATGATCGCTAAACCTCACATAGGTCTAGATTTTATAATCTATGATCCAATCTATGGTTTATGCAATGAATCCTGCCCATTTGTGATAACTGTTTGGAATGAGGACGAGTGATATAAGAACCAGTTGTAATCATTAGGATTAAGTTGGAGTGACACGACTCTGGGTAAGTGCGATGGGATTCAATAAAAAAAATATTAAAATTATTTTAGGGCTTATAACTTCAAATAAAGTACTAGTACTAAATACTGTCTATAGTTTACGCGAGTAGTACACATTTAGTTGAACACTTTAACGGTTTAAAACGCGATATATTAGTTAAACTTATTCGAAAATGACAGTCTCTCCGTGACCACGGCTGCTGCAAAGCATCCGAAACGTCGGGCTAATTTTAAAAATCATTTTCAAATATTATTTATGCTAGTAACTTTGTTATAGACATCTGTTATAACAGTCAGACAAGACAAATATTGAAGAAGTCTTTGACAGATTCACATAGAAAAATGTATTAGAAATTTTTCCTTAACCATAATTCAAACCATTTATTAGCATTTAATGAGAATTTACGAGAAACCATTAAATTTTATATTCAAAGCGATGTCTTGGTAACGAGAAATATTTCCCCAGACATTTTTGGACATTTGGAAGTATTTACAATTATCGCATTAATTATTCTATCGCTGAATCTCCAAAGTATAACAATAAAGATGGCTGGAGAGGGTTGCATAAAACTTTCACTTTGTATACTTGTATATCGTCATTTCTCGGTTTCATTAAATATATTGTAATCAATTTATCATTTGCATATATTAGCACAATTTATGTCTATATTAAACTATTAAAATCTTTCTAAAAATAATCAACAGTAACAAATCTTATATCATAACAGATCGAGACTTCGGGAAAGATATGTTTTGCAGCATAGGTAAGGATAGCAAAAAAATATATTCATTTGATAAAACGTTTATTATAAAATAGTATTTAGCCGACTGCGGTCGATATAAACTCGTAAATGAATCTTAAAGCTAAACATTAGAAATACTATATACAACAGTACAAAACCAGGTACATTGCCTCCCTTACTAAAGATCGTAGGCATTCGAAAACATACATACATACTTAAACGACATAAGTTGTCTATACAGCATATAATAAATATAAATATGTTATAACACATAATATTGGCATTTTAACGTCACTACTTTCAACATACATAGGTAAATAATAGAGTATAAAAATTACTATAATTTTATAGAAATATGGTATTTTGTATATAACAACAAATAATAGAAATGCTAACCCAATTGTTCTATTATTGTTTTTATAACCTAGATCACAACATCTATTCAGTAGCCTCTAGTTTTTAGTTTTCAGTTATTGGTACGTTTGCTATGAACAAAAATTCATGCAACAATATAATATTAGGATTAAAATGACTCCTGGATATCAAAATGTATTTAATGACAGTTTGACAATTCAAAAATGGCGCCAGTATTATAACAGAAACAACAGAGCTTTACCATAGATTCAAAATGGCGTCATAGACTACACATATACTTTGAAATTCGATCTCATCGTTTTGTTACCAATTAAAGAGTCAAAACTTACGTTACCAATAACTGAATTTTCTGCAAAATTACCAGATTTTGTGCCCATGGATACCACCGTGGATGCCACCGTAACTGCCATAGCTGCTGTACCCACCGCCGTACCCACCATAGCTGCTGTAACCACCTCCGTAGCCACCAAGACCGATTCCAGACGAAACGTATCCAGTGGAGACTGGAACTGCTACGGGGTGAGGTACTGGAACTGCTACTGGTTTTGGAACTGGTACAGGGTATGGTGCTGGAATTGGTACTCCCACCTGGAATGGTTCAGTGAGAATTTTATGATTAATGCCATAACAGTTATTTCTGTAACTTTAGAATATCGATAGCTAAGGAATTTATTTTCATATTGTTTATGTATTATTGGTACCTTGAAGTAAATATTAGTTATTATATTTTTAAAACACTTGCATTTGTGTTCAACTTAGTCTTGTGTGTTTTTTTCTCTTATATTTGTAACTAGTGGTTTTGCTCCTCCTCTCTGTATTTTTCTTTGACTTACTTCTTATTTTGTTCATTCGTAAACTGCTGTTGTTCCGTTATGAGGAATTTCATGTACCATTACTAACCTGTTTAACAACTGGGTAAGGTACAGCATGAGGCACTGGTACGGGTACAGGTCTATCAACTGGTACAGGAACATGCTTTTCAACGGTCACCGGGTACGGGCGAGGCACTGGTACAGCGTAGGGCCTGTCTACAGGTACTGGAACAGCCACCTAAAACACAAAAAGTACGTTTTGAATACAATTTTATACCTTACAGTGGTTATAGTTCTAGTATCGATGTCATAATAGGCTTTGATACAGGGGAAAAAGGTGTTTTATCAAGTCAGCTAAGTTAGGTCATTTAATTTGATTATCGAAGTTATTTTGAAGAGGAAAAAGTAACGATGCCGGGCTCGTAGGCCTAACAGTGGAACGTAGGTTGGATTTCTTCCAATGCTCGTTGTTCGCTTATCTCATAAAAAATGATTTTTTATACATTTAAACTGAAATACTCCCCTTTTCCCTATCGCATCAGATAGCTAATAAAATAAATAATATAAAGTCCCAATTGTGCAACTTCTACGTGATTCCTAATCCAGTTGATGATGGACTCACCTTAACAGGCACTGGCACTGGTCTGTCAACGGCTACTGGATATGGGGCAGGTACCGGAACACCGACGTGCTTGGTGACAGTTGTGTGGACATCGGCACCGACTATCGCCCCACCGATTCCTCCTATACCAGCACCGATGCCACCAATTCCGTATCCACCAGATATTCCAGAGCCGTAACCACCTGTAAATATTAAAAAAAATGTACTACGCTCAATAGTATAGTTAAATACTGTCTATAGTTTACGCGAGTAGTACACATTTAAATAAAACACTCTAACGGCTTAAAACACGATATATTACTAAACTTATTTGAAAATGATTTTCAACTTCGGCCCGACGTTTCGGATGCTTTGAAGCAGCCGGAACTGGTCCTGCACGGCGAATTTAAAAATCATTTCCAAATAAGTTTAAATAATATATCGCGTTTTAAACCGTTAAAGTGTTTTATTTAAATATGTATGTTCTTCAATATATATTTTTTTAATTTTTTATAATAGGATTCCGTTTTTATCGTTTTTATTAGTTACAAAACACTTAAAAAATGTGAGGCTATCCTCTCTATATATTACCGTATCCATAGCCCAGACCTCCGCTGTAAAGACCGCCATAGTGACCGACGAGCCCACTCCTCTTCTGGACCACCTTGCTGGGTTCCGGCTCCGCAAGAACCGAAGCAGTCAAGACTAAAATAGAGATCTGGAATTCAGAAAAAATACTTACATTAGAAATAAACAAATATTGATGTTTTATATCGTAAGTCCCTCCAAGACCAAATAGTGACGCGTTATTTCTCCCCCAAGTGCGAACAAAGAGCAAGGATAAAACTTATCATCTTCGATTTCAGTACTATCCATCTCATTTGTTGAATATATTGCGGAGTGAGAGAGATATTCGTAAATTGTGTATTTGTGATAGATAAAAAAATGTATGTTGTCGAGTAAACGTTCATATTCGTTATATTAAAATATCATCTTAAAATATATCGTATATATTATTACTTTTGTACTATCTGAAGAGTATTTAGGTAAAGTAGTTCAAAAGATATCGACAAAGAACTCTATTTTTTAAGACATTTATAATTTTTTTTAAATTTTGGTTTTCTCATTGTTATTCCCAAAGGTCATCCATAACGCAATGCATAGTGGGCCGTTATTTCGTAAAATAGACGTTAAAGAAGTAACGGCGTTAATTAAACCGTTCCCTATAATTGACCTTTACATCTTTGGCAAGTTTATTTTTAGAAGATCGACATCGATACTACTGTTTCTGTTATTTCATTACAATGAGAGTTAAGGGTGGAGGGAGAAATTTTTGTAATTTTGTTTCTCTAGATATAAGTATTAGTTAACAGCGCTGGACATAGGCTTTAGTTTTTTTTATTCTTCAGCGAAGGCCTTCAATGACGATCGTGCGTTATAATTGCATGGATATTGAACAATAGCCAAAACTCCTGACTTTTACATTACGTGCAATGACTTCACTAATGTTACGTTCATGAAATCGAAAGGGTTCGTGTATCGAATATTTAGCGGATAAATATGGTACTTGATGAATGATTTATGTGTTATTGTTTGTGTTTTGATTTCGCTTTTTTATAGCTCGTGTAACGGCTTCACGCGGTAAAAAGTAAAATTATAAATAACACCGTCATTCAAACCAAAATTTTATATAAACTTTAATTGTAGGAATAAATATGAATACACATTTAAGGATATACTAGAAATAATAAAATGTAATAACAGGAGGCGAAGAAAAACTGGGGCAGACATTACTGATTGTTTTTCAAGAAACGTAATTATTATTTTCAGTTTTAATTGTTTTTCTTTATTCAGAAAAGCGGCTTTAAACCCAACATAAATATATAAATGTAGAACATACTCAAAATATATCATCTAGAGTTTACGCGAGTAGTGCACATTTAAATAAAACACTTTTAACAGTTTAAAACGCGAAATATAGTTAAGATCGGTCGGGTCGTCGTTAAAACAAATTAAATATAATTTAACTAGTAAACTTCCCGTTTTAAGCTGTAAAGGATTTTTATTTAAATGTTTTTTTTTTAATTCACTTTTAAATCACTTGCAATTGGAATAACTGTGAAAATCACTGCTGTACGTTATTAAAAAACAAACAAATAAATTGATTAAAAATTAATTTGAAGCCACTAAATCTAATAATTAATTAGATGTTATTAATTACATATTTGATATAATTAATTCAGAAAAGAAATATTATAATATTTTTTCTTATTAATAAGCTAATCTGTGTCTATTTTGTTTATGTATGGTGAGTATGAACAAACATGAACTTACGAAGGCCTTCATGTTTCTATAACACTGAACACTAAGTGTTGCACTGATACTCATTGAAGGAACATTGTATTTATATAAGATCGAACCCCACTTACGAGGGAGTTAGACCCCGCTTCGCAAGCCTCTGTGTCAGTGTTACAGGTGATACCAAAATTGACTTTTCTCAATACGACTACTGCGCGGGACAAGAACACTTATATCATATATGGTTGTAGAATAACTTGATTTTTCTCATTATTAATCCAAAGAAAATATTATTAAAAACGACGCACTTATTACATTACAAACATATCTTATGCATAATATATTAGGTGTCAAAATAAATGGATTATTACTAGTAAGGAGGAATGGATACTGATAAACGTAACATTCGTCTTTTGATTTAAATTTACGATATAGTACTTTCTTTTTTAATCTAATAAATAAAATATGAAACTAAACTTTAAACGAGTAAGTAATAGTTCAAATAAACCATTTATAGACCGCCATATATATAACCCACATAGTCTAATGGTTTACGGAACTAGATGGCGCTGGTGTAATAGTATTAATTTTGATATAAGGGACACTATCCATCTTCAGTCTTTCCGTGACTTCTGTCTCGTGCTAGTTCATAAAAAATTAATAATATATTTCGTGTTTTAACCGCAAAAAAGATTTTTTTATTTAAGTGTGTATTTGCCGCATAAACTACAAATAATACTCGTGTAATAATTGTTAATTCGAAGTAAAATTATTTATTCCGCTAAACGGAGTAACTTATGGCCAATTAAGTGGTAAGTACATCGTGTAATATTTGAACCTAGGAACTTTAAAAAAAATGTAACGTTATTTTGTATAATTTAACGTTGCAAGTTCTTTTGTATACATACGGAATTTAGTATTGAACTGCAACACAGTACACTCGCTTCCTGAGCATTAAAAAGGACAGTAGGTATCAGAGTGACCTACATTTGAGATTAAACCGTTTCAAATTCTCAGCTCGATGCAAGGGTTATTAGTTAACCTATAACTAGAAAGGCTCTGTAATTTATGCAACCAGGTGTTGTAAAAGTCAAAATCTATTCTCGAAAACTTAGGACGAAAATAACTATATCGGTACATAATACTGGTATAGAAATACTGGTAATTCATTATTTGTTTCATATACAAGGTATGGACAAACATATTTTTGTATCCGTTTTGTGTCCAATCAAGGTCTAATAATAATCTAATAATCAATGGGTCGTGGGTCCAACCAACATGTTTCTAACCATTTTATTATTTTTCTGGAACACGATGAACTTCGTCTGGAAATCTGGATATTAAATGGATGATAGGAATATCGAAATTTCGTTCGGATCATGAATGACCATCCTCAGATGTAGTTCATCTTTAATGAGTAATATAGGTCGACAGTGCATCTTGTTTAGATGTTACACGGCTGGCCTATTTAACCGTCCATCAAGTGAACGTCATGCTTGTCTGTCCTTCTCTATCATAAAAAACACTATCGTCGGATTAAAAAAAAACATAAGATTATTAATCGTTTAATGTATTTACTCAAATTGATTCAATGACATTAAAAACTATTTTATCTTGTGACAAAAAGCGCGCGAATTTTTTAATAACTGTGACATTTGACACAAAAATGTTTATTTAAGTATTAAAGGTTCAAAAGGTCCATTTTAAGACCTTAATTTTTTCACGGATACGTTTTTAAAATAAATTACGATATATAATCAACCTTTTTATTCATTGATAAACAACGAATAACAATTAAAAATAAAATATCCATAAACACGAGTACGTTAGTCGTTGGGTAATCAAAACAATGAATGTAGTTTTTATATATATATTGTTTCCGCTACAATACTCAGTATTTTCGTATTTAATTCTCTATTGTGCATCTATGGTGGGAGAAACATTGTTATGATGAGAATCGATCACATGATTACCCTGGCATTTGTATTTTAACGTATCTCTTTTATTGAGTTAAAAGAAAATTATTCTTGGCCCAAGTACAGGTGTATTTTTTTGAAAAATATTGATAATAAATTTTTAATTACCTTAAAATGACTACTATGTACCTAAATAACATACAGTACCTGCATATAAATTTTTTAAATATGATTATAAAGAAAATGGGTCATTAGGCACCCTCTCAGGTTTAGATCAGTTTTTGCTCATTGTGGGCCAGGAATCTCCTTTATGTCGTGGCCCCATCGTGCAACTGGTCTCCCTATAACTCGTTTTCAGGATACTCTTGCCGTCCATCTGTCGTCCTTCAACATTATCTTTATTTATTTGGACATGAATAGGTGTAATCTTATGAAAAATAAGTTATTTCATGTACATACTATATTTTTTTCTCCTTACAACAAATTAAATAAGATATGTCAACACTAAACGCAAGTTAGTATTACCATACACAGTATCAATTAATATTGGTGTTAGGAAACTTCCAGGTTGATATCACGAACCGCTTTCGATATTTTCAATCAATTATCCAAATGACGAGACGACTATTAATCACTGAGTAGCTTACTTATATTATATTATATTTTTTCAGATGATGTCTGTAGTTTTTTCGAGTAGTACACATTTAAATAAAACACTTCAACGGTTTAAAACGCGTTTTAAAATTGTTAAAGTGTTTATTAATAATTTCAAAATATAATATTTTTTTCAGTTCAATAAATTATCAAAGCCGGAATGCAAAATAATTTAAAACGGTTTTGTACAAATACCATTCTAATTAATTAATGTATTAATTAGAATAATATACACATTGTATGTATAGCATATAGTTTTACTATAAACGTATCAGAAGTAAGATAATGTTTAATATTGCAACTTACTGAATTTCATTAAAAACAATTACGATATTTTTATCTTTCTTATCAACATTATGTGTACGACATTAATATCAAAACACGCAATATTGTCCTCAAAATCATACGCGTTACAAAATATGATTTTATTTGTTTAATTTGGGACACAATTATTGTGCAGCGAAAAATTTGAGGGTCAAGTTGCTGCTCGCAATTGCTGCAGAACAACTCTTTGTTATTGTGATGACAGTTAGCAGGATTCCATGATGCAAGGGTTCAATTACTCATGCGCCTAAAATCGGTGCGATTCTTCAATTATCTTTCAAATATAGATTTTTTTTAAATTACCATGAATATGTAGAAATTTTACTATTTACATAATATATATCTCACTTTTTTCTACTTTTGCTAATATATTTTTTATTAACAATCATGTCTTTGCGTTAGCCTTATATCTAAAGTTAATGTGAAAATGTATCATATACATAATCTGCATATTTAAAGCAAACACTTTTTGACGGTTTAAAACGCGAAATAAATTAGTTAACTGTTGAGCAGCCATGAAAAATTTAAAACTGCTACGCTAGCGACTGATTTTATCATTTACGTTACATGTGGTGGTAACGCAATGAGATAGAATTGGTTATACAATATATATTAAGTGTTACATGATAGAAAAAATAGTTATCAGTGATATATGTAAATACTAAAATTAAGTGGACTTACAGCGCTTATGAATACTGAATTTGCTAAACTAAATGTGATATAAACTAAATTAATCACAATATTTCCCAGACGGGGTGTAGTATATGTAGAAAAAAAAGACAAGTGAGTTCAGTGGAAGGAACTGAACCACTAGTTAGCTAAGTCTTGCGCATGCGCACCATTTTTCGTCGAGCGTAGTTTAAAAAGGGCCATTATACTCGGCACGTAGATTGCATAACGAGCGCGGGTTGGTCTCACATTTTAGCATTTTAAAATCTCAAATTGGCCAATAAAATGTCTTCGACAGGTTAGACTTGCTCAATAAAAACGTCCTACCGTTCCTCTTGTTTTACTTTTGTACGATGTCGCAATTTCACTCGTGAAATTAAATTAAATGTTTATTCATATGATAATCTTTCGACTGATAAAACTTTTTCAAAGTTCAAGATCAAAAAGCTTAACATTATTAGCTTAAAGAGTCAATACAATTAAAATTATACAAAACAGATTTGCATATTTATAATAACGTATTATCGTAACTCTAGCATTTATACAATAAAAATTATAAGGTCGACGGTTCGATTCCCGTTCATGACTAAAATTATTTTTGTATTTTAAACCGAAATAGCATGTGAATTGTAAAACTGACTTTAGTCCGTGAGGTCAGTAGTTCGATTTCCGTTAAGGGCATATGTAATACATTAGGTCGTTTCTAAATACGCTTGTGATCATTCTGGGTAACTGTGGCTTTACGGTGCAACTAAGAAGTAAGAAAGAATGAGGCATTTAGATACTAGGAAAAATTATAAATTGTGTATAGCTTAAAACGTAGTGAAACAAAGAAGTATGGTTTGGTTTGTGAAAAAAATAATTTCTTAAACGTGTTGGATTTCGTCTGGACATTTGGATGTTACATGGGTGGTAGGATTATAGAAATTCAATCCGGGTCACGAACCACTGTCCACAGATGAAAAAGCCGCGAAGCTTAAACGCGTTTAGGTTTCAGTCTGTGGATTTCCGAATATCCAAAGTCAAACTAGGTCAACGACGCATCTGGTTTAGTTGCTATAGACTGGGGTATATCACCTGCCATGAAGTGAACCACATAAGCATGGGTCATTCATTAAAAAAAATTACAATAAATTGTAATAGAATCTAAGTGTCATTTTGTAACAATACTTATCAAATAGTAAAAATAATTATAAGTAAACAGTAGGATTCATAATTATTTGCTTTTCATTTCGTTGCATTATAATTATAGTCAAATGTCTCAATACAAACTACATTTTATAATAATCGAATGTTTCTTTGACAGCGATCTCAATTTTAGCACATTCAGGAAACATTTACGTAACAGTCCATAGACTGTAAATATATTTTATGATGGAATTATAAAAGCTGGTGACGAAACTAACCAGTAATAACAATTATTACTTATTTGCATATTGACTTATTCGCGATCAGACCATAAATTAGATGAAAGGGACGTGTTCC